TGATGTTTTATTGCTTTTTTATTAGTATTACTAATAATATTCTGTTGCGAGTGGCTCAGAGTGGTTGGGGAAGCCCAGCCAGATGGGCGGGGTATAAATAATAAATTATTATTATTATTATTATTATTATTATTATTATTATTAAATGATATTTATTACTTTTTCAACATTTTCAACACAACACTACAAACAAAAAAGAAAAGAGAAAAAACAATACAAATACAATGCAAAAACGCTACATGGACTAACAAAACAAAGCAAAAACAAACAAAAACAATTTAAAAACACCTCAAACATTTTCAATATCTTATATTTCATTCACTTATTTCCAGCGACCTCCTCACACCTCCCTTTTTGTATTCCACTTCTATTAATTGTTTCAGCAATTCCTTTCCATCTTACTCTGTTTTCTATCCTATAATTATCTTAACACATTCTTGCCTTATTTTTCCTTTAATTTTCTATTAATCTATTTATACTTAATTCCTTATGACATTTCTACTAAAGCCATATAACTTCATTCCAACATTTTTCTAACATTCCTTAATTTTACAATATTTCTATAAATAGTCTTTAAACTTTTTCCAATCTTCTTCCACCAACTCTTCTCCCTGGTCTCGGATCTTGCCAGTCATTTCCGCCAATTCCATATAGTCCATCAACTTCGTCTGCCATTGTTCAACACTTCAGTGCTTTCAAGAAGCAGCCATTCTCTCAACCAGCAAAAAGCAGATGGTTCACAACGAAATTTAAAGGTCTGGCAGGGCAGGTCCACCTCCTTCTTTGGCATCCATCAATATCTTAAGTTTTACTCGAGGCTTCCTGCCCTGCCAAACAACTCTAGAAACATCCCTCTGCCACCTCCTGAAACAATCCATCCCATCCAAAGATTGCAATGTTTGAAACAAAAGCAACATCCCCAGCAACACAGCAGCCCTCATCCCCACCACAGTAACTCGGCCCAACAATAACATCTTCTGATTTGTCCATATTTCCAAATCCCCCTTCTCTTCAATCCAACATCCTTCACAGTTATCCTTAAACAGATTCACATTTTTGGCGGTCATACTAACCCCCAAATACCTCTCTTTCTCAACCGATGTTAGTCCTGTCGCCTCCTGAAACTCTGTCAAGCTTTCCTTTTCCAGTTCAGATAGGGCTCTGGTCCTCAAATTCATCTGTTCTTCTTTAAGTTCAATCATAACGAATGTCAGCTTATGTTCATCAGGTTGTCTTTGTATGGATGGGACTCTCCTCTCCAGTTGTATTGCTTTAGATTCAGCAGCAAGGGTTTTTCCCCTGACTTCATCTGCAGTTTGCCGTATCAGAGTAGATTCCTGTGTCAGTTTCTGGGTGGTTTCTGAATTGGTATTCACCTTTTGTCCCAAGTTATTTAAAGTTTCTACGATTAAGTCAGTTTCAATATTTGCAGCATCCATTTTCACATTTATCACGTCTGTTTTCTTGTGAAGTTGTTCCAGCGAATCATTTATTTTCAATAATGCAGCCACTAAGGCCTTTTCTGTCGACATCCCGTCTGTTTTTTCCTTTCCATTTGCCATAACACGTAAGAGATTCAAGGTCAATTCCAAAGTCTCACACTTTTTTATCTTGCAGCTGGAAATTCCCCTAGCCCAGCTCCTGTAAAGTAACCAATTTCAAAAGCTTCCACTAGGGGAAAACAGTTTCTATTTGTATCGGTCAGTATGTCCTCTTTTAAACACAGTTTCAATAATCCAAAGTTAGTTTCACTTTTCAGTTACTTTCCTCCTTTTTTTGAAAACAACCAGAGAGAGTAGAAACAATGTATTCTCTTGTTTAGCTACCTGTCAATGAACGTTCTAAATGCTGTCAATGGACGTTCCAAAAAACATCAATCCTGCTAGCAGCCCATTTCCAGGGTCAGAGCGGCGGTATTTTAACTCTCTTAACTCTCTCCTACAGGCATATTCAGTCCACCACTTCCCCCCCTCTTCTCCTGTCTCCAAAAAGGGGGGGGGGAGTTAGTTCTTTACCGATGGAAATTTAGTCTTTTACAAAAGGCTTTCCAAGACTTTAGCTTGCAGCCTCCTTGCTTCAGTTTATCTACAAAAGGGGGAGGCGGACTTCCTGTGTTGAACCTCCCCGTTTCGATGCCAGATTAAACGTTTAAAAATCCAATTCTTCCCAATTCAGCTCTACTCACGGGTAATTACTTTAGAGTCAAATTGTCCACAGGAAAAAGTCAGTGCTCTCCGACAACAGCTATGCGGCTTCGCTCCGTGGAAGAAGCAGACGATTCGAGCACCGCGCCACTCACCCCACATCGCTCCGGATCCCCGAAACCGGGTTTCCCCGCGAGTAGGGGAGGCGCAAAAGGTGCCCGCCGAATCCCACGTTCACAGGCTTCTCCCACCTGTGATTTTTACGGGTCTCTGCCTTCGCCGTGGCGGTACAGACCCAAATTCCCACGGGGCAAATTCCTCCCGATCAGAGGAATTCCGCCATTGCCGGAGGCACCAACCCGGAAGCCGGCCAATTATTATTACATTATTATTATAAATTTAAAAATTATTACTCCACCCACTTTTGTACCCTGCTCCCCACTGGGCTGTGCCCTCAAAACACTACCCAGAATGGAGTGTGACCTTCAGACTGAGAAGGATTCTGCACCCATATGGTAGGAAATTTATATATATTTCCTCAAACTGATGCAGGCTTGTCGACTTGTATTAGCACAATATTTCGTGGCTGGGGAGATTCCCCTTTCCCGACAGTCGGTGTGTCTCTTCCAACTTTCACAGTCGCCTACTGTAAAGCTCCCACGACGCTCCTAACAAAGGACAGTCATCCCCACCACATGATGGCATGTAATTTTAGAGAAATGTCTCCCCTCCTTTCAGTTCCTTTGGTGCCACACCTTTCATTGTCACATTCTGTCAGCGCTTACTCAATTCCCTCCAAGGCTCAGTGCACATCATACATCTCTCCCTCTCCCCTGCCAAAAAAAAGAGAGGGGGAAAATAATTGTGTGGTCTGTAGTTTAGCCTGTTAACGGAGAAATCCGAGGGCTCCCTTGGACAAAAACAAAGACACCAACCAGGATAACTTGGAGCAAAACAGCAGCCTGTAGGCTTGGCCTTTACTGGATCCTGTCGCGACAGGACTCCCACCCGCAACAAGATGAAGCAAAATGGAAGCCCAGGACAAAAGAAGACCCCAACTTTTATTAGTTACTAATCCCCCAAACTACACCCCTAAGACTACATCACAAAAAGGAGGGGTTGAGGGAGGAGTTGTGGTGGTAACCTGAGTGTCTTGTCACCTGGCTGGTTCCCCCTTTCCCCCCTCCCCATGAGTACTTTCCAGGTGACAAAGGGGAGTTTGCAGTTTCCTGCCCCCAGAGGGAAGAGCTGATCATTGTCCTTTGTTCCAGTCCATCCTGAATCCACTCCTATATGCAAGTTCTTTGTGACCTTGATTGTCTTCTGTCTAGGACCATCAGGGTTGGCATAGGAACTGGGCAGGGCCTTCTGTGTATGTGCTGGTATGCTCAAGGGATTATGGTCCCCCTGTATCAAACCTTCCCCATTTTGTGGTCCTTCCTTCATGGAGTAAAATAAAAGTGGAACGGTGCAGATCCGATGTATGGTTGATTTTCTATGAATTTATAACAGAAGCGTAGCGTATGTTGTGTGTGTGTGTGTGTGTGTGTGTGTGTGTGTGAAGTTTGTACAAACTGAATGATTTGGGGGGGGGTTTCCTGTGACAAGCCCTCACAGAACTACAATTCCCAGCACCTTTAACAAGCTACAGTTCCCAGGAAGGATGCTTTAAATGTATGGTGTTTCTGTTTGCACTTTCCGGGTGCTATTGGGAAGGAGATGACTCACGACCCGTCTCCTCTCCTCTCTCCACAGTGGTGGTTTGTTTTCTTTTTCTCGCACGGCTGATTGTGCAATTTCCCTCAGCATCCATACTGTTGGGGCGGGCGGTGAAACAAGCCGATATGATTCCATGCCCCAGTGAGGAAGGAAGGAAGGAAAAACCACCCGTCCGCTGGAAGACAAAGGGAGCAGAGAGTCTGGAAAGGCAGCTTCAATGTGTGCGTTCCTCCCTCCTATTATGCACACACTGAGAGGAGCATGTGAACATGGAGGCCCTGAGTGTAAACATTTGCAATATAATTAGTGGTGATGAAGGGAGAAAACTTCCCAGTTTACTTTGTCAACTTTCTGTGTGTGTGTATAAATAGACAGATAGACAGATGGACACAAAGACAGACAGACAGACATACAGACAGACAAATGATAAATAGAGTCCACAACATACACATATTTAATGTGTTCATTCAGCTGTACGCACTTGACAAATAAAAATAAAAATAAAAAGGGGGTGGGGGGAAAAGACCAGCCATCCCACCTGCCATTGAACCCAATGTGTTTTGACGATATGCGGTTTTGTGGATTGACTTTTGCATGAAATAAGAGAATTTCACAAAACCAATACAGTGGTACGTCAGGTTAAGTACTTAATTCGTTCCGGAGGTCTGTTCTTAACCTGAAACTGTTCTTAACCTGAAGCACCAATTTAGCTAATGGGGCCTCCCGCTGCTGCTGCGCCGCCGGAGCACAATTTCTGTTCTTATCCTGAAGCAAAGTTCCTAACCCGAGGTACTATTTCTGGGTTAGTGGAGTCTGTAACCTGAAGCATATGTAACCTGAAGCGTATGTAACCTGAGGTACCCCTGTACAACTGAAATAGCTGAGGAGAGATAAAGGAAAGTGCGCAGTCAAAAATGGAATTTAGGAACCACAATGGGGTGATTGGAAGTCATGTTGGAATTAGTTATGTATGAATCTAAATCTTCTTTTTTTGTAATATGGATCGATTTCGGATTGTTTTTGTTGACTTGTTTTGGTCGCACTGAGCACAGAGGCTTGCGGCTGCCGTATTAATGCTGCAACGGTGTCGATCTAATAAATAAGGAAGGGATAAGAAGGACCCTGAACCCATATCTTGTATGTAAATACACAGCTTTATTGGTTTATGGGGTCAATAGAAACTTCATGCACTTCAGCAGAAAGGTGAGGATGCTGTATGGAGCTTTGCTACATAAAAGGAGGAGGGCTAACTTGGTCTGCTCGCATCTATTGTATAATCTTTTAACTGTCATGGTTTATCACAGAATTGTAGAGTTGGGACCCCAAGGGTCATTTAGTCCAACCCCCTGAAATGCAGAATCACAGCTAAAGAATTCCCAGCAGTTGACCAGAGAAAACCATCTGGAAACCAATTCTGTCAATTCTCACTGAAGATTTTCAGCAGCAGGCACTACAATTCCCAGAAGCTAAGACAGTTAGGCCCCATTAAAAATCCCGAAGCTTATCAGCTGCCAGGGTAGTGATTGCTACTAAATGGAACTCTCAGGACATACCAACAAAGGAAGAGTGGATTTGTAAATTAAGTGAGTATATAGAATGGGCAAAATTAACCAAATATAAGATATCAATCGAATCAGAAGTTAGGAATGGAGTGGAAGTATTTCAAAGATTATATGTCAAAATAGTGTTCTAAAAATGACGTGTTAATAGGCTTAGAATAAAAAATGTAAGCAATAACAAAACAAAGAAAGAAAGGAGGAAAAATCAGAATTTAACAAAAATAATTTATTACAGAATGCAAGGAAAAAAGGTAGAAAGAAATATAAAGAAGTCGAATTGCTGTGGGGGGAAGAAGAGGGTGGGTGGGTGGTGTATAATTATGCAGCTGTTGCAATTTAGATATTATATTTTATGTGAGGGAATCATTGGGGATTTTGGTTATTACCGTATTTTCGCTGTATAAGACGCACCAGACCATAAGACGCACCTAGGTTTTGGAGGAGAAAAACAAGAAAAAAAATATTCTGAATCTCAGAAGCCAGAACAACAAGAGGGATCGCTGCACAGTGAAAGCAGCAATCCCTCTTGCTGTTCTGGCTTCTGGGATAGCTGCGCAACCTGCATTCGCTTCATAAGATGCGCACACATTTCCCCTTACTTTTTAGGAGGGAAAAAGTGAGTCTTATAGAGCAAAAAATACGGCATGTATATATGTTAAGTTTCAATAAAGATCTGGGGGGAAAAGAGCTGCTTATGTCAGCTGCAGACGTGCAGCGGGCGTTTGCTTCAATGACGAAAGGTTCGGGGTTTTCCCTTCTGTGCCTCCTCCCGTTAGTAACAACTCGTAAAATGCCCCAATACTTTCCCTGTTCAAAGTCTCCAGATTCAGCCTGGCTCATCCCAGGGTGTGGTGTCAGAGTAGAAGGGCCCGATCCCATGGGAAGCAAGGGAGGAGGATTGTGACGGCGTTGCAAGCCGCTGGACCACAGGGACCCCGGCTACTCGAAGGCCGGGGACTCAGAATTTCATTTCGCCATCCTTGCTCTTCAGAACAACCAGGGTTACCAAGAAAGGGATGAGGCAGATCGGGGTGATGATCAGAGGCAGCAAAATGTCATCCGGGGGGTCCTGCAGGGCGTTACGCACGCTGCAGTTGAGGAAGTACATCCTGTGGCCATACGTGATGTAGTTGTGAGCCAAGGTGTTGGGGTAGCCGTACTTCAGGCGTTCTGCCCATTTTTCCAGGCACTCCCGCAATTCATTGTATGGCCTGTGGAGTTGATCAACAGAGGGAGGAATTCAGGATTTGGAGCATTAGATACAGTAGAAACTGGGGGAAGCTGTGCTCTTAACCCTCAGAAAGAAACCTTGCACTATAACCTTTCTAAAGGGTGGTGCTGTGGGTTAAACCACAGAGCCTAGGACTTGCCGATCAGACGGTCGGCAGTTCGAATCCCCGCGACAGAGTGAGCTCCCGTTGCTCGGTCCCTGCTCCTGCCAACCTAGCAGTTCAAAAGCACGTCAAACTGCAAGTAGATAAATAGGTACCGCTCCGGTGGGAAGGTAAACGGCATTTCCGTGCGCTGCTCTGGTTCGCCAGAAGCGGCTTAGTCATGCTGGCCACATGACCTGGAAACTGTACGCCGGCTCCCTCGGCCAATAAAGTGAGATGAGCGCCGCAACCCCAGAGTCGGCCACGACTGGACCTAATGGTCCGGGGTCCCTTTACCTTTACAACCTTTCTAAGTAGCTGTTAAAATGTCTGCCTTCAAAGGCGGGGAAGGGGAGACCTCACAGGTGAGAGGCTGTGAGGAGAAGAACGATCCCAGGTGAGAGCTAGGAGGGCTCACCTGTTTCTGCATGGGATAAAAGTTAAGGTGCCGCAGTGAGAGAGGACTGGTGTTTTCTTTCTCTTTTCTTCTTCATTTAGTTCCCTTTCTATTATTTATTGTAGATTAGTTTGTTTTTCTGTTATGTGTCATGAAAATCTCAATAAAAGTATACCCAAAGGAGCGTCTCCATCCCCATCATTCAGCCTGGACACTGAGGTCCAGCTCCAAGGGCCTTCTGGCGGTTCCCTCATTGCGAGAAGTCAAGTTACAGGGAACCAGGCACAGGGCCTTCTCGGTAGTGGCACCTGCCATGTGGAACGCTCTCCCAGTGGCGTAGCGTGGGGGTGCAGGGGGGGCCGGCCGCACCGTGCGCAACATCTGGGGGGGCGCGCTCGCACTCGCAGCTCTCTGCCCCTACCTGGCTCACTCAGGGTTAGGGGGCACAAATTACTTGCCTTGCCCCGGGTGCTGACAACCCATGCTACGCCACTGCGCTCTCCCACCAGATGTCAAAGAGAAAAACAACTACCAGACTTTTAGAAGATATCTGAAGGCAGCCCTGTTTAGGTAAGCTTTTAATGTTCGTTGTTGCTTTTTTATTACTGTTACTGGTGTTCTGTTGGGAGCCACCCAGAGTGACTGGGGAAATACAGCCAGATGGACGGGGCATTAATAATAATAATAGTTGTTAAAAACTTCATAGTAAAATGTCTGCCCACATTTCTCACCAGCTTCCCTGTTGTAGAAACCTTGCGCGTTGCAGAAGGATTTTGAGCCACATTCTGCATTTGGGGTGGTCATGTGTTTACAGGGGTCAGTCATCTATTAGAAGGTCTGCCCTCTGTTTGAATGAGTTCTTTTGCTGAAGGGCTGTCATGTGGCCAGCATGACTAAACCACTTTTGGCGCAACGGGACACTGTGACGGAAACCAGCGCGCACGGAAAAGCCATTTACCTTCCCGCCAAAGCAGCACCTATTTATCTACTTGCACTGGCATGCTTTCGAACTGCTAGGTTGGCAGGAGCTGGGGCAGAGCAATGGGAGCTCACCCCATTGCAGGGATTTGAACCCCCAACCTGCTGATCAGCAAGCCCAAGAGGCTCAGTGGTTTACAGTCTAAATATCATCATCATCATCATCATCATCATCATCATCATTATTGCTGTTCAGATAAACAGCATGTAACATTTGATTTTGGCCTTAAGACTGTTATCGATACATCTCAAAATTTCTTTATGAATTGTAGCAGAGTCAACATCTGAACGTCGTAACTCCAGAATTTCATATTCCTTATTTGACCCCCGAAAGAAACTGGCACAACTTTTGTTTACCACTCTCAACCACCCCTTACCCAGTGGAAAAGCTCCGTTCTTCATTACCTTCTAATGACCATCCACTCACACCAGTGCTCCTCTGTGATGTTGGCCATCTGCTTCTCAAAGTCTCTCCAGCAATCTGCCACGAGGATACTGTAAACTAGATGGGGGGAAGCAAAGCGTAATGAGTAATGCCCTTTGTGTGTGTGAGGCAGCATGGTAAGGGTAGCGGTGGAGGAAGCAGGGGTCTGGCTGTGTCGTGTGATACTGAAATCCAACGGTGGAAAGGAGGAATTGTGAAGAAATCTGCACATGGGCCAACGAGTGAGAATATAACCAGCATTCTGCCTTCTGAGGTACATGCCTATTGCACAGGCAAGGAGGACGCCCCCATCTCAGATCTCACCTCAAAAAACCAGGCAGTCATCTGTTTATCTATCAAATCAAATAGCACAGCAATTTTTCAGGACAGCACTGAGTCAACATTTTCACTTGTCTCTTCTCAAAGTGGCTCGCAATGGCAGGTGTATGGAAACAGTTATGGCTGCAGGGTTTCCCAAAGCGAATCGCAGGTTCTGGGGTGCCAACTTGAATAAAATATTTGGGGGACAGGTAAGCCACACCCCACATAATCAGTCACACAACAATTGAATGGTAATGCCCACTGACTTGGGGGCCCCCAGCCCCCTCAAATATTTTATGGGGGCAAAGGGACCTCAGTCTCTAGGATTTGGCTGCTATGCACAGGTTCGTTCAATGGGAACCACTGGGGGAAAAGGTGAGGTTCCAAATTTTTTACTGCAGCCTGGGACAGTTGTTTCAGGTTGGAGTAGTTCTGGGGAATGTAGGGGCCATGAGAAAGAGTGGATCAGGGCCGGCCCAAGACATTTTTAGGCGCCTGAGGTGAACGCAAAATGCCATCTCCCTCCCTGCCATGGAATCAGAGGTGAGTGAACATATGCATTAGGAGCAAAGGGAGAATAAAGATCTACATTGGGGTGTGTTGACCCTGTGAATCCTGCCGCCAGAGGCGGTTGCCTCATCTTGTCTCATGTGTGGGCCGGCCCTGTTTTGGTGCCCCAAACAATGTTTTCTGTTTTGAGATGTAAACAGCCAGGTTTGTATACTGGGGATACTTTTGGATTGGTGCTGAAAGCAGAGGTGACCTCAGCAGCTCATTTTCAAACTTAGGCCAGAAGTGGGGAACCTGTGGCCTTCCAGATGTTGTTGGACGCCAGTTCCTACAAGCCCCAGTTTCCCACAAGCCCCTTCAACTGGAGGGGTGGAGATCATAGCTGTCAACGTTTCCCTTTTTAAAAGGGAAACTCCCTTATTCCAAATAGGATTCCTCGCAAGAAAAGGGAGAAGTTGACAGCTATGGTGGAGATGGTCACCCACCATAACCTCAGGAAAGGCCTCTCTCAGACAAGAGGACTAAAGGAGCCATGTTCTGACCCAAAGCGTCCTCATAACAAAGGGCATGTCACGATGTGTCTAGAGGGAAGAAAAGGCGGTCTGTACATACTCAGAGGCATCAGAATTTCTGGGCTTTGCTATCATCTTACCATCGTCCAGGCTCAGCTTCATTTCGGGGCCCAGAAATGTAGCGTTTGGTCTTCCTTCGAGAGAGACGCTGGCGTTGCCAGGAGCTTCTGTGGTTCCATTATGAGCATCGAGCCTGACGGCCACTGCAGGTGAGACAGAGAGAGCAGAAGGAATGCAAGAAGAGTGGGGACAAGTGGATATTTTGGAACAGTCCCTCTGGAACATAGCTGTCAACCGTCCCTTATTTGGCAGGAAAGTCCCTTATCCCAGCGCCGTGTCCCGCTGCTGTCCCTTATTGATGATGTCCCTTAAATTTCCCGGGTTTCAAAGGAAGCAGCTCCTCTCCCTCCCTCCCTCCCTGCTGGCCAGGGAGGAGGGTGGCTCCAACTGTGTTGCTTGGCTGCGTTGCTCACCCAATAAGGAGTCTAAGAATGACTGGGGGGTGGAGCTTGCATGCCTTGTGCCAATCAAATCGGCCGCGTTGCCTGGGGACTCGCCTTTGCTCAGCGCTTCCCAGCAGAGAGGTGACGGTGGTTTTCCTTGCTGCATCCCCTTTGCCGGGTTGCTGCGCTGTGGGAACCACTGCATGAGGCTTTGTTTGGCTGCTGGCTGGGCTTTCTGCCTTTGGCTCGGAGGGGCCCAGAAGTTGAACATACCTGTGCTTGGAAAATCCCTTATTTTGGCTGCTGATCCCTTATTTTCGAGGCTGCTGGTCCCTTATTTTCAAATCTGTAAGCTGACAGCTATGCTCTGGAACCGTTGAGGGAATGGAATTGGGTTCAGGACAAACATGTCTGGTATTCCAGCAAGCAGGCTAGACATTTGGAGCACAGCATTGGCAAGGTGGGAAAGAGTTAAGCACTCCTTCCTGCCTTCTAAATGTCCCTTTCCTGAAGCTCCCCCCACCCCACCCCAATAAACATGTACTTAGCCAATGCTTTGTAGCCTGCTAGAACAGGAAGGTTTCCTCCTTCACTTACTTCCTCTGGAGTTTAAGAAGCTGCTACAGCCAGGGACAGGGCATCGTGTACAAAAATCAATGTGAACTGTGGCGACTCTGTAAATGAGTTGTGTTTACACTGAGCCATGTCTACCGCTCTGAGATTTTTGAAATATCAATATATAGTTGTGAGTTTGTTTTTTTTGCAGGAGGTGGGTGTTAGGCTATATTTCTGAGTCCCTCAAAATTCCTGGATCCGGCAAGAGAGACTCTTTATTTTTATATATATATATATATTACAAAGTAATAATCATAAATAAATAAGAATAAAAATGTGCACCCCACCACCAAGGCCATTCCATTATAACTATCCAAACTCCCAAAATTTCAACACCTCTTGCGATGGTTTGACTCCTTTCCATTTTAACAGTACAGATTCTACAAACACCTTCCATATCTTCTCGAAATCATTTGTCCTGCATATTCCCTGTCTTACCTTAATGGCACGTGTTAATTTGTCATTAATAGCTATCTCCCACAGCTCTTTATACCATTCTTCCATTTTATATTCTGCTTACCCTTTCCACTTCCTGGCTATCATAATTCGTGCAGCTGTCGATAAATTTGTGAGCAAGTCCTTCATAGCCTGCGAACCTTCCACCCCATCGTAAATTGTTAATAATGCAATCTCTGGACAAGAGAGGCTCTTCTCACAGTCATTGGTTCAAACCCCACGTTGGGCAAAAGATTCCTGCATTGCAGGCAGGTGGACATAGATATGGGATGTCCAACAGGTCGATCGCGATCTACTGGTAGATCCCCGTGAGGTTTTGGTAGATCGCAGTCGATCTCTGGTTCCCTTTCCTTCGTGTTGCTAAAACTGACTCCTGCCTGCCCCCTCGCCCTGCCCTCCATTGTTGTTTGATCTCTGGAAGAGAAGATAAAGCTTTCTCTGTGTTGCTGTTTTCATCCACAGCAATCTTTCTGTAAGTGACTTTACCCCTTTGTCCCTTGCCTTTAACACCCCCAAAACAGGGTTCTCCCCTCCCTAAAAAAAACACAACAACCTTGAGCTGCCCCCTCCCAAAAGGGGCTTTTCTCTTCCCTAAGAAAGCTCAACAACTGAGCTGAAACCCCCCCCCCCCAAAAAAACAGGGGTAGATCACTGCCAGTTTTTAATTCTGAAGGTAGGTCACAGCCTCCTGGGAGGAGGATGCGGGATAATATGAGATTGGTGATGGATGCCATAGGATATCTAGACATGAACCCAGGGAAAGCAGTAGCCTTCGTCTTAATTGATGCCAAAAAGGCTTTTGATAATGTCTCATGGAGATTTCTGGGAGTTGGCCACCCCTGACATAGATGATCCTCGTGGCCCCTTCCAACCGTACAATTATATAATTACTTTTGATTCCATTGTTGAAGTTGGCCTGTTGAAGTTGGCCTGGCAACATTGCAATATATCACCAGCTAAACTTTGTGATACAGTGGTACCTCTGGTTAAGTACTTAATTCATTCCGGAGGTCCGTTCTTAACCTGAAACCGTTCTTAACCTGAGGTACCACTTTAGCTAATGGGGCCTCCCATTGCCGCCGCACGATTTCTGTTCTCATCCTGAGGTAAAGTTCTTAACCTGAGGTACTACTTCCGGGTTTACGGAGTCTCTAACCCAAAGTGTTCGTAACCTGAGGGGTTTGTAACCTGAGGTACCACTGTATACAGTCATACCTCATGTTACGTTTGCTTCAGGTTGCGTGTTTTCAGGTTGTGTCCAGTGGTGACCCGGAAGTACTGGAAAGGGTTACTTCCGGGTATCATCGCTCACACATGCGCAGATGCGCAAAATGGCGTCACGTGCATGCGCAGAAGCGGCGAATCACGACCTGCGCACGCGCAGGCGTGGGTTGCGTTCTTTTCAGGTTGCAAACGGGCCTCCAGAACGGATTCCGTTTGCAATCAGAGGTACCACTGTACTGATATATTACAATGTCTGAAATAAGGGTGGAGCTATGTAGAGGCATTGGCTGTCTTCGCGGTTTCCCCCGCATTGTAACATTTGCATGGCACACCCACACCCACACACACACACCATGATTCACAATATATTGCCAGGCCAAAAATTATGAAGCCAATATCATGATATGGACTTGAAACCGATTTGGGACGATACAGTGGTACCTCAGTTAAGTACTTAATTCGTTCCAGAGGTCCGTTCTTAACCTGAAACTGTTCTTAACCTGAAGCACCACTTTAGCTAATGGGGCCTCCTGCTGCTGTCGCGCCACCGGAGCCCGATTTCTGTCCTCATCCTGATGCGTATGTAACCTGAAGCGTATGTAACCCGAGGTACCACTGTATATCAATTTATCCCCCAGTCCTAGTTATGAGGCTGAGATGCAGTGAGAGAGGACAACCAAGCACATTGCCTTCAGCTTCTTGGAGGAAAGGCTAGATATAAATGTAAGAAATAATAAATCCGTAGAGCTGAGATAGCCATGCAAAAACAGTTCACCACAGGAGTGCTGTTTCCCTGGAGAAGTTGCTGTAAGCCTCAACTTGGAAAACGGAGGAAGTCACCCAAATATCTAATAACACAGAAAGAAATTGCCTCCTGCCTCAGAGAAAGGCAAATTCTCCCAAGGCTCCTGTACCTCAAAGTGTGGCTGGGGTGAGTATTTGGGGAGTCAGAAATTCCAGCAAAGCTGGAGTGAGAGGGGAAGAAAATGACAGTGGGGGTTTATCTAGATCCAGTGTTTTTTTTCCTTCTTAAAAAAATGTTTAGGGGTACTCTCATTTTCCTACTCATATTGAAATACTGCCCCTCAATGAGGCCAAACTTAGATTTACAAAATGTTTAGGGATATGTGTACCCCTGCGTCCCCCCCAGAAAAAAAGCACTGCCTAGATCTCTGGGACATAATATTACTTTTGACTAGCCCTACTGAGACTGCGATGAACCTGGCCAGAAAAAGCACTGGAAGACAGCGTGGAAGCAGGACAAATCATGCCTGAGTAAGAAACAAGGGTGAGTCTGTGTCTACGCAGAGAGTCTAGAAGCTACCTCAAAGCTGGGACAAGAGCTAAGAAATCCAATTCTGATAAAAAGCAGGATCTGAGACAAAGACTCTGAGAACTCTAGCTGACCTGCGGAGACTCTCAGAAGGGATACCCATCTCCCTGCGGTGGACAACCTGTTGAGGGTGGAGATTATCTCTGTTCTCCACAGCTCTGAGAACCCAAGCCCCTCTCGGCTACTGAGCAGAAGCTTTCTGCTTCCCACCCGACGGCCACCCTGAAGTGCCACTCACCTGTAAAGACCACCAGGAGCAGCAGCAAGGGCAGGCACCGGCCATCCATCTTGGTACACCCTGCCACTCTCAGCACAGCTGCCTGTTTCCTCCTGACCAGCTTGAGATTTGAATCGGAATAACAGGAAGCGCCTCCTTTCCTCTGACAGGGCTGGTGGTTGAGAGTGCAGCCGACATGTGAAAAATGAGATCCAGGAGCAAGCCTGGCTCCCAGGGGCTTTGCTTCAGTGAGGCTCAGTTCTCCTCCCTTGCTCCCACACCCATTCGGAGGCACCGGGACCCCTGTAACCTCGGGGCAGCCACCTCGGGTCACCCTGCCTGGCAGCAGAGGAACGTTCTCCTCCGCAGCCCTTCCAACTTTTACAAGGCCCAGCCGGCCTTTGGATTGGCAATTTCCGAGTCGTTTCTGTCTGCCGGGTTGTGAAATCAAAGAGGCAGCTTGAAATGGGTAGCCAGGGCAGAGGGAAGAGAGGGGAACGCCTCTTGAAGCGACACACTGGCTCTCTCTCTGTGTGTGTCTCCCGCGTGCAAAATCAGACAGGGGACAAGCAGCCCCCGGGGCAACTGTGCACATCTGTGCAACTCATCTGACTCACGCTTGGACGAGGTTTGCAAGATGACAGGAACCAACGCAATGCACAAAGTTGCTTCAAAGTATAGCGACAGGGAAGACTGCAGAAAAGGAAAACTGCAAGTTTATTATTATTATTATTATTTGATTAAATGCTTTATTGGTTTTAAAAACAAAACAAATGCAAAACAATACGCAACAATCAACAAAAGGCAATCCAATATCAACACTCGTTACAAAAAGGAGAAACGACTGAGTTCACACGTCACGAATTCTAACATAACTTCCATTCCCCCCATTGTGATTTCTAAATTACATAACAACTGCGTTCTAAACTTTATCTCTCCTAGGTTGTTCGACTGCGTTAATTTTGTAAAGTTATCTTATTTCGTGCAGAAATCAATCCAGGCCTGCCAAAGAATTTAGATTATTACAATGTTCTTTTAAATATTCTCTGTAAATATTCCACACTCTATTAAATATTTGATCTGTGTGGTCTCGGAATCTTGCTGTCAATCTTGCTAGCTCTGCATATTCTAACATTTTATTCTTCCAGTCTAATTTTGAGGGAGTAGAATCTCATTTCCATACCTTAGCAATTAAAATCCTTGCTGCTGCTATTGCGTACATTAAAATTTTCCTTACCCTTTCTGGAATTCCATTGCTCATTATGCCTAGCAGGAAGGCTCAAGGCTTCTTAGGGATAGAACTTTTAAACGTTTTTTTAAGTTCATTATATATTGTTTCCCAAAAATCCCTGATTTTTTGGCAGTTCCGCCACACGTGGCTCATAGTGCCGTCTCCAACAGATGTTTTATAGATGTATACATTTTGGCCAGTTTTATAGGTGTTGAATACCATGTGGTAAAGTAATTATGTTTGGAAGTCAGAAAGAGGGATGGGGGGAGGTCGATGCTCAGTTAGAGCAACGCTTCGGCCCTGGTGGCTTTCACGGTGTTCCGTGTACACAATAGAGTAACTAGTCTGTGTGGTGTGGATGTTAATGCTCATAGACTTCACATTCATAACTTACATTCAGGGAGGTGTTTGTGACACTCATCATAGGGTCTGAACTATTTTATGGGTGCTGTGGTGCCACCCTTAACAAACTGCAGATGGCAAGTGGCAGTGGCCTCTCTTGGCCAACTGATTTCCCTCTCTTTGTTCACTCAGCCCAGAGGTGGAAGGTTAAGGGACACCTCACGGATGTGCAGGGAGTGGTCATCCGCTGTGGAAAGAAAAATACAGGCTGCATTAAAGAAAGTCCTTTGCCGCTCACTCTGTGTCTCTGCTTTCTTTGTTGCTAATATTGCCCTTATGACAACTTTGTGGGACTGGTCATGTTGTTCGGATGCCCAATTATCGTCTTCCAAAGCAACTACTCTATTCCGAACTTAAAAATGGAAAGCATAATGCTGGTGGTCAACAAACACGTTTAAAGACTCTCTCAAGGCAAATCTAAAAAAATGTAGTATAAACACCAACAACTGGGAAACACTGGCCTGTGAGCGCCCCAGTGGGAGAACAGCCTTTACCAAAGGTGTCATGGGCTTTGAAATATACTTGGAGTCGAGAGTGGATTTCATGCTCTTTATTCAGCTCCTAGGGGTGAGGAGGAATGGAAGTTCCCCCAGAATGTCTGCTTTATATACATTATTTACACAATGGGCCCCACGTGATTGGCTAATTCTGGGATTCACCTGTAGGCCAATCAGGTTGCGGATTCACTTCCACCTGGAGCTGGATTGGGTGGCTCCTGTGGACCGATCAGACTGCTGCATTCTGGACCCTATTGTTCTAGGACCAATCAGACTGCTGCATTCTGAATCCTATTGTTCTAGGACCGATCAGACTGCTGCATTCTGAATCCTATTGTTCTAGGACCAATCAGACTGCTGCATTCTGAATCCTATTGTTCTAGGACCAATCAGACTGCTGCATTCTGAATCCTATTTTTCTAGGACCAATCAGATTGCTGCCTTTTGGATCCTATTCAACTCAGTACATAACAGGCTTTAAAGACGCTCAAACTCAGGGCGAAAGGGAGAAACAAGCTAAGAGGAAGGCACATTTGGCAAACCCTCACTGTGATCGACTCCTGGCCAGAAACCTATGTCCCCACTGTGGGAGAATGTATGGATCCAGAATTGGCCTCCACAGTCACTTACGAACTCGCTGTTAAAACCATGTTTATGGAAGACAATCTTACTCGGCTACGAGTGACCGCCAAAGAAGAAGATTAAAATTAGGCGTCTCTCTCACTCCATCTAAACTTGCCTCGTGCAAGCATCAAGCAGACACCAAATGCTGTGACCTTATGTGACTCAAAGCACTTACACACTCTGTGCTCTCATCCCTCCTGGATCACCACACAGGGGAAGAGGTTGTCCGCAGAGGTTGCCTGTGTTCTGAAAGCGCACAGAGTGTGGTTTGCACACTCTCAGCTTTTTACTCTTCACCACATCCTTGCTAGGGCAGCCCGCTGGATGCCACGTTTGGACATAACGGACATGATAGTGTTACAAGCGTGAAATGAAGTCAGTTGCAGAAATCACTGCCGGTCCTACATGCACAATTCCAATCTCATTGCGCATGCATCGTGTGCACACTGTACAAGACTGAGACACCGTTAGTGGGCAGCTCCCTCTGAAGGAGGGCCGGGCTATATTTTGGAAAGGAAAAAAAACTGAATTTTTATGCCCCACAAATAACCCAGAGATGCATTTTAAATAAAAGCACACATTCTACTCATGTAAAAACACGCTGATTCCTGCACTGTCCGCAGGCCAGATTTAGAAGGTGATGGGGCTGGATCCGGCCCCTGGGCCTTAGTTTGCCTACCCATGGCCTACTGCATAACAGATGCCTGTAAAAGCGCCCAGTGGACCTCACTGGGGAGGGACATCACTTCTAGCACTTGGACTATCTCTCGCTTGGACTACTGCAATGCGCTCTACTGCAATGCGTTCTACCTTTGAAGATGACCCGGAAATTACAACTAATCCAGAATGCGGCAGCCAGACTGGTGACTGGGAGTGGTCGCCAAGACCATATAACACCGGTCTTGAAAGACCTACATTGGCTCCCAGTATGTTTCCAAACACAATTCAAAGTGTTGGTGCTGACCTTTAAAGCCCTAAAGGGCCTCAGCCCAGTATACCTGAAGGAGCATCTCCATCCCCATCGTTCAGCCCAGACATTGAAGTCCTCCTCCGAGGGCCTTCTGGCAGTTCCCTCACTGCGTAAGTGAGGTTGCAGGGAATCAGGCAGAGGGCCTTCTCGGTGGTGGCGCCCGCCCTGTGGAACACCCTCCCATCAGATGTCAAGGAAATAAACAACTATCTGATTTTTAGAAGACATCTGAAGGCAGCCCTGTTTACGGAGGTTTTTAATGTTTGATGTTTTATCGTGTTTTTAATATTCTTTTGGCAGCTGCCTCGAGTGGCTGGGGAAACCCAGCCAGGTGGGTAAGGTATAATAAACAAACAAACAAACAATAACAATAACAATAAGTATTTATTATTATTATTATTATTATTATTATTATACCATCGCTTGGGAAATGCTGAGGGGAAGGGGAGTATATCGCACCAATGCACACTATTTTGTAAAGATGCCAACCTGTGTTTAACAACAGTGCAGATTGTAGCTGCCAATTTACTTAAATGCTATGGCACGAGGGTGTGTACAACTACAAAGCACTTGCTCCAAGGGAAAGTGACTGCTCGGAGTGTGCTTCATATGCCCACGACCCTTGCCTTTGCCCTGGCTCTCAGCGCCACCCTATAATAGGTCACTGTTATCACCAGAAGCAGTAATCTGGTGGCACTTTAAAGATTAGCAAATTTATTGCTGCATCAGGTTTTGTGGAATAGGCTCCACACGCATGAAGCATGATCCAAAACAAACAAGCAAACTACAATTTCTAGGATTATTTGGAACAGAGAGCAATGAGCTTTGGAGATACGGTGGTGGACTGCCTGAAATGTACATTCTCTAAGTTGCCCCGTCTCCCAAAAGGTGTCACAAATTACTGCTTCAGGGTGAGGGGAAACTAGCTCTGTACATGCTCAGAGGCATCGTCCTCTTCAGGCAACACTCCAAGGCACACAAGGCTGACAACCAGCACCAGAAACAGGGCTGGCCTTTTAGCAATCGGTAGAGTGAGGAGTCTACCTCAGGCATCAGCTGCTGGGGTAGGGCATTGGCAGACCCCTCAGCCTCCCCAAGTCTGTTGGAGGGCAGAGCTGTGTGTGCCACACAGCCTGCCCTGCACCCTCCCCACTAAGCTTAGCCCCCTGTTCTCCTTGCCAGGGCTGAAGAAGCAAGATATAGCTGCCAATCCTGCCGGCTTCTCAGGTAAGATTGGGGGTGTGGCTCTTGTCCTTTGCCCTGGTCCTGAATGGGGTAACTGTGCCCCTGAAGGACCAGGTGCGCAGCCTGGGAGTCATTTTGGACTCGCAGCTGTCCATGGAGGCACAGGTCAAATCTGTGTCCAGGGCAGCTGTTTACCAGCTCCATCTGGTACGCAGGCTGAGACCCTATCTGCCTGCGGACTGCCTCGCCAGAGTGGTGCATGCTCTGGTTATCTCCCGCTTAGATTACTGCAATGCGCTCTACGTGGGACTACCTTTGAAGGTGACCCGGAAACTACAACTAATCTAGAACGCGGCAGCTAGACTGGTGACTGGGAGCGGCCGCAGAGACCACATAACACCGGTCTTGAAAGACCTACATTGGCTCCCAGTATGTTTCCGAGCACAATTCAAAGTGTTGGTGCTGACCTTTAAAGCCCTAAACGGCCTTGGTCCAGTATATCTGAAGGAGCGTCTCCACCCCCATCGTTCTAACCGGACACTGAGGTCCAGCACCGAGGGCCTTCTGGCGGTTCCCTCACTGCGAGAAGCCAAGTTACAGGGAACCAGGCAGAGGGCCTTCTCGGTAGTGGCGCCTTCCCTGTGGAACACCCTCCCACCAGATGTCAAAGAGAACAACAACTACCAGGCTTTTAGAAGACATCTGAAGGCAGCCCTGTTTCGGGAAGCTTTTAATGTTTGATGTATTATAGTATTTTAATATTCTTTTGGAAGCCGCCCAGAGTGGCTGGGGAGGCCCAGCCAGATGGGCAGGGTATAAATAATAAATTATTATTATTATTATTATTATTATCAGGCAACAAAATGACTTGGGTTGACCTTGACCAGAAACCCTAGCTCTGGCCTTGGGTGCAGGGTGGCCAGCTGCCAAACAGGACAGAGCTTCTGCGCTTTTCATCCTGGGTTTCCCAGCAGATGCCTGCTGCATGGCACTTTGCCACACCTGCTAAAATCCCCTCTTTGATGCCCAGCTATGAAACTCCGTTCTAGCTTCTGGACGCTTCCCCATCTGCAAACAGCAACACAGAGAAGTTATCCAGCATAACTTTGTCAACTTTCCGTATCAAACTGGAGTCTTCCAGATGTTTTTGGACTGCAACTTCCAGCAGCCATAGCTAGCATGCTGGTTGGAGCTGATGGGAGCTGTTGTTATTATATATTAATTTATTTCCCGCTAATATACCCAAGGACGAGGGTGACGCTGTGGTCTGAACCACTGAGCCTCTTGGGCTTGCCGATCAGAAGGTCGGTGGTTCAAATACCCACGACAGGGTGAGCTCCCGTTGTTCAGTCCCAGCTCCTGCCAACCTAGCATTCGAAAGCACGCCCAAAAGTGCAAGTAGATTAATAGGCAGGAAGGTAAACGGCGTTTCCATGCGCTGCTCTGGTGTTGGTGTTCCGTTGCGCCAGAAGCGGCTTAGTCATGCTGGTCACATGACCCGGAAAAACTGTCTGCAGAGCGGACAAACACCGGCTCCCTCAGCCTGTAAAGCAAGATGAGTGCCGCAACCCCAGAGTCATTTGCGACTGGATTTGACTGTCAGGGGTTCCCTTTACCTAATATGCCTAAATACTGTATTTTTCGCTCCATAAGATGCACCTGACCATAAGACGCACCTAGTTTTCAGAGGAGGAAAACAAGAAAAAAATATTCTGAACGAAACAGTGTATGTATGATTTTTGTGGTTCATGCTGTGGCCACAGACATGTGATTTGATGGTGAGTAGCCCAATGCAAAAACCCTGAGGATCCATGTGGATCCGTGCTTTGTAACCACGTTTTTGTGCCATTGTGGCGCCCCTTATCTCTCTCCCCAATCGCTCGCCGATCAGCTGCTTCCTTTCAACACTCCCTTCCCTCTTGTTTGCCTTAGTGTCTTAGGTTTTTTGCTCCTCCTTTTCTACTAATTTCTCTCCTGATTGCTTTAGTCTTCCAGTCTCCTCTCCTTGCAAGTTTGCTGTCTTTACCTCCCCCCTCCCAGGCAGCCTCCTTTATTGCTAGCGTCCCTTATCTCGCTCCCAATCGCTTGCTGATCAGTGGCTTTGTTTCAACACCCACGTCCCTTTTTTTTTTTTTAAAGCATGATCTGCTTTTCGCCCCTGGGCAATTCAGCTCCAGGGACCATGCATTCACTCCATAAGACGCACAGACATCCCCCTTTACTTTTTAGGAAGAAAAAAGTGCATCTTATGGAGCGAAAATACGGTATGTTCCTAAGTGGTTTACAGCTATAAAATCAAGACATAACTGAAATGCGCACTAACAGTTCCACTGGGGCATTAAAACAGCCTTAATTAAAATATACAATAATACAAACAACTAAAAAGCAGAATAATTAAAACATTTAGGAAAATAACAGGTTTCCTTTCGGGGTCTGGTGGGGATTCTCTTATTTCAGAAGGGCATTCCACAACACTGGTGCCACTAGTGACAAAGCCTGCCTCCTTGTTCCCACAAGCCCATAATAATCAGGTCGTAGTAAAAGTAACTGTGTCCCTTTAGCTGATTGCTGGGCAGTGAAGAGACAGAAGTATGGTCAGGACCAGCCCAGGACTTTTTGGTACCTGAGGCAAACCACAAAATGGTGCCTCTCCCTTCACCGGGGAAGATGAGATGAGTGAAGGTATAAATAAGGATCTTAAGGATCATAAATAGATAATGTAGATAAACATCTACATCAGGGTCTGTTGACCCTGTGGATCCTGCCGCCTGAGGCAGTCATGTCCCCTTGCCTCATGGGCGGGCTGGCCCTGAATGCAGTTCCACTGACTCCTCCCATCTCTAAAGGAAGTCATCTGTCAGGGGTTGTTGTTGTTTAGTCGTTTAGTCGTGTCCAACTCTTTGTGACCCCATGGACCAGAGCACGCCAGGCACTCCTGTCTTCCACTGCCTCCCGCAGTTTGGTCAAACTCATGCTGGTAGCTTCAAGAACACTGTCCAACCATCTCGTCCTCTGTCGTCCCCTTCTTCTTGTGCCCTCAATCTTTCCCAACATCAGGGTCTTTTCCAGGGAGTCTTCTCTTCTCATGAGGTGGCCAAAGTATTGGAGCCTCAGCTTCCCAATCTGTCCTTCCAGTGAGCACTCAGGGCTGATTTCCTGAACCTGGGCTGGAATGGGTCCAGATAATTTGTCCCCCCCCCCAATGGTGCCTACAGCGAGTATTAGAGGCTGGGCAGTAGTTGTCCAACTCCCCAGGGTCTGTGGAGGGCTCTTTTGCTATTAGCTTGGAGAAGAACCAGGGAAAACAAAGAACTCTGCCGTGTCAGACCAGGTACCTTTTGACGGTCGTGTCGATAGCTCTCCTCATCTCAAAATTGCACAGTGAGGAAAGGACCACCATGGCTGGCGTCAAAAAACACTGAAAGGGTTTCAACCCAGAAAAACATCCAGCGAACACCCAGTGGATGAGAAAATTAGAATCCTGTTACTGGTGTTGCTTGTTTATGTTTTAAGTGTTCGGAGAGTTTTGCTTACTTGTTTCTAACGTTGCTACTGGATCTAAACCATTGGGAATAGGGTGGGCACAAGTCGGTGAATAGTGCTGTGACTCAGGCCCGAACTCCATGTTTATTTGCCCCACCCCCACCAGATGCAACCTTCTGGCCATCACTTTTTAAAACTGCAACGTGTGTTATGGTGTTAACTCTTTTCAAAGAATCACAGAGGCACCCCAGGGTCACCTAGCCCAACCCATCTAGTGCAATGCAGGAATAATAATAATAATAATAATAATAATAATAATAATTTATTTATACCCCGCCCATCTGGCTGGGTTTCCCCAGCCACTCTGGGCGGCTTCCAACAAAACACTAAATTACAATAACCTATTAAACATTAAAAGCATCCCTAAACAGGGCTGCCTTCAGATGTCTTCTAAAAGTTTGGTAGTTATATTTCTCTTTGACATCTGATGGAAGGGCGTTCCACAGGGCAGGTGCCACTACCGAGAAAGCCCTCTCCCTGATTCCCTCTAACTTTGCTTCTCATAGCGAGGGAACCGCCAGAAGGCCCTCAGTGCTGGACCTCAGTGTCCGGGTAGAACGATGGGGATGGAGACGCTCCTTCAGGTATACTGGACCGAGGCCGTTTAGGGCTTTAAAGGTCAGCACCAACACTTTGAATTGTGCTCAGAAACATACTGGGAGCCAGTATAGATCTTTCAAGACCGGTGATATATGGTCTCGGCGGCCACTCCCAGTCACCAGTCTAGCTGCCACATTCTGGATTAGTTGTAGTTTCCGGCTCAAAGGTAGCCCCACGTAAAGCACATTGCAGTAATCCAAGCAGGAGATAACCAGAGCATGCACCACTCTGGCGAGACAGTCTGCGGGCAGGTAGGGTGCCCCTGGGTGGGCTCGAACCGCCAACCTTCTGGTTAACAGCCAGATGCACCGAGCCATTGCGCCACCTTCTACCTCTGAGCAACACCCCCCACCACACACATACACCCATTTCACAGATGAGGAACTGAGGCCAATAGTAGGACGTGCTCTGTTGCGGCACGGCAAATCTGTTGCGGAGGCAAGACTTGAACCTCAGTTTCATAGACCCAGGTACAACTCCGTCCCCTTGGCCTGTAGCCCCCAGCTGGGCCCATCTTGAACCTTTCTGAGTCAGAAGAAAATGCAGCCGTTTAGGATGAAGTGGTTTTCTGGATAAACTCAGGAAGAGAAGCAGGCAGAACCGAGCGCTGCCCGGAGTTCTTCCTGGCCAGAGACAGCAGCTCCCTCCAAGCTTTGCTGCCAATTCCCTCTCCCTCCCTCGCCTCCCGTCCTTGTGCGATTTATGAGACAGAAACCACCCAGCAAGATGGCTCCCACCCTCATCACCCAGAGCTTTCACAGAAAGAGACCCGTTTTCCTTGGACTGTGGGCAAGCAGGAGTCTCCCTCCCTCCCCACATCTGGAACAGATCGTATCCTGGAGGGAGTCCAGGGCTGTCAGCACCTTTGATGCTGTTTGCTGAGGTCATGACAGCTGGATCCAAGCCCTCGGTGAAAACAGCTTGTGCGCATTACTTACTTGCCGCAAACACACCCACTGAAGTCAGAACATCTTTAGAGTCTGAGGAGGCCAATTAGTACCCCGAGCTGGTCATCCCTTGGCAGCTCAACAGGCAGAAGCCAAGCTCCCCGTGACATAACTCTGCCTGCTTGCCATGTGCCATTCGGAGATACGAGGAAATCAATTGCGAACTGTTATGTACTGAGTTGAATAGGATCCAAAATGCAGCAGTCTGATTGGTTCTAGAACAATAGGATCCAAAATGCAGCAGTCTGATTGGTCCTAGAACAATGCAGCAGTATGATTGGTTGGCAGGAACCACCCAATCATGCTCCAGATAGAAGTGAATCCACAACCTTATTGGCCTACAGGAGAATTCCGGAATTAGCCAATCATGTGCAGCCCATTGTGTAAATAATGTCTATAAAGCAGATACTTTGAGGGGACTTCCATTTCTCCTCACCAGTATGAGCTGAATAAAGAGCATGAAATCCACTTGGCGCAGACGTCCTGGAGCTTTTCCTGAGGATATTTTGCTTAAAATAAAACTTAGCAGATCAACCTGAGCCCAGAGAGCACCTCACAAGGGGTCCACACAGCCTTCCTAACTTCAGATTGGGATCATCATAATCACGTCTCTGACCAGGGAACTGTAAGCTGCAGATCGGAAATACAGTGGTACCTTGGGTTACATACGCTTCAAGTTACACACTCCGTTAACCCAGAAATAGTGCTTCAGGTTAAGAACTTTGCTTCAGGATAAGAACAGAAATTGGGCTCCAGCGGTGCGGCAGCAGCAGGAGGCCCCATTAGCTAAAGTGGTGCTTCAGGTTAAGAACAGTTTCAGGTTAAGAACGGACCTCCGGAACGAATTAAGTACTTAACCCAAGGTACCACTGTAGGGGGTACGCTAATTGACAAACAAAATAAGTGGAACTTCATTATAAGATGGATTGTTATTTGTATACCCTCCAACATTTCTCCAATGAAAATAGAAACGTCCTATACCCTCCAACATTTCTCCAATGAAAATAGAAACGTCCTATTCCATCATCAAGGGACGCGAGTGGCGCTGTGGGTTAAACCACAGAGCCTAGGACTTGCCGATCAGAAGGTCGGCGGTTCGAATCCCCGCGACGGGGTGAGCTCCCATTGCTTGGTCCCAGCTCCTGCCCACCTAGCAGTTCGAAAGCACGTCAAAGTGCAAGTAGATAAATAGGCACCACTCCAGCGGGAAGGTAAACGGCGTTTCCGTGCGCTGCTCTGGTTCACCAGAAGTGGCTTAGTCATGCTGGCCACATGACCCGGAAGCTGTACGCCGGCTCCCTCGGCCAGTAAAGCGAGATGAGTGCCACAACCCCAGAGTCGGTCACGACTGGACCAAATGGTCAGGGGTCCCTTTACCTGTATATGTATATGTAATCCATATCCATATCCATATCCATATCAATATCTCTACTGAAATCCTTGGGATTCCCTCAGTCAAACTGATAGTTTCCTCTTCTTTCTTAGTGGTCAATTTTGGTTGGCGCTCTCAGCCTGAGATTGCTAATACATGCAGTTATTGTGTAGCATACTACATGCTTGAGATTACATGCTATCAATCAAATATATAACTTTTAAGGGACACCTGAAGACAATGGAGTAACTGTGGAAGGAGCAATGGAGGCCAGAATAGATTGGCCCAAGTAGCCTGTTAAGTTGTGGGTGAACATATCAGACAACACAGAGATTCTTCAGACAGCTCTTGTTTGTTCACAGACCCAGAACGGAACTGAACTGAAGGGTTCAGCCAGCCTGCTTATATACAGCTCCATTACAATGCAACAGTAACAACTTTCTGTAACTATCCAATCACTGAACGTCACTATCAATTCCTTATTTGCATATGTGGACCTGAGTGAAAACTATCTACAGTATTCCTCTGCTGGCCCAGGGTGAGAACTTCAGTACATAACATAGCCCTTGGTGCAACCTGAAAATTGTAAGCAACACAAAACACAACACAACAGAGCTGTTGTGTAGACTATGAATCCCACAGGTCATTCCACCTTACATCTTGCATGATATTCCACATACCATAGGGAAAGAATACTGCTCCTCCTGCAAGGAATATGAGAGGGGATGTGTTTTATTAAGGGCAAAGGCTGGTGGGAGTAGTGAAGGGGCTGGAAGTTCTTCCATGGCTTGGATTTTAATCAATCACAGATGAATTTGAAGGCTTAAAAAACTCACTTCTCCTTTGAAGTGGGAGATTTTTTATATATTTTTTTAAAGCAAAATGTGGAAAGACAAGCCCTGGGATTTGTTTTGCCTTTTTAAAAAAGGAAATTATTTCCAAAGCCCTCAATAGAAGCCGGGGTGGGAGGATCTGCAAATCGTCATCTGGCTGTGGTGATCAAACTAATTAGGTAACTGGTACAAAATAAAGATTGTGAAATGGATTGCGAGAACTCTCTGAGAATAAAGAAGGGAGTCTGTCTGCCCACTTGTACTGTTGTTTGCGGCGGAAAGTTGTGGCTGTTTTTTGGGGGGGCGATTTGCCTGAAAAGACTGCAAGTCTTGGCACACACATAGAAGTAAGTGCTTTTGGATAAAGTGGCATTTCCTTCTGATGGGCAGGAGAAGGGAGACGTTTTGCTTAACAACCGAAGAAGGAATACAAAGATTGGTCAGCAGAGAAACTGCAGCTTTTAATGAAATGCAGATTGGCACTTGGGCCTAATGAGAAACACTTTACAAAGACAGGCAGGCACAATTGGCAACTTTAGAGAAAACAGTGCAGCTGTTATGCCCTGCAATGTGGGGTTTGTGCGGGGCTTATTTTTCCCCATAATTTTTTTTTATTAAGGTTTCAAAGATTTAACATATACACTTCAATACATAATAAATTTATCATTTCCTTCCAATTTCTTGGAAGAAATTTAAGGATTATTTAGCTAGATATTCTAATATAACGTAAGTAGAACTATTTGTAAGTACCAAATCGGCCTAGGAGTTAAATATGTTGAATTGTATAACATTATGGATTGAAATTACCACAAAGAGAAAGAAAGATAGCAACTGGATTAAGTTAATTTTATTAGAAAGTGGATATCGGAAAACTGCTACAATGAGGTTTAGGGAAACTCAGTCAGGGGGGATTTGAGGAAGTCACTTAACAATGAAAATCAAATTGGGCTTCAAACAGTTAGGTGTTTATATGTTTGTTTGTTTTTTCTTTTTAAAATTGTAATGTTTTTCTTTTTTGTGTGCTTGTTGTAAATTTGGAAAACCAGTAAAAAAAAATTGGGGGGAAAAATAAATTTATCATTTTCTGACTTCCCACCTCATTTTCCATGATGTTTTCATTTCTCCCCCTCTGCTGTGCAATACCTTCTATCTTTTACCATAACATCAATACTGTATTCTCTAATACCTTCTCTTGCTCTTTTTTAAATCCTGCTTGTGAGGCCATCAAACTGCAATATTTCCTTAAGTAGTCCAAAAATGGTCTTCCATTCTTCTGGGGCTTTGGGTTAACATTGCTATTGTAGAAAAATCTCCGTCTGGGCTAATGTGTAACTTCATACAAGTAGAATATGCAGTGCTTTTTTCTGGGGGGACACGCAGGGGTACGCATACCCCTAAACATTTTGTGAATCTAAGTTTGCCTCATTGAGGGGCAGTATTTCAATATGAGCAGGAAAATGAGAGTAACCCTAAGCAATTTTTTTTATATATAGAAAAAAAGCACTAAGAATATGTAATTTCAGAAATAAAATTCAAGGGATGGGGAGTAGCCACTATGCAGAACTGGCGAATCAAACAGCAAAAATAAAAAACCAGAATGACGGTCTATTTGTGGAAGAATAGAAGCCTTTTTTTGGAATCTCTGAAAAACCCCATAATCAGATGAAATCGCAAGCAGGATTTGAAACATGAGAAGCGGAAGAAAGATGATAATATTTGAAATGAAAGAATATATTTTCGGTAGAATGTTCATTAGAAGGCAGTATGTAGATGAGATGGGATTCAGAACAGCAGGGAAGAAAGGCAGAAAGTCAAAGTTTAAAGATAGATAGATAATTTATTACGGTCGGAGACCAGCTTCTAAAACACACTTGGGGGTACAATCCCAGAAGGAAAACAAACATTTAAAACAATGTGCAACAATAAATTTGAAATTTATAAACGCAAAAAGCGTATAGACACTTAAAACTTTAAGCGAAGTTTAAAGAGAAATGTAAAACTTGAAAGCTGGAATTTAAAGATTTTGAAGTTGAATAAAAATGTGATGTCAAAACAAAACAACAGAATAAAATCCGCCTCTCCTTTCACACTTCAGCCTAGTTGCTCTCAGTTGTCTTCCAGGCTAGATGTCTCGCACCTCTCAGCATTTAGCAGTACCACTCCCTTTCGAACTGTTGCCCACCGTGGGGCAGTTTGCAGTGCAGTTTCGGGACCCCATGCCTTGCGGAGAACGAGGGCGATGGAGAGGGGCACCAAACAGACCGGCAGGGAGGTCAAGATGACGACCACTCCGGTGGGTGTCCGAAGCTCTGTGGGGTCACGGGGGAGGGAGCAGTTGGCGAAGTACTCCGCGTGGATTCTCATGAAGAAGGCGTCCAACGTGGGGCTGGCCACCGGGCAGCCCATCCCTTCAGCCAGCAGCCCAGTGCAGAGGACCAGCTCGCTATATATACTGCAGAGGGACAAAATGAAAAGGTTTTAGTTTAAGGTTTTTGGCATAAAATTTTGGGCCACAACTTTATTAAAATACATAATCTGTGAGTGGTTGCTTAGGCATTGGTTATGACTATCTGTCCCCCCCACCTGGGACAGAACTGACTATCCGAACTCCCTCGGAAGCCAGTGAAAGGATAACAATATTGGGGATCAGTTGAGCTGAGCGTCAGTCCCTTACCGCTCACCCAATCTGCTCCCCAAGGCTTGCTGGCCCTGGTCCCATTTCAGGGATTGGACGAAATCATGGCAAGCCCCAGGATTCCTTTAACGGAATTCCCTTCCACCACCATTGGAGGGGCAGGCACAGCCTATCCTGACCCCTCCTCCACCAATTTTTATAAACAATGCCTAGCGCAACCTTACAAGTTCTGACGAATTGCTAAGTAGTAGGCAAAAACCAGATGGCACCAGCCAATCAGCCAAATGGCAAAATTCCTACTAGGCCCCTGCCCCAAGGCAGACGACCCCATGACAGGCATAGCAAGGTCAACCGGAACACAGGGCGGGTGGGCAGGTGATCCGATGCACTCTGCAAAAGAGAAAGGAAAAGGCAGAGTGCCCCAATATTTAAAACCTTTGGTCCCACCCACCCAAATTGCAACATGCAATTTGCCCCAGCAACCTAGTCATCCCATCGTTGCTTCAGGCAATAACCATTTAACCTGCCTGGCAACAGAGGTTTGGCCTGGCAGACCCCCCCGCAACCCGTGCTCTCATTTGGGGAGAACACGCTTTGTCATGGATGCTTCAGCTGAGATTCCTGCATTGCAGGTGGGTGAACTACGATTCTATGATTCTAGGGCATTTGCAAATTTATTCAGTGAGGGGTCTTAAAAATATGCATTTGGGTGGGAGGAATTCAAATACAGTCGGACCTTAGTTTTCGAACGCCTTAGTTCTCAAACGTTTTGGCTCCCAAACGCCGCAAACCCGGAAATGACTGTTCCGGTTGGCAAACTATTTTTGGAAGCCGGACGTCCGACGGGGCTTCCAATTGGCTGCAGCAGCTTCCGGCAGCCAATCAGAAGCCGCGCTTTGGTTTCCGAATGTTTTGGAAGTTGGACAGACTTCCAGAATGGATTCCGTTCGACTTCCAAGGTACAACTGTATGCTCTCTCTCTCTCTCTTTTTGCAAATGTCTTTCGTGAAGGGGTCTTAAAAATAGGTTTTTAGGTGTGAGGGAATCAAAACTGCTTTTATTTTTGTGATTGGACAACATCATCTTGTAAACCGCCCCTTGATCTTCAGATGAGATGCGGTATAGAAATTTAATAAATAATAATAATAACATTTGTTGAAGAAGTGCATGAAGTGCTTTTGGAAAGCCAAAGAGTGTTAATTCTGCTGTCTGAAAATATCTGGCAATGTTTAATAAATAAATTAATATTATATAACAGCAAGTACTTGGCAATCGTTTTTAATGATTGCTGTGCAATTTTACACACATTTTACTCACCAACCAAAACTAAATTGGATTAATTTAACCGAAATATCCTTTGAATTCCCAAGTTTTCAAAGTTTTCAAATTCCCCTTTATGGAAGCAGGCATTTTCAAAATAAAGTTTTTTATGAACCGCCCTAACGTGGAGGTATGTGCCTGTGGAGGTGCATCCTCTTTAGCATTTTGGTGAGGTTCCTGGGCAAATAAAAAATACATTGGAGGGGTGAACCTTCCAGGCATGGACTCACCTTCCCAAGCTCCACTTCCATGTCTGAGGAGTGAAAATCCTTAAAGGGGCAACCTTGTCCCTATAGCACTGCGGTAGCTTGCCTTTACTCCCTGCCTAGTATATTCACTGCACCATCAACAAGAACATGGCAACCAATTTGTCAAGGAGCTCAGACTCAGGATCAATTATCTCTCAGACCCCCCAAGTGTCCCTATTTTCTAGGGACGGTCCCAGATTTACAGAAGCCGTTCCGGTTTCTGGCTTGATCCTAGAATGTCCCGCTTTCCCTTAGAACGTCCCTATTTTCACTGTATAGGTGTTGGAGAGTATGGTTGTTGTAGTTTAGTCGTTTAGTCATGTCCAACTCTTCGTGACCCCATGGACCAGAGCACGCCAGGCACTCCTGTCTTCCACTGCCTCCCGCAGTTTGGTCAGACTCATGTTGGTAGCTTCAAGAACACTGTCCAACCATCTCATCCTCTGTCATCCCCTTCTCCTTGTGCCCTCCATCTTTCCCAGCATCAGGGTCTTTTCCAGGGAGTCTTCTCTTCTCATGAGGTGGCCAAAGTATTGGAGCCTCAGCTTCAGGATCTGTCCTTCCAGTGAGCACTCAGGGCTGATTTCCTTCAGAATGGAGAGGTTTGATCTTCTTGCAGTCCATGGGACTCTCAAGAGTCTCCTTCAGCACCATAATTCAAAAGCATCAATTCTTCAGCGATCAGCCTTCTTTATGGTCCAGCTCTCACTTCCATACGTCACTACTGGGGGAAACATAGCTTGAACTATACGGACCTTTGTTGGCAAGGTGATGTCTCTGCTTTTTAAGATGCAGAGTGTGGTAGGAGTCCCTGTTTCCATTGGAGAAATCTTGGAAGGCATTGTCTCTGCCATAGAAGGAACAATACACCAGAATGTAACCCCCACATAAATGGGGGGGGAGGCCTATATGTAAAATAAATCAAGAAACCAACCCCCCTGAGGTACCAGGAACCAGGTCTGCGGCTCAGAAATCTATACCTGCCAGTTGTTTCCCAGATACACCTGCTGCTATCTGCTGCAGCCATGACGGAGGCATGAAACTTGGGCCAGCAGAACAGCGCTACCCAGTCATAGTAGGTATCTCCACAGTCACTGGCTTGGTCGTCCTCTTCTTCAAAAGGCCCTAGCCGAGAATGAGAGATCGGAAGAGAATTATGACTGGGACTGTGGCAGGCAAAAATCCCCTGCCCCATCCCATCCAGCTCAGTGTGTGCCTCCACCCCCTGCTCTAATAATAATAATAATAATAATAATAATAATTTATTTATACCGCCCTCCCCAGCCAAAGCCGGACTCAGAGCGGCTAACAACAGTAAAATAATACAACATTCTAAAATCATTTCATTATAAAATCAGTTCATGGCATCTTGCCAGCAATTCATTTATTAAACATCAGCTATGCAAATGCAAACTACCTGACAAACATCACTTCTAGTTTGGCTCTGGGAAGAAAGCGTATCAAACACTGCAGGCAACAGAAAGGATGCCTGATTCTGTTGTACCACCTACACTGTGTGCAAATGGTGTTGAATTGGGAAAGGAATCAAATCACATTCCAGCCAGCTTTTTACATTCAACCCAACAGGCAAATGGTGCATGTAACTAGAGTTGTGCAAATAACAACAACAACAACAACAACAATAATAATTTTATACCCCGCCCACTCTGGGTGGCTTCCAACAAAATACAATAGTCCGTTAAACATTAAAAGCTTTCCTAAACAGGGCTGCCTTCAAATGTCTCCTAAAAGTCTGCTAGTTGTTTTTCTCTTTGACATCTGGTGGGAGGGCGTTCCATAGGGTGGGTGCCACTACCAAGAAGACCCTCTGTCTGGTTCGCTATAACCCAGCCAGATGGGCGGCGTATAAATAAAATATTATTATTATTATTATTATTATTATTATTATTATTCAGTGTGTGTCACATGTGAAAACTTCCAAGAGAGGTCACAAAATAAAAAGCGAGATATTGGGTAAACAGACCATTTTGGGACACAGATCTCATTAAAACAGAAGCCTGTGGCTAAAAGAAGAACAAAGACTTCTGTTTGGCAACAGAGGAGATGGGAGGAAGAGATTGTTGCTCACCTTCATCTGGATACAGGTAGGAGACTGGAAGGAGAAGGTAGATGTTAGTCTAGGAACAGCAGTAGGATGAGTAACAGTGATAGGGCAGGCCTGGGGACTCGCTGGCTCAACTATTACCTTCCTCAAGAAAGATCTATCTAAAGGCGGGGAACCTGTGAAGCCTGTTTCATCTCCCCTGTACTGTATACACAATTTCACCTTCAGCTTTAGGCTCCAGAACTGACACAAACTTAAGAGGAAGACAGATGGAATCAGCCCAAGTACTGATCCATAAAGGTAAAGGTAAAGAGACCCCTGACCATTAGGTCCAGTCACGGACGACTCTGGTTGTGGCGCTCATCTCGCTTTACTGACCGAGGGAGCCAACGTCCAGCTTCCGGGTCATGTGGCCAGCATGACTAAGCCGCTTCTGGCGAACCAGAGCAGCGCACGGAAATGCTGTTTACCTTCCCGCCGGAGCGGTACCTATTTATCTACTTGCACTTTGACGTGCTTTCGAACTACTAGGTTGGCAGGAGCTGGGATTGAGCAATGGGAGCTTTCCCCCCCTTGCGGGGATTCGAACCGCTGACCTTCTGATCGGCAAGTCCTGGGCTCTGTAGATCAGATCAAAGATATATCTTGGCACAGCACTTTTCTCTCCAGCAGAGACCTCCCCCACCCCAGAGGTTCCCAAGCGAGGGATAATGGAGATTATTAAATCTCTGCTGGGAGGACAAACATCTGGAGGAGGACAAAGGCTCAGCCCAGAACCCTGCTTAAGTTCACGAGTGCCTCTCTGAGGATGTGCATGTTGGTTTTCCCTCCTGTCACAACTACAAAGATCAGGAATGAGGAACTTTGAAGTGACCAGCAAGCAAGGCATCCAGGCAACCTTAAGTCCCAATGTCTGCGTTCAAATGCCGCGTTAAACCGTAGTTAAAAGACAAACTATCCGTTGTATCTGAGTTGATCACAGTCAGAGTAGACCCACTGAAACTGATGGAGTTGAAGTTAGTCCCATCTGTGCCATTCAAGGGAGGAAACTAGCCAGAGTCTCAATGTTGTGATGTGTGAACCCAGAACCATGGTTTGTTTCCTACAACCAAACCATGTCCTTAGTTTACCTTGTTTGGTTTATTTGAAGATAACAAACCATGAGCACAGCTTCACACATCACAACAAGACACACTCTAGCTTGCTTGGGGCTTGTTTTCTCCTCTGCATGGCGAGGTTAAGAGCAGCAGCTGTGCAGGAGATGTGCTTGTGCACATTAAGCTATAGTTTATTTTAAACCGTGGTAGGCAAACTAAGGCCCGGGGGCTGGATCCAGCCCAATCACCTTCTAAATCCGGCCCAAGGACGGTCCGGGAATCAGTGTCTTTTTACATGAGTAGTATGTGCCCTTTTATTTAAAATGCATCTCTGGGTTATTTGTGGGGCATAGGAATTTGTTCATTCCCCTCCCCCCAAAAATATAGTCTGGTCCCCCACAAGGTCTGAGGGACAGTGGACCGGCCCCCTGCTGAAAAGGTTTGCTGACCCCTGTTTTAAACTATTGTTTAACTGAAATATACTCGGAGTCGAGAGTGGATTTCATGCTCTTTATTCAGCTCATAGTGGTGAGGAGGAATGGAAGTTCCCCCAGAATGTCTGCTTTATATACATTATTTACACAATGGGCCCCACCTGATTGGCCTACAGGAGAATCCCGGAATTAGCCAATCAGGTTGCGGATTCACTTCCACCTGGAGCTGGATTGGGTGGCTCCTGTGGACCAATCAGACTGCTGCATTCTGAATCCTATTGTTCTAGGACCAATCAGACTGCTGCATTTTGGATCGTATTCAACTCAGTACATAACATTAACATTGCAAACCAAGCCAGTATTTCTGGCAACTGGGCATCATCCTGCTTTCAAATTAAATCTTTTATTCTTGGCTGCAATGGTCAATGGACATGAATGAACATTCCCCAAGAAGGCAAAAGAGAGAGAAAACAATTCTTTTGAAAGCCATCTATGCCACCAGAACACCCAGGTACAATGCGTTCCGTAGATACATTACATGTTGCACAATGCAATATTAACTTCTATCTGCCCTGGTGTGGTAAAAATTCACTGGTTGACCCTAAGTGTTACTGTTTAAAAAAAGAGAAAAGGAATCCCTGCCTTATCGGCTCCTTCCACATTGTTCCGAGTAATTTTTATAAACATCCATGGTTTCCTCTCAAGCACCTCCTTGTTCAAAAGCGAAAACTCACCAAACGCCTTCCTTCCCAAGGCAGCGACTCCCTATTCCTGATCCAAAAATATTAGGTAGTTCTGGGATCTCTTCCAGTTTGGGGAGGAGTGGGGAGGAAAGCACAAATGAAAAGTTCCCCCTTGCCCTAACCTGATGTCCTTATTAAAGAGGGAGGGAATCTGTTACTGTCTTGGGAAGAGATTACCACATTTTTTTCTGGCAGAATTCGTGTGCCTTTAGCACCGTCATTGCAGGCAGAAATTCAGCAGCTGAAATCTTTCCTCCTCAATGTGCAGAGACACCAGAAACGCTTCACCTGCCAAACTACTGCTTGTCGTACAATTTGTTTGGCTGTTCTTTCAATTTATTGGCCAACCTTTCTACAATATATTACCCGAGGCGATCAGTTTGTAATGTTTCATTATGTTTAGGGAAGCTTTTAATGTTTAATAGACTATTGTATTTTAATATTTTGTTGGAAGCTGCCCAGAGTGGCTGAGGAAACCCAGCCAGATGGGCGGGGTATAAATAATAAATGATGATGATGATGATGATGGTGGTGGATGTCTTTATATATGTGGGAAGCTGCACAGAGTGACTGGGGCAACCTGGTCAGATGGCCGAGGTACAAATAATAAAATTATGATGGTGATGATTTACAGCAACCATTAAAAATACATCAAAACACTTTAAAAAATATAAAAAGAGAGAAAATAGGACCAAACAGTGGTCACATTAAAACACTTTTAGATGAATTTAAAATGTGTTTTCCTGACAGTGGAAAGAAAAGGGGCTAAGTCGGTGGTTCTCAAACATTTTTTCTGGGTCACCAGACACTCCAAGTGTCCCTATTTCCCAGAGATGTCCCTAAATTAGAGAAGCTGTCCCAGTTTCTGATTTGATCCCGGAATGTCCTGCTTTTCCTTAGGACACCCCTATTTTCATTGGAGAAATGTTGGAGGGAATGGAGTTATCTGATCCCCGAGCCGTCTGAAGGCAATCCAGTATAGGGAAGTTTTTTTTAATATTTAATGTTTTATTATGTTTTTATACATGTTGGAAGCTGCCCAGAGTGGCAGGGGCAACCCAGTCAAATGTGTGGGATATAAATAGTAAAATTATCATTACGGAATGGGACGACCCTATTTTCATTGGAGAAATGTTGGATTCTGGGCCACACTTCCAAAATAAAAATTTGCTCGCGCCACAACAATTTTTTTATCGATAAGAAATACCGTATTTTTCGCTCTATAAGACGCACCAGACGGCAAGACGCACCTAGTTTTTGGAGGAGGAAAACAAGGGGGGGGAAATTTCTGAATCTCAGAAGCCAGAACAGCAAGAGGGATCGCTTCGCAGTGAAAGCAGCAATTCCTCTTGCTGTTCTGGCTTCTGGGATAGCTGAGCAGCCTGCATTCGCTCCATAAGACGCACACACATTTCCCCTTACTTTTTAGGAAGGAAAAAGTGAGTCTTATAGAGCAAAAAATACGGTACATTGGAAAACAAAACAACTTCTAGCAGTGCTTGATTTATAGCACAGAACACAACTACTTTGTCATATGATCGTGAGATATCCAGAAAGTACAGTGGTACCTCAGGTTAAGATCTTAATTTGTTCTGGAGGTCCGTTCTTAACCTGAAACTGTTCTTAACCTGAGGTACCACTTTAGCTAATGGGGCCTCCCACTGCTGCCACGCGATTTTTGTTCTCATCCTGAAGCAAAGTTCTTAACCCGAGGTACTATTTCTGGGTTAGCAGAGTCTGTAACCTGAAGCGTCTGTAACCTAAAGTGTCTGTAACCCGAGGAACCACTGTATAAAAGACTGTGGCTCTGTAACAACACAAATCATTCCCAGAATATAATATTGATTGTCCTTGAATGTTCCCACCACACTCGCCACCCTCTCCTGCCACACCAGTGTGGCACACCACACCCTTTGAGGACCACTGGGCTATGTGGACGTCCCTAGGGGGGGTCTTCTAAATCTAGGGTGCAGCCTCTGGGAAGGCCCTCCCGTGTCCCCATTTCATAACGGCCCAGTACCCTCTGTATGAGAAGTGTGGAAATGGCAACGGAAAGATAAATGGGAAAGGGCAGTGCTAAGGACTGGTTTGCTCTTCTTGTTCCCAGAGAACAAATACTTGTTTCTCTCTTACTTTCATCTTCAAAGTCATCATAGGTCAGTGCTGTGCATCCTGAAGGAGGAAAGAGAGAGAGAAAGAAAGGTCAGAGAGGGAGAATTGCAGGAGTCCCTTCTGTCTCGGCCCCACCCTAAAGCCAGACCCTCCAAGTGCCCCTATTTTCCAGGGACAGTCCCAGATTTACAGAAGCTGTCCTGGTTTCTGATTTGATCCCGGAATGTCCCACTTTTCCTTAAAGGTAAAGGACCCCTGACAGTTAAGTCCAGTCGTGAACAGCTCTGGGGTTGCGGCGCTCATCTCACTTTACTGGCCAAGGGAGCTAATGTTTGTCTGCAGACAGTTTTTCCGGGTCACGTGGCCAGCATGACTAAGCCGCTTCTGGTGAAACTAGAGCAGCGCACAGAAATGCCGTTTACCTTCCCGCCAGAGCGGAACCTAATTATCTACTTGCACTTTGATGTGCTTTTGAACTGCTAGGTTGGCAGGAGCTGGGATTGAGCAACGGGAGCTCACCCCATCGTGAGGATTCGAACCGCCAACCTTCCAATCGGCAAGCCCTAAGCTCAGTAGTTTATACCACAGTGCCACCCACACTATTTTCATTGGAGAAATGTTGGAGGGCATGCAATAGGACGTCCCCATGGCATTTTTTCAGCCGGAACTCAGTTCCAGCACCTCTGGTGGGCTCCAGTGGGCGCCATTGCCATTCTAGGAGAACGAGAGAAGTGTTCATGGTGAGTTCTGGCACCTCTTTTTCTAGAAAAATAGCACTGCAATCATGCTCATTCTTAGCATGCTGTTTGGTCTATATTGGTCCGGGATCCTGGTTTGCCACAAGGGAAGGTGGGTTTACTTGATACGCATTAGAAAACCCTCCCTCTGATTAGGCGATTCACATTTTTTCCTTCCCGCTAATGGACACACGGGTGGGGGGGTGGGGATGCCAAATCACTCTGCAACAATTTTTTTATTTTCAAAATGAAACCAGTTTCTCTTTTTTTTCTTTCTTTCAAAAAAATAAAATAAAATTTACAAACATCAAATTCAAAATCCATATTCATTTTCTAACATAAGCCTATTACCTAGATTACCTAAATTAAAATATATCTAATTGCTCTAGGCTTCCCTTTGCTATATGTAAATGCAACACAATTAACAAATTATATTATAAATGATATTATAGGTTCCCACATACCCCCCCCCCCCCAGTTTCTCAAGGAGTGCTTTTCAGGGCAAGATCTAGGTTGTGTGTGCACCATGAAGAGGATGGGGGCAAAGTGCTGTACTTGGCCCCGGAAGAAAACGCAATGTGCACAGCAGCCTGACACAGTCCATTTCCACGTAGATGGGATTAAGCCTTAAGGCCTTACACAGAGACCTGTTTTTTAAGCAAAATAACCCCAAGGATGTTTCTGTTCAGTTTGCAGAACGCTAAAAGCTGCCTCCCTGTCAGTTAGGTAAAGGTAAAGGGACCCCTGACCATTAGGTCCAGTCGTGACCGACTCTAGGGTTACGGCGCTCATCTCGCTTTATTGGCCGAGGGAGCCGGCGTACAGTTTCCGGGTTGTGGCCAGCATGACTAAGCCGCTTCTGGCGAACCAGAGCAGCGCATGGAAATGCAGTTTACCTTCCCACCATAGCGGTACCTATTTATCTACTTGCACTTTGACGTGCTTTCAAACTGCTAGGTTAGCAGGAGCAGGGACCGAGTAACGGGAGCTCACCCCATTGCGGGGATTCGAACCGCCGACCTTCTGATTGGCAAGCCCTAGGCTCTGTGGTTTAGACTACAGCGCCACCCGCGTCCCTCCCTCTCAGTTACTCAGGACTTAACCTCCGAAAACATTTCACCGGCGAAATGTTGGAGGGTATGTAAAGCTCTCGTTGTCGAGGCCACTGCTGCACCTCACAGGGCAACAGATGGAAGAGGTGAAGGAGGAAAGAATGTGGCAGTAGGAAAAGAGAAATCTAACTGGGGCTTCCCTGGACTACCCTTGTCAGTTCAGAATAACTGCTTTGGCTGCTCTTTTTTTGCATATTGTATGTTTGTGCAGCTGCTGGAAATGGAGAGGGGCTCCCTTGTTTCTGTTCGGTTGGGTTGCTTTGAAGCCAGTTCTAAGCACAGCAGGCAGCTTCCTTGCCCTTCTCTCTGCCCCACAAGTGACCCCAGGTCCACAACAAGGTCCCTCCGGTTCACCTGCAAAGAAGTCACCTCCAGGTGTGCACCAACACAGCGTTATTATGCTAAAGCCAGGATGACTTTGTTGCTTTATTCGAACAATGCAACTGAGCCCAAGAATAGGAAATCAAAAGCAACTTTGCTGCCGCCAACTAAAATAATCCAAGCTAAACACCAACAGATGTCAGCCCACCCCCCAAAGTTAAATACAATAGCTTTATAAACCGTGAGGTAGAGCTTCTATGGAGAAGCTGGCCTCATACATTCAGGAGAGAGAGAGAGGGGCTCACCAAGGAAGGCAAATTTGTTGTAATTTGTTCCAAATGTTTGTTAAACTGGAATCAAAACAAGTCGTTTTGTGGGTTTCCAAATCACACAATTTCCACTGTGTTTTTTTTTAAATGTACGTTCTTCCAAGAGAAGGAGAAGCGCTCCAAGGGATTGCAAATGTCAAAGCCCTCATTCATTGTAATTATTGCAGAGTCCTAGCCAGAAATTTGGTCAGGTTGTGGAAATCAATATGCAGTATTGCAGTATTCCAAAACTGGAAACTACAGCTTAGCCCCACTGAATTGAATAGGATTTACTTCTGAGTAGGCGTGCTTAGGCTTGCACTGTAGCTAAAACTCGTAGAGTTTCCAAGCAAATCAGAACAAATACTCAATAAAAGACTGGATGCAATTCTAACTTCCATGGGAGTTTTGTGCAGGATCAGTGCTCAATTACATATACAGGTTGGTCTTTTCCCCATACAATTCAGACAAAACTTAGGGTTGTTTTTTTCTCTCAATAGCATTATACTCACATAAGCCCAATCTACTGCCAGTATCGTGGTATTTTTCACGCCATGTAGCACTGAAAGACAACTATATATTCTTTTCTAATGGGACGGGAAACGGGACACTTACCTTTGCAAAAAAGCAAAAGCAGGCTAGAATACAGGAGACAACGCCAGAGAGGTTGGGGCATTCTCATCACCATCTTGGGAGAGAAATTCAGCCTTTCTCCTCTCTTATCAAATGGCTGTCTGAGACCCCTATGGCCCACATCGACTTGGGAGTTTGGCTGTGAAACCCTCCCATGTGAGCCTCTTGCAAACTGGACCAGTTGTTGAAAGAAAGAGTCATTCATCATAGATAACTATCAAGCAAGGGGCATGAATATCCTGAGGTTTGATGAACGGGAGATGATAGTTCCATGGGTGAGCTGGCTTTGGAGAATCCTAAACATGCTCCAAGATAATCTCATTGTTCACAGATTCCAGGGAGATCCTTGCTTCTTAATGCTGCCGTGCTGAGAAAATGAACAGGTAGGCACCACACTTGTTTTCTGAACAATGGAAAATTACCGGTACAGTGGTGCCCCACAAGACGAATGCCTCGCAAGACGAAAAACTCGCTAGACGAAAGGGTTTGTGTTTTTTGAGTCGCTTCGCAAGACGAATTTCCCTATGGGCTTGCTTCGCAAGACGAAACGTCTTGCGAGTTCTTGCGAGTTTGTTTCCTTTTTCTTAAAGCCGCTAAGCCGTTAATAGCCGCTAAGCCGCTAATAGCCGTGCTTCGCAAGACGAAAAAACCGCAAGACGAAGAGACTCGCGGAACGGATTAATTTCGTCTTGCGAGGCACCACTGTACATGCAGGGACCAAATCACAACACAAGGTAAGGCATACTTAAGCATACAGTGGTACCTCGGGTTAAGTACTTAATTTGTTCCAGAGGTCCGTACTTAACCTGAGACTGTTCTTAACCTGAAGCACCACTTTAGCTAATGGGGCCTCCTGCTGCTGCCGCGCCGCCGGAGCACGATTTCTGTTCTCCTCCTGAAGCAAAGTTCTTAACCTGAAGCACTATTTCTGGGTTAGTGAAGTGTGTAACCTGAAGCGTACGTAACCTGAAGCGTATGTAACCCGAGGTACCACTGTATTTGTAACTTTAAGCCTAAAGCCTGCCTTCAGGGATCACACCGTGCTCTGCCTGATCATGAGTCAACTTGCTTTTGTTATTTATGAATAAGACTGTTGTATCTTTATTCTTTTAAGAGGGATTCAAGGGGTATTACCAGGAGCATATCCCAATCTGGGCAATCCAGATTGAATTGCTCATTGTCTTAAGAGATTCTAACGAGTCTGCAACCAACTTCCTGCTGTCTAATAGGGGGATGCACTCTGCTATATGAAGAAACTTGCTAGCGCGAGTTAGGAAAGATCATATTAATCAATACAGTGGGACCTCGGGTTAAGATGGCCCTGCTCTCTAGCTACGAAGCCAGCAGCATGCTGAAAATGTATCAGTTACCCCTATGCTCAGGTATATGGAACCAATGAGAAGGAAAACATAGTTTTGAAGCCAGTAAGATAAGACCAATTCTATAAACACTCCGCAAAGCAGGGGAGAGAGGTATTGGCAAATGGTTTCCCTTCAGCCCTATGAGAGATATACAAACTTCAAGAGGGGAGTTGCTTGGCTGTTTTCCAGCAAAAACTCAAAATAGCCAAGTCCCAGTGCCAAAACAAATGATGGTTCAAGTTTCTGAAGTGTCAGAGACTATGTGAGAGTTTTCCCTGTTGGGATGTGTATGCAGCAATGAGTGATATCGTTGCTCTCACCAGAGGCACATTTTGAAACCATGCGAGTTTGGTAAAGAACAATAATGGTCTTTCAATGCATTGCATTTCAACTGTATTGTAACTTTTGAATAATTTTTTTTAAAAAAACAAAAACCAATCGTGGTGGTCTTCATAAGAAGGGAATGATTCACCTTACTGCTCCCCCCTTCATTAGGATAGAAAATTGCGGTCTATATTGTCTATAAGTTCTAAGGTGACCTCATGTTATGATCACCTCATGTTCCAAGGGTGAGTCCAACCACAAAAGATCAGTTCTGGAGGCAGTGTAGAGGTAAGGTCGGCAAGTACAGCCATTTTCTGGGAATAAGGCAAAGTGGTTATATATAGTCATTTCCCACAGTACAGTGGTACCTCGGGTTACATACGCTTCAGGTTACACACTCCGCTAACCTAGAAATAGTGCTTCAGGTTAAGAACTTTGCTTCAGGATAAGAACAGAAACCGGGCTCCGGCGGCGCGGCGGCAGCAGGAGGCCCCATTAGCTAAGGTGGTGCTTCAGGTTAAGAACAGTTTCAGGTTAAGTACGGACCTCCGGAACGAATTAAGTACTTAACCAGAGGTACCACTGTATTTATATTTTAGACTTGCTTCTCTTCACCCTCCTGACTCCTGCCTGAAAGATTCTGTGGAACCCAAAAGCTTGCTGCACTGTGAACACGTCTCACTCGGAAAAGTCTGAGGTAGCCCCCCCACAATTAACACAAGGCCCATGCCACTGTCACCACTCCCAGTTCCAACCTGAGGAATTGTGCTGCCTATCAGATGTTAGTTACTCAATTCTAGCCCGACACAGAAGCTGCTAAACCCTAAGGCAGACCCTTTCATCTTCAAAGTCATCATAGGTCAGTGCTGTGCATCCTGAAGGAGGAAAGAGAGAGAGAAAGAAAGGTCAGAGAGGGAGAATTGCAGGAGTCCCTTCTGTCTCGCCCCCACCCTAAAGCCAGACCCTCCAAGTGTCCCCAATTTCCAGGGACAGTCCCAGATTTACAGAAGCTGTACCAGTTTCTGATTTGATACCAGAATGTCCCGCGCTTCCTTAGGCTATCCGTATCTTCATCAGAGAAATGTTGGAGGGTATGGAGTTATGCAACCCGCGAACCAAGGAGATAAGTAACTCTACAACCTTTAGAAGACATCTGATAATCTGATAAGAAAGTTTTGAGAATTTAAATTCTAGATTAAAATTGATTACTTAATTGAGAAGGGGATTGTAACAAAAACACTGGGGCCTAATTTGAATAGTAGAGTGCCTGGTATCTGGTGGGCAGACCAAAGCACTCGTCAGGAGAGCTATGAGATTCAGGTGAGGGTCAGATGCCTTGTCAGTCCCAGCAGGTATATAACAGGAAGACCTGGCCTGAAGGTAGCCCTGTATAGGGAAGGGTTGTTTTTTTGTGTGTGTGTGTTCAATGTTTTGTTATGTGTGTGTGTGTGTGTGTTCAATGTTTTATTATGTTTTTATAGATGTTGGAAGCTGCTCAGAGTGGCTGAGGCAACCCAATCAGATGGGTGGGGTATAAATGATAAAATGATGGTGGTGGAGGAGGAATAGGATGTCCCTATTATGGAATAGGACATCCCTATTTTCATCAGAGAAATGTTAAGGCATAACTGAGAACTGTCGAAAAAGGAGGAAAGAACTGGGAGCTGCCAATAGGTATCAGTGTCTCCACGCCCAAACACAAAACAGCAGGGTTGTTTATACTCTTTCCAATTTGGATTTTATTTCTTGTGATTTGTTGTTTATGGAGTAGTGTGCCTTAAAAAACAATAAAATAAAATAGAAGAAGAAGAAGAAGAAGAGTTTGGATTTGATATCCCGCTTTATCACTACCCAAAGAAGTCTCAAAGCGACTAACATTCTCCTTTCCCTTCCTCCCCCACAACAAACACTCTGTGAGGTGAGTGAGGCTGAGAGACTTCAGAGAAGTGTGACTGGCCCAAGGTCACCCAGCAGCTGCATGTGGAGGAGCAGGGAATCGAACCCAGTTCACCAGATTACGAGTCCACCGCTCTTAGGTATCCTTTACAGAGCTGTGCAAAACAACCTTGCACTATATATTCTGTTGCTAATATTCCAGAGTGCTGGGAGTGTGGACTGGTTTGCCTTTTCCAGTCGAAAATCCCTCCTGTAAAACACTCCTCATCTTGTTGCCTTCCTCTTGGCTCAAATTAGGAAGTATCCTGGCCATGCTATGAGTTAACTATGACTTTGTTGAATTGTATTGCTTGCTTTGATGGATTTCTTCTTGTTGTTCGCTTCATAGGCTTTTGCGTTTGATATTATAGTGATTGCAATTTTTTATTATTACTGTTCCTGCTCAGCAATCGCTGTTGGAAAAGTGGAGGTGCAAATATTAAAACCAACTCAGCTCCAAAACCGTGTCGCACGCAGAAACCACGTGGGACACATTGACTGGCACGCGGAGGTGTTGCCCTTTTAAACCCTTAATTCTTTCAAAACCATCCTCTCTCTAAATACAGTGGTGCCTCGCAAGACGAATGCCTCGCAAGACGAAAAACGTGCAAGACGAAAGAGTTTTCCGTTTTTTGAGTCGTTCCGCAAGACGAATTTCCCTATGTCTTGCAAGTTCTTGCGAGTTTGTTTCCTTTTTCTTAAAGCCGCTAAGCCATTAATAGCTGCTAAGCCGCTAATAGCTGCTAAGCCGCTAATAGCCGTGCTTCGCAAGATGAAAAAACCGCAAGACGAAGAGACTCGCGGAACGGATTAATTTCGTCTTGCGAGGCACCACTGTAATGCCTTAAATTAGAGGAGGGGATGAGAATGTCTGACTTCTTCCCAACTACTGTAAACTGATGCAATATGTGCAGCTTGCGCACCTAATGTTAAATTGTGGGTGAACATATCAGACGACACAGCGATTCTTCAAACAGCTCTTGTTTATTCACAGGCCAGAACAGAACTGATCTGAACTGAAGGGTTCAGCCAGCCTGCTTATATAGAGCTCCACTAGAACGCAACACTAACCATTTTCTGTAACTATCCAATCACTGAACGTCACTTTCGATCCCTTATTTGCATATGTGGACCTGAGTGAAAACTATCTATAGTATCCCCCTGCTGGCCCAGGGTGAGAACTTCAGTATATAACACCTAACATATAGAATAAGAGAACAAGAAGAACATGCATTTAGAGAAGATTGGAAAACGTTTAATGAATATATGGGGGGTGAGAATTGTGTATATTTGAAAACGTGGGCAGCATTCAGATAAATTCAACAGCGTAAACAAGTTTTGATGGGTGTAATAATGGAATCCTGAATGGTACAGTTTATGTAAAATATGCAAGGATTTATGATATGCAAATTGAACCGTGGAAAGGGAAGAAGGGAAGTCATTGACATTTTAAGGTTGTTTAAATGAATGTTTTAAATCGTAAAACGGAATAATATTTAATATTTAATAAATATTTAATAAATATAATTAATAAAAATTATACACACATTAAAAAATGTCTTACTTCGCTGCTCTGTTTTTTTTATCTGGGGGGGGGGATACCTGCTACCCAGACGCAGTCCCGCTAAAAACTTTGAAAACAGACAGACAGACAGACAGACAAACGTGTCGCCCCCCCCCCCAATTGCCAATGTCCGCTTAATTCACCGCACGAGAGGAAACGACTACGGATCCCGGAATCCGCCCCCGACGCGCCACCTCTACCCTTGAGAGTCTATGGGTCTCTGCGGCAAAGGGGGCGTGGCTTTGCGGGAAGAGGGCCGCGTCGGGGAGCCGGAGAGGAGGAAGCGGTGACGCGATTCCCCGCGCATGCGCGCATCGGAAGGCGGAGGAGGAGGGGGGTGTTTGCTTCTGTGGTCTCTGTAGGTCACCTGAGTGCGATGTCTGTGGAGTGAGTGACGGGGGGGCCTCGGGGGGGGCCTCTGGGGGTGGGTTGAGGAATAAAAGGGGGGGCCGCCACGCCTATGCAGTAAGGACCTTTGAGGGAGGGGGGAAGCATTGGCAATTTGGGGTGCCCTGGGGAGCCCCTTCCTCAGAAATGGCGGGGAAGGGTGTGGGGAAACGGTTTTCCGGGGTAGGAGGAGGCGGAGGGGAGAGGGACCCCCCTGAAAATATGTGTTTGTGGCGGGGAGGGGGTGCATGAAGGGGTGGGGGTTGGGAGTGTCAGGGACATCTTCCCATAAGGGGGTGCAAAAAGGGGTGGGGGTGCAAAAAGGAGTGGGGTGCAAAAAGGGGTGGGGTGTCAGGGAATTCTTCCCATAAGGGGGTGCAAAAAGGGGTGGGGGTGTCGGACATTTTCCCATAAGGGGGTGCATGAAGGGGTGGGGGTGTCAGGGACATTTTCCCATAAGGGGGTGCAAAAAGGGGTGGGGGTGTCAGGGACATCTTTCCATAAGGGGGTGCAAGAAGGGGTGGGGGTGTCAGGGAATTCTTCCCATAAGGAGGTGCAAAAAGGAGGTAGGGGTGTCAGGGACATTTTCCCATAAGGGGGTCAAAAAGGGGTGGGGTGTCAGATAATTCTTCCCATAAGGAGGTGCAAAAAGGGGTGGGGGTGTCGGATATTTTCCCATAAGGGGGTGCAAAAAGGGGTGGGGGTGTCAGGGACATTTTCCCATAAGGGGGTGCATGAAGGGGTGGGGGTGTCAGGGACATCTTTCCATAAGGGGGTGCAAGAAGGGGTGCGGGTGTCAGGGAATTCTTCCCATAAGGAGGTGCAAAAAGGAGGAAGGGGTGTCAGGGACATTTTCCCATTAGGGGGTGCAAAAAGGAGGAAGGGGTGTCAGGGACATTTTCCCATAAGGGGGTCAAAAAGGGGTGGGGTGTCAGATAATTCTTCCCATAAGGAGGTGCAAAAAGGGGTGGGGGTGTCAGGGATATTTTCCCATTAGGGGGTCAAAAAGGGGTGGGGGTGTCAGGGACATTTTCCCATAAGGGGGTCAAAAAGGAAGAAGGGGTGTCAGGGAAATTTTCCCATAAGGGGGTGCAAAAAGGGGTGGGGGTGTCAGGGACATTTTCCCATAAGGGGGTGCAAAAAGGAGGAAGGGGTGTCAGGGAAATTTTCCCATTAGGGGGTGCAAAAAGGGGTGGGGGTGTCAGAGACATTTTCCCATTAGGGGGTGCAAAAAGGAGGAAGGGGTGTCAGGGAAATTTTCCCATTAGGGGGTGCAAAAAGGGGTGGGGGTGTCAGGGACATTTTCCCATTAGGGGGTGCAAAAAGGAGGAAGGGGTGTCAGGGACATTTTCCCATTAGGGGGTGCAAAAAGGAGGAAGGGGTGTCAGGGACATTTTCCCATTAGGGGGTGCAAAAAGGAGGAAGGGGTGTCAGGGACATCTTCCCATAAGGGGGTGCAAAATGGAGGAAGGGGTGTCAGGGACATTTTCCCATTAGGGGGTGCAAAAAGGAGGAAGGGGTGTCAGGGACATCTTCCCATAAGGGGGTGCAAAATGGAGGAAGGGGTGTCAGGGACATTTTCCCATTAGGGGGTGCAAAAAGGGGTGGGGGTGTCAGGGACGTTTTCCCATAAGGGGGTGCAGAAAGGGTTGAGGGGTGTCAGGGACATTTTCCCATAAGGGGGTGCAAAAAGGAGGAAGGGGTGTCAGGGACATCTTCCCATAAGGGGGTGCAAGAAGGGGTGAGGGTTGGGCTGGGGGTGTCAGGGACATCTTCCCATAAGGGGGTCAAAAAGGAGGTGGGGTGGGGGGTTTCAGGACATCTTTCCATAAGATGACAGGGTTGCATTGGGGCTGACCCTTGTGGGGAGGGAGGGCCCTTTGCATCTCCCATGCCTGTGAATGCTCCCAAAGCTTTGCACTTTTCAGCCTTCTCTCCCCCGCTTCCTGGCCTTCGGCAGAGGCATGTGTGGAAAAAGAAATGGGCGTGAAAAGCCGGGTTTTTTGGTTTTTGTGTGGTGTGTTTCCTGGCTGCTGTGTGAGGAATTTGTGGGCAATAGGCGAGGCTTCGTCGCTTCTTCCTCCACCCCTTTATTTTCGACACTTGTTCAAGTGTTGATCTAGGCAGCTTTCGGGGCTTTCTGACCTAAATGGTGCTGATGGAAGCACCTGAAAACGCCCAGGTATAGGTACAACAGCCTTCCCAAATGTGGTACCCTCTAGGTATTTTGGACCAGCCCCAGCCAGCACTGTTGGAGAAAGCTGCTCTACAAGGTTTCCTCCGTTCTGTTGAATGAGGAGAGATGAAAGGGTCTTTTGCGTTTTCCCTGTTCTTCCTAGTGAAAGAAAAAAGAAAAAGAGATCGTGGTTGGCTCCTCACTGTAGTAGAGAACTATGTCTAGAGCTATAGCAGTTTCTGCTTGCTCTCTGCTGTGGCTTCTGTATTCTTTGAGGGTCTGGAGTCCTTGCCTCCCCAATTCATAGTTCAGCTGTATGAGAAGGAGTCATGCCATCCTCTTCAACTAGTTGTTAATCACAAGCACTCGTTGCCTTCAAAACTCTAATTATATCCTTTTGATTGCATCCTGAAATCCCCACATACTTCAGCCATTGCAGTTCTTAAGTTATTGCAGAAGTGTTGGTAGTGATGGTGCTGTATTAATTGAATTTCTAAGGGCCCATCCACCTTATGATTAGAGCTTTGCAACTGCACGAAACAAAAGCTGTTAATGGGTGCAGTTCAGCAACTTGAGAATGCAAGCTTTTATTATAAAGGGAGAGGACTCTGGTGTGAAGAGAAGCCACAAAGCAGGAGCAAGGCATAGTGAAATAACAAGAACCAGAGGTAATTCCGAGTGGAATATCAGTTGATCGGAATTTCCCGCTTCCTTTGCCATAGGTTTCCTACTTTCCCGGGACTAATAGCTATGTAGAACAAGTAAATATATCAATTTGCATGAATGATACAGAACAGAGGGATGCAGCTTTTCTTGAGAAAGAGATTTGTTGCTGATAATATTAACAACAACAACAACTCTGGTTCCATTTACTGTTCACATAGCTCATATGCTCCTTCTTGTCGCCCCCAGGAAAATGGAGATTCCAGCCGTACCAACGTCCAAATGCATCCATTATTGGAAAAGGAAGGTCAAGTCAGAATATATGCGCCTTAGGCAGCTCAAGAGACTGCAAGCGAACATGGGAGCCAAGGTAAAGAGCCATGAAGGGAATGACTGCCTTTTTTTAAATCTTAAAATTATTAACTAAGGAAAACCAGAACTCACTTATTAACATGTGAGAGAGCAAGGAGGTCTCCCAGTTGATAGAAAAGATATGGTGACATATTTGAGACCGAAGGCAAGCAGGTGTCATTACAGGCTGTTATGTGGGAGAGATTGCTCTCCGCTGAACCAGCATAAAAATTGTGTGGATTTCATCTTTGAAATTCTGCCAACCTGCATAAGATCGTTAATCGTTCCTTTATCAGGGATGCAGGCTTAACAGCAACTTCCTGCTAGCTAAGTTCAAGCAGTCTCCATGGAGCACCTTCTTCCCCAGTGGCAAAAGGATTTGGGCGAGGTTGGCAATCAAGCATCTTCTTTTTCTCTAGGCGCTGTTTGTGTCTAACTACGCAAAGGTTCAGGAGAAGATAAACATTCTGAACGAAGACTGGAAGAAGCTTAGAGTTCAACCTATTCAATCAATGAAGCTGGTTGGGGGGCATCCTTTTCTCAAACAGGTATGTTGAGGAGGCAGCTGTTGGGTTCTGTGGATGTGCCAGTCTGCCATGTTGTGACCCTCTGTGCCTCCTCCCCTAGGATTTGTATCCACACACCAAGATATCTCTACTTTTTTGTGTTCTGCAATGCCATATTATAAAGCAGGGTTTGTGACCTTCCAGATGTTGGCTTCCAATCCTCATCAACCCTGACCATTGGCAGTGCTGACAGGAGCTGACCAACATCTGGAGGGCCACAGGTTTCACATCCCAGGTTTACAATTTATTCATAATGAATCTTTTTCAAAGTGCTTTTGAAAAGCTTAAGTAGTGTGGAATAGGCCAGCTCATGCAAAGTATTGTCCCATGGAGAATCCCAGTCTGAACTTTCAATAAAAAATGCTAACCTTTACAAAACCAGGGAAACATGCAGAAATGGGTTTGGATAGAATGGTTTGCTTTCAATAGTATAAAGGCTTTCCTGCTTAGTTGTACTCCAGTTCCTCCTGCTGGCTAGTTGCAGTCCGTTCTGCTCAGCTGTACCCAGTGATGATGCGAAAGGAAGTTACCACAGTCTCTTCGAGACCTAGAGGATGAAAAGATGAATATTGTTTTTAGAATGCTGTTACCTCCTGCCATGTGCCCCTCATTCCTTGCCATTGTTCCATTTTGTGTACAGATTTCTGTTAGAGAATAGAGGATGTTGAACAAAACAACAGATGTCGAGAATTTCTGTTCAGCCTGCGTTGTTCTCTTGTCCCTTCTTGCTAGAGACTTGCCTTTCTAGGACAGAGATAGTGAGACTGTGCTTGTGAGTTGAGCAGGTTTAATATGAGTGAGGGCTTCTCCCCAGAATCATGTCTTGATGCCCTTCCAAGGAATACAAATAGGTGCACCTGGTCATATTGAAGGGGCCTTGTTTTGGTCTCTGCATAGACACAACCAACTCTTGTACCACTGTTATGGCTTGGCAGCAGACAAGATCAAGCCCATTTTAATACAGCAGCACAATTCCAGGTCACAGCCCACCCTAGATTCCCATCTGAATGGAATTATCTTACAGTGGTGCCCCGCAAGACGAATGCCTCGCAAGACGGAAAACCCGCTAGACGAAAGGGTTTTCCGTTTTGGAGGTGCTTCGCAAAACGAATTTCCTATGTGCTTGCTTCGCAAGACGAAAATGTCTTGCGAGTTCCTGCGGGGTTTTTTTTCCTTTCCCCCCCCCTTTTTCCCAAGCCGCTAAAACGCTTAACAGCTGATGCTAAGCCGCTTATCAGCTGATCTTTAAGCCGCTTAACAGCTGATGCTAAGCCGCTTATCAGCTGATCTTTAAGCCGCTTAACAGCTGATGCTAAGCCGCTTATCAGCTGATCGTTAGCCGCTTATCAGCTGATCTTTAGCCGCTTATCAGCTGATCGTTAAGCCGCTTATCAGCTGATCTTTAAGCCGGCTAAGCCGCTAATACTGTAGCGCTAAGCCGCTAAACCTCTAATGGGCTTGCTTCGCAAGACGAAAAAACCCGCAAGACGAAGAGACTCGCGGAACGGATTCTTTTCGTCTTGCGAGGCACCACTGTAATTTGTTGCCTGATTGAACGCAGAGGAATCATCAGCAGGGTCTTATAGGTCAAAAGAGAAGCAGCAGCGGAGCCACACACAATGACTACAGTACAGTATGTTGGTGTTTTTCAATGTTCTGGGAGATGGGCCTTGGCATTTAAGAACCAGCACCTTCAATTGGGTTGAGCAACCACTGAGAGTCGGTGGAGCTGAGGTTGCCTTGGCATTGGATGACTGAATAAATTGCTACCTGTCAGCTGTGTAACATTTTTTTCTCACCACTCCAGTGCACAGTCGAGAGCATTTTCCCCAGTCTGACCACCCAGACCTTGTTCATGCGGACTCTGAACACTGTGGCTTTGGTGCCTATCATGTATTCCTGGTCCCCACTTCAGCAGAATTTCATGGTAGGTGACCAGCTGCTACCATATATACAGAATCCCTTGCTGCAAATAACAGTTTTGCGTGAGAACTTCTTACTTTGAGCAAATGTTCCTGACTCAGGCTTTAGTGTCTGGTTGGGGAAATGGAACTGCTTTGCATATTGCCCGGCTATATTGTGGGGGTGCTGCAAAGGGTGGTATATCTCTCACATTCTGCCCCATGTGGGACTGAGGAGGTCCAGCGTGATTTGCAGAATAAAAAAAAAAGTCCCACTAATGGTCTGCCAGTAGAAGCTTGAGTTCCACTGGATTATTGTAACTCGCTCTACGTGGGGCTGCCCTTGAGACTGACCCAGAAACTCCAGCGGGTGCAGAATGCCGCGGCGAGACTCCTTACGGGGTCCTCGCTGCGGGATCACATTCAGCCGGTGCTATACCAGCTGCACTGGCTCCCGGTGGAGTACAGGATCAGGTTTAAGGTGCTGGTTTTAACCTTTAAAGCCCTATACGGCCTAGGACCCTCGTACCTACGGGACCGCCTCTCCTGGTATGTCCCACGGAGGACCTTACGGTCTTCAAACAAAAACATCTTGGAGGTCCTGGGCCACAGGGAGGTTAGGCTGGCCTCAACCAGAGCCAGGGGCTTTTTTGGCTGTGGCCCCGATCTGGTGGAACGCTCTGTCACCAGAGACTAGGGCCCTGCGGGACTTGACATTTTTCCGCAGGGCCTGCAAGACAGAGCTGTTCCACCAGGCCTTTGGCCAGGGCACAGTCTGACCCCCTCCTTTGGCATTCCTCACAGAACTCTAGCCCAATGGTTGCCATTAATTTGATTTGAACTGATTTTATAATGAAATGATTTTAGAATGTTGTATCATTTTAATGTTGTTAGCCGCTCTGAGCCCGGCTTCGGCTGGGGAGGGCGGGATATAAATTATTATTATTATTATTATTATTATTATTATTATTCCAAAGTGAGGCTGTTTCCCTGCCCACCTACAGAGAGGATCAGAGTGAGAAGAGATAGATAAGGCATGCTAGCAGAGGTACCTGTCTTCAGATTCCCACATTATAAGGAACTTTTCGCAAAAACCCAGGTGCAGAGGCAGCAGGAAACAATCCATCCCAGCTGTTCCATTCCAGTTGTTGAGCCCCCTCCATTCGTTCCCCCTGTTGCCTTCTTGCATCTGGGTTGAGATGGTAAGGTTATAAAATGCCCACCACTCATCATCTAGCTGCACCTCTCAAGGCTGTCTCTTCTCTTTGCCTGATAGCCAGAAGAGTGAGTTGTGCACCTTGCAATGGTTGAGTGTGTGCTGGTGTATGGAGAAGTACTTTGTCTAGCTGTCTCCCCACCTCAAAACTATTTAATCCAGGAGACCAACAAATAATTAGGGAGCAGAAATTCTGAAAATGCCCTGCTGCTTCCAAGTGGGTAGGATCAGAACCGTGTGCGCCACATCCTACAGCAGTGTTTCCCAAACTTGGGTCTCCAGCTGTTTCTGGACTACAGTCCCCATCATCCCTGACCGCTGGTCCAGTTAGCGAGGGATGATGGGAGTTGTAGTCCAAAAACAGCTGAGGACCTAAGTTTGGGAAACCCTGTTCTACAGGAAAGGATAAATCTCTAGCAGGTGTGCATGGCCTTGCCATCAGAGGGTGGCAGAGGGGAATACTGCATTCAGGATCCCCTCTCCCACTGATGAAGGAAGATCTGCTCTCTGGTGCTAAGAGAGGGGCTATGCAGCGAGACCACCAAATACCCCTCTGGGATCTCGTTAAGGTAGCCGTGCAATCTGCCATTTGCAGGCGCTCCTGGTGAGTGGACAAGGGACAACCACCTGCTGTGTCTACTCCGTTTGCAGGTGGAGGATGAAACCGTTCTGTGCAACATCCCCTACATGGGGGACGAGGTGAAAGAGGAGGATGAAACCTTCATTGAGGAGCTCATTAACAACTATGACGGCAAAGTCCACGGAGAGGAAGGTAATGAGGGCAATAGTTTTCAACAGGGATGTAAGAGGCCATGTGGTGGTGGCTGGTGGGCAGGAGGGGAGATTCCTTGAGTTCTTAGCATTTCAATTTTGGAAGAGTCTATCACCCTTACGGACACTACTCTGCTTGCACGTACAGTGGTACCTCTGGTTGCGAACGGGATCCGTTCCAGAGGCCCGTAAGCAACATGAAAAGAGCGCAACCCGCAGCGGTGCGTCTGCGCATGCGCGGGTCACGGTTCGCCACTTCTGCGCATGACACCATTTTGCACATCTGCGCATGCGCAAGTGGCGAAACCTGGAAGTAACCCTTTCCAGTACTTCTGGGTCTCCGCAGGACGTAACCTGAAAGAACGTAACATGAAACGGACGTAACCGGAGGTACCACTGTACTGGATTTGTGTGTCATCGTCGACATTATCATCGTCGTTGTGATGACAGAGAAGCTGCATCTTTTCCACGCTTGAGTATATGCCATCCCACCTTTCGCCTGATTCTCCCATCCAGAAATGCTCTCGACCTCCGTCCTGATCAGCGATGCTGTGTTCCTGGAGCTAGTGGATGCGCTCAATCAGTACTCTGAGGAGGAAGAGGAAGGCCACGATGCTGCGGAAGGCAAACAGGAAGTGGCGAAGGACGAGCTGCCTGTCACCCGGAAGAGGAAGTGGCTTTCCATGGAAGGTAAACCAGTTACCCTCCCAGTATCACCCTCCCCCCCTCCTATTACGGCGCACCATGATGCTGTCAGAACCATAAGGGCCTTGCTTGTTATACGGATCGGAGTCCATTTCTGCTAAAATTCACAGCTCTTGTATCACCCCGGAAATGATGTCACCTTATGGAAGCCACCCCACGCAAGTTTCGCTAAATTTGCTAGCATTTTTTGTCACTAGCAAGGCTGCTGCTATTGATCTGAGAAGGAGCAGGTTAAGGGCTGCTGCAAACACTCCACAATTCGTATGCGGAAGTTCCTTTTCTTATAAGAACTAAATTTCAACTTACATGCAGATCAAGGCCGTAAGGTGTGTATTTTGCTGCATGGGAAGCATTGAATGGCTACCTGCACACTATGTACAATAATTCCATGTAACCTGTTAGCTTTGTAGAATAAAATTGTGGGATTCCTCTATCTTACACTTGGCGTATTATCTAATGCTTGTATGAGCATCTGCTTTACTTTTATAGGGTTTTTTCTAACTCTGCTCTGGGCCATTCCTATCTTGGAAGACTCTTTCCAGGAGGGGAATAAAGTCCTTTAATTCAGAAATCACCCCCCTTCCCTCCTTCCCTGTGATGCAGGCAACAAGAAATGTCTGAAGAAGCACTTTCCAAACGACATGATCTTCACTGCTCTTTCGTCAATGTTCCCAGAGAACGGCTTTCCAGATGATATGAAGGAGAGGTAGCCGTTTTTTATTCTTGACACAGTCTTTTGGCATTTCTAGTCATGGGTTATAAGAGTAGGCGGAGTTATAAATTCCCAGGATCAGTAACTGGAATACAGTGGTGCCTCGCAAGACGAAATTAATTCGTTCCGCGAGTTTTTTCGTCTTGCGGTTTTTTTCGTCTTGCGAAGCACGGTGTCGGAAAAGCTTTGGAAAAGCTTCAAAAATCACCAAAGTCCTCAAAAACCTCAAAAAAGGCTACCACATCGCGTGCTATGAGTTGCTCCTCGAAGTCAAGTTGCAACTGTATTAACGGTTTTAAGAAAAAGGAAACAAACTTGCAAGACGTTTCTGTCTTGTGAAGCAAGCCCATAGGGAAAATCGTCTTGCGAAGCAACTCAAAAAACCAAAAACCCTTTCGTTTTGCGAGTTTTCCGTCTTGCGAGGCATTCGTCTTGCGAGGTACCACTGTACATGGTTTGCACTGCTTAACTTGTGAGTTTCACCCATTGCTTTGCAGTGTAGGTAAAAGGTACCCCTGCCCGTACGGGCCAGTCGTGTCCGACTCTAGGGTTGTGCGCCCACCTCACTTAAGAGGCCGGGGGCCAGCACCGTCCGGAGAAACTTCCGGGTCACGTGGCCAGCGTGACGAAGCTGCTCTGGCGAGCTGGCACCAGCGCAGCACACGGAAATGCCGTTTACCTTCCTGCCGGAGTGGTACCTATTTATCTACTTGCACTTTGGGGTGCTTTCGAACTGCTAGGTGGGCAGGAGCTGGGACCGAAAGACGGGAGCTCACCCCGCCGCGGGGATTCGAACCGCCGACCATACGATCGGCAAGTCCTAGGCACTGAGGTTTTACCCACAGCGCCACCCGCGTCCCTTTGCAGTGTAGGTAGAGATGCTCAATTTAAACCAAGGTTTTCCCCTTAATTACTACATGGAAATGATCCTGCTGTGTGTGTGCTGCCTTATTTTGGCCTCCCGCCACTGCAGTGTGAGACTCCGCTTGCTTGTCCAATGAACCTTTGAGCAAGATGCTCTGTAGGCCTATGCCCTGCCATGGACTTGGCTTCCTGCGTGCTAAGGTCTGGACCAGGTGGGCTGATCTTTGGGCACTGGGCAGCGGATGAATGTGGTTCATAAAAGGAGCTGGATTAGTCGTCTTCTTGGCTCTGCCCTGCACTGACTCTGTGATCCCAGAATCTGCAGCATAATGAAGATTGTCCAGATGTCTGGAGCTCTCTTGAAGGTGTCCGGTTGTATTCCTGGGCATAGTGCTTTGTGCTTGAGTAACACCAAAAGCGGCAGGTGTTTTCAAGTCCGTCACCGATGCAAACTGTCCGTCCACCCAGCTGGCTCCGAGCAGTCCTATCATTTGGAGCACCTTATTGAGTGCCTTCGAGTGACTTTTCTATCCACCCCACTCCCTCCACAGATACAGAGAACTGACCAAAGAGTCTGACCCGAATGTGCTCCCTCCCCAATGCACGCCAAACATCGATGGACCGTGTGCCAAATCTGTTCAGCGTGAGCAGGCCCTGCACTCTTTCCACACTCTCTTCTGCAGGCGCTGCTTCAAGTATGACTGTTTCCTCCATCGTAAGTTTCCGACACAATCCCCGCCTCTCTCACCCCTGCCTTTTCTGTTCCGGCTTTCAAATTCAGGGGGAAGCAGTGGCTATTCCAAAGCAGTTGCATCCAAGTATTGGAGGTGTCCCAGATGACATGGGAAATGTTCCCTAAAGATCTTAGCCAATCTTGTCTTGCCAGGTTCCTAGCAGGATCCAACTGCTCCTCTGTAAATGTATCCATACCCACCATTTGGAATGTGCCTCTGCAAAAAGTTGCCCTAGAGAAATTCCCTGCCTGCCTGCTTATCCATTCACCCACCTGCCTACCCCAGAGTGGTTTAACAAAATCTGTAAAACGCATGTCGTGATTACAAACCATAATTCATTTGCAGGTGAACATTTCAGTTAAAATTCCTATTGGTTAGCTCTGCGTTTCCCAAACTTGGGTCTCCATCTGTTTTTTGGTTTTTTTGGACTACAGTTCCCATCGTCCCTGACCACTGGTCCTGCTAGCTAGGGATGATGGGAGTTGTAGTCCAAAAAAACAGCTGGAGACACAAGTTTGGGAAACCCTGGGTTAGCTCTTGCAATACTAGTGGTAACCTCAGCCAGCCAGGCTCAATTGGGATTATTCATCCATAATGAAACATCGCAAGATTAATTAGCAGCATGTGAAAGACACGAGCAATTCCTCAAGTTCTTTGGGAGGATAGATTTTCTTTCTTAAATGCCCCCTAATCCGCCCCACTCTTGCATTCTTAACGCTGGTGTGCTGGATATGGGTGGGGTTATTACCAAGTTCTCTCAAACTTGTAATAGTAACTTTTATTATTTAGTGCTGGGCTTGGGGTGCTGTCACAGGAAGGGGGAGGGTGGACTTCTGATGAGGATCAGAGCGACAGGTGATCTTGTCAGCTTCTCATTGTAACCCAGACAAAATGACTTCTGTCTTCTAGCTTTTCACGCTACTCCCAACGTTTACAAGAGGAAGAACAGAGAAACCAAAATTGAAATGGAGCCTTGCGGGCCAGAGTGCTTCCTGTGGTTGGTATGTTGGGTAGAGGTTACGTTAGGGTGCGAGAGAGATGTACACTTAGGAAGAAGATATTCTGTTCAGAACACTTAGAAGTGAAGAATTGAGGGTGGTATATGTTGGAGCAAAGGGACGCGGGTGGCGCTGTGGGTTAAACCACAAAGCCTAGGACTCGCTGATCAGAAGGTCAGCGGTTCGAATCCCTGTGACGGGGTGAGCTCCCATTGCTCGGTCCCTGCTCCTGCCAACCTAGCAGTTCGAAAGCACGTCAAAGTGCAAGTAGATAACTAGGTACCACTCCGGCGGGAAGGTAAACAGTGTTTCCGTGCGCTGCTCTGGTTCACCAGAAGCGGCTTAGTCATGCTGGCTACATGACCCGGAAGCTGTACGCCGGCTCCCTCGGCCAATAAACGAGATGAGTGCTGCAACCCCAGAGTCCGTCACGACTGGACCTAATGGTCAGGGTTCCCTTTACCTTTACCTTTATGTTGGAGCAAAAAAAAAGAGTGTGGAATTCTTTAGCACCTTTTAAGGCTAGCACATTTATTGGACTGCAATCCACTCATTAGAGTTAGCACTATTCGTTCTCTCTGTCTTATGCACACACACATTGACAGAGAGAGACAAATGATAGTCTGTGAGAATTTCTGTGTAAACCTTGAATGTATACAAGATAAGTGTAGCAGCCATTCACAGCAGCAACAAGTGACGATAACACAGTCATCCTTGGTTTGTTGTGCTGGTTAACACCTGTAAGTGGGAAATGAAACTGTTGCCTCCATTCTGACCTGAATGAATAGGATCAAATTTCCTGATCAGTTCCAAGTACCGTAATTTTCGCCCTATAGGACGCACTTTTTCCCCTCCAAAAATGAAGGGGAAATGTGTGTGCGTCCTATGGGGCGAATGCAGGGTTTCGCTGAAGCCTGGAGAGCGAGAGGCGTCGGTGCGCACTGACCCCTCTCGCTCTCCAGGCTTCAGGAAGGTGTCCGCAAGCCTTGCGCGCCCGGGGGAACTCCCCCCGGGCCCACAAGGCTTGCAGACGGCAGCCTGCAGCGCGGAGCATGGGGCGCCCTCCAGAGGACGCCCCGTGCTTCGCGCAGGTGTCCGCAAGCCTTGCGCGCCCGGCGGGAGTTCCCACGGGCTCGCAAGGCTTGCGGGCGGCAGCCTGTTCTGGGGGCTGGGGTCAGGGGAAGCTCGGGCTTCCCCAGCCCCGTGGCTGGGGGGGAAATAAATTTTTTTTTATTCATCCCCCCCCCCAAATGAGGTGCGTCCTATGGGCCAGTGCGCCTTATAGGGCGAAAAATACGGTAAGTAACTGCATGCCAGAGTCTCCCTTATTCTTTTGTTGAAGAATGGCAACTCGTAAGGCCAGCACCAGAATGTCTTGGGAGAGTGTTAAGTTCTCCAGCTGGTTTCCGAATGTTTGTTTTATTTATTTAAAAGCTCTGTTCTTTAGCTACAAAAGGCTCACAATGTGGCTTAAACAAATCACTAGTAAGCAAGCCCTTTTTATGTCAGACTGGCATCCTTTTATTATTTTACTTTGAGAATGACCTGTTTGTTCTGTGTGTAGAATATAGACGCATTAGGTAAAGGGACCCCTGACCATTAGGTCCAGTTGTGGCCAACTCTGGGGTTGTGGCACTCATCTCGCTTTATTGGCCAAGGGAGCCGGCGTACAGCTTCTGGGTCATGTGGCCAGCATGATTAAGCCGCTTCTGGCAAACCAGAGCAGCGCATGGAAATGCCGTTTACCTTCCCGCCGGAGCAGTACCTATTTATCTACTTGCACTTTGACGTGCTTTCAAACTGCTAGGTTGGCAGGAGCAGGGACCGAGCAACGGAAGCTCACCCCGTCGCTGGGATTCGAACCGCCGACCTTCTGATCAGCAAGTCCTAGGCTCTGTGGTTTAACCCACAGTGCAACCCGCGTCCCAATAGACGCATTACTGGCAAATAATTGGTAATGGAAGAACATTTCAAATTCCCCACCCCAGCTCTCCGATACTGACCTGAAACTCACCGTTCTTCTTCAACAACAGAAACTTCAAAGGCAGGTGCTAGCCCGGTCCTGCTAGCAAGGGATGATGGGAGTTGTAGTCCAACAACAGCTGGGGGACCAAATTTGAGATACGCAGCACTAGGGAATCCCCATGTCTCTGTGTGGACTCTTCTAATGAAGATTTGCTTATAGGAGGGAGCCAAGGAGTTTGCTGTGTTGCACAACCCGCGCTCCAAGTGCTCTGGACGACGTCGCCGCAGGCATCTCACACTCAATAACACTTCCAGCGCTTCCGCCTCCACGAGCAACGAAGCGAAAGAAGGCGATAGCGACCGAGACACGGGCAATGACTGGGCCTCCAGTTCCTCTGGTACTTGACAGATCCTCTCATTGCCCTATGGGAAGGGTGTGTGTGTGTGTGCAGGAGTTGCAGGAATCGTGGCCGCCAGCAGTTCCTGCTGAGCAAGATTTTCCTGTTCTTGTTGGGGTTGCTGGTTAAACAGATATAAGGAGACGCACAGCCTGCTGTTTTCAAGGCAGAGTCCCTCCAGAATTTACCGTATTTTTCGCTCCATAAGATGCACCTGACCATAAGATGCACCTAGTTTTTAGAGGGGGACTGCAAGGGAAAAAAGATTCTTTAAAGGGAGCGCAGAGCAGAGCCTATATGCATCCCAGGCTCTGCTCAGCGCTCCCTTTCATGAGCCGCCTGGAGCGTGTGTGCGGCTCTTGGGGGCTGTCAGGGAACTGCCATCAGTGCCGGAGGGAGGGAGAGAGCTCCAGAGGGATCCCAGAGAGCGTCACGGGATTGGGAGAGGCAGCCCATCTTCTGGGGAAGGGAATCAGCTCAGCTCCAGTGGAGAAGGGGGGCAGATGGGGGAATCTGAGAGGGAGTCACATGACTCCTTGCCTGGGACCAGTGGGGGGAGGAAGGGTCCTCCGCTGCCTACGCCTTCCTTGCGCAGAAAGCTTCCGCGCAGGGAAAGTAGGAGGCGACTGGGCGTGAAAGAACTTCTATGCTGGAAGAAGTTTAAGAAACGGCCACTGACGGATTCTGCCAGCGATTGAGACAGCCACGCGTGAGTGGCTGTCCAGACAGAAAAGGTTCACTTACGCAACCCAGCCAGGTGTGGGCACCGGCTTATGCACGAGCAACCCCTTGAACCATTACAGGGGCTTTTTCCCTTAGGAGGGAGAAGGGCAGCCTGTCAGCTCGTGAAAGGGAGCGCGGCTCTTGGGGGCTTTTCTGGGAGGTGGGGAAAGGGCCATGTGCTCTGTCCCTTCCCCCACCTCCCGCAAGAGCCGCATGCTAAGCCAGAACAGCTAGTGGGATCGCTGTGCAGCTGGCTGTCCTGGCTTATGGGATAGCCATGTGCAGCCTCTCCCACGCAGCGGGATGAAGGCTCCCCCAAGAGCTGCGCTCCCTTTAAAGAGCTGCCTGGAGCGTGTGTGCGGCTCTTCGGGGCTTTTCCCCGAGGAGGGAGAAGGGCAGCCCATCAGTCCCTTGATCACGCGGCTCTTTAAAGGGAGTGCTGAGCAGAGCCTCCCGCCTGCATTCGCTCCATAAGACACACACACACTTCCCCTTTCTTTTTAGGAGGGGGAAAGTGCATCTTATAGAGTGAAAAATACAGTACTTCCAAACAGAGCTTAATCCCAGAACCTGCTTTCTGCGTCCAGGTTCAAGCCTGGAGTGGGGTTAGAGATAAAAGCATCTGATAAAGGCCTACCTTTTTTTTTTTGAGGATTGTCCCGCGGCAAAAGGGACCAGTAGCTCCCTTGCAGCTTGCTTTGTTAGGCGGATTCTCTTCCAACCTTTTGTGTTTGTTCTCATGTTGCTCTAGAGGCAAACTCACGTTGCCAGACCCCAACTAAGCCGAAGCTGAGCCCTGCCTCTTCGCAGCCCTTCGTGGCTGACATGCCGCTGGAGCCTGTCGAGTGGACCGGAGCCGAGGAGTCCCTCTTCCGCGTCTTCCACGGGACTTACTTCAACAACTTCTGCTCAATCTCTCGGCTCCTGGGAACCAAGACCTGCAAGCAGGTATGGTGGACCTCTGGGTGGCTGGGAAGAGCAGACCGGCAGCAGAACCAGGAATCGCATGTGCAAAGTTCCTGACATTGAGAGTCCTTTGAACGAGCTGCATTTCTCTCCTGGCAGGTCTTTCAGTTTGCAGTAAAGGAGTCCTTGATCATGAAGCTGCCCATGAATGAGCTTTTGAATCCCTCCCAGAAGAAGAAGAGGAAGCACAGGTGTGTGGCCAGGACAGCCTGTCCAGTAGGAGGCTCACGAGGAAGTCCCACGTAAAAATAGCTCCATTGGGCTACAGAATATAGTTGCCCCTTTATGAAGCCTATGGCGGGGCAGGGATTGCCCAGGACAAATGAATCCCTAGCTGTTGTTTCTGCTTTTCCACACATATTGAGGAAAGGGGTCAAAGATCTAAGATGTGGCTGCTTCATGCCCACACCCCTCTCTGAGTGTTGTTTGGCTGGAAAGCCCCCTCCCGCCCATATTGCTGTTCCCCCAGCTCCCAGTTCCTCGGGGAAGGATGTGTCAGGGAAGATCAGGATAGAAGCTACTGAGCCTTGGGGATTCAGCATGGTGTGTCATCAGGATTAAAACTGGGCGTGGCGATCACACAGGGCCCCTGGACGTTTCACCGTCTATTGATCCCTGTGCCACCACTTTATTTCCCGCTGCCACCACCCAGGCCCTACCTGGTACAATACTGAGTCCAGTTAAATTGGAACATAAACTTTTGTTTATTTGTTGCAGTTTAACAAGCGCGTGGTTTCATAAACGGTAGCAGTCAATTACATTCATTGGGTGCCTATCCAGACCTATAACTTCCGCTACCTGCTCTCACTCACTAAACCAACTCTCCTATATTTACTTGTCTGCCTAGCCCCTAACTGTTCCTGACTCAGCCTATTTTGTTACACTAACTCAACCTACTCACAAACTCTATCCCAATTCACTCCCACTCCAACCAACCACCCAACTCCCAACGAACACCACCCTTTGCCCCTCCCAGAGCTGGTTTTATAGTCCCTCTGGCTCCACCCCCTGGGTTCTGATAGGGTAACCTGTTTAACTATTTCACGTCCAGCACTTTCATATGGTAACGTCACACTGGGGCATTCTTTTCTCTCTCCTCTCTCCCCCTGCCCCTGTCTCCAACAAAGGCTCTGGGCTGCTCACTGTCGGAAGATCCAACTTAAAAAAGGTACTGTGCGTTCTCCCCCAACAATGTCCCCGTGTGATTTTCTGCCCAACTGGAAATTTGGGGGGGGGGGGTCCAGAATGTCAACAGGCACCCGGTTTTGCTATGCCTGTCGTCTTTCCTGTTTGAATCTCAAACAGAATCCCCTTGTCGCTTCCCCTAAGGCAGTGCCATTCAAGTCAGAGCATGTATTCCCTCATTGCCCTTCGTGCTATTTAAAGAAAAGCCCTTAACGGGGAAGTTATGGTTGCCAAGGTCTCCCGCCCTGACCTGGCCACAGTGATCCATGCGACGGTCATCTCCAGGCTTGACTACTGTAATTCGCTCTACGCGGGGCTGCCCTTGAAGCTGTCCCAGAAACTCCAGCGGGTGCAGAATGCTGCAGCAAGGCTCCTCACGGGGTCTCTGCCATGGGAGCATATTCACCCAGTGCTTTTCCAGCTGCACTAGCTCCTGGTGGAGTACAGGATCAGATTTAAGGTGCTGCTTTTGACCTTTAAAGCCCTTCATGGCCTAGGACCCTCGTACCTACGGGACCGCCTCTCCCGGTATGCAGCACGGAGAGCCTCAAGGTCCATAAATAGCAACACCCTAGTGGTCCTGGGCCCTAAGGAAGTTAGATTGGCTTCAACCAGAGCCAGGGCCTTTTCAACTCTGGCTCCGGCCTGGTGGAACGCTCTGCCTCACGAGACCAGGGCCCTGCAGGATCTGATTTCTTTCTGCAGGGCCTGTAAGACAGAGTTGTTCCGCCTGGCCTTTGGCTTGGAGCCAATTTGATTCCCTCCCTCCCTCTCTTTCTTTTTTCTTTTCCTTCTCCCTCTGCGATGAGGCTACATTTTAATATTTTAATGTTTCAATATTTTAATGTTGTATTTTTTAATTTTGTTTTTAAGTTGTGATCATTTAACTTGTTTTTATTATTGCTTGTAAGCCACTCTGAGCCCGGCCTTGGCTGGGGAGGGCGGGGTATAAATAAAAATTATTATTATTATTATTATTATTAAAGCGTAGCCTCTTGTCGTTCAAGCCCTATTCTAGCGCTAGGTGAAGCTGAGCGTGGCCCTCTGCGTGTGGGGCACACTGTCCGTTGGGGGTCTCCTGTCTGTCTGACCCTCAAACTTCCACGGGGCTCAGCTCACAGCTTCCCCCTCTTTCTCTTTGTGCAGACAGCTCCTCCACTCAGGTGTACAACTACCAGCCCTGCGACCACCCGGACCACCCTTGCGACAGCTCCTGCCCGTGCATCGTGACCCAGAATTTCTGCGAGAAGTTTTGCCAGTGCAATCCCGACTGTAAGGGGCGAGGCACTAGGCCGGGCTTGAAAATCCTGGCGCGTGGCGTTCCAGGAAGAGTGGGCAGGCACTCGGCCTCACGTGGGTTTGTTTTCCGTCTTTCTCGTGGCGCGTGAGTCCCTTTGAAATGTGTCTCTGTTGTTTCCTCCCGCAAGGCCAGAACCGTTTCCCAGGCTGCCGGTGCAAAACGCAGTGCAACACCAAGCAGTGCCCGTGCTACCTGGCGGTCCGAGAGTGTGACCCGGACCTCTGCCTGACCTGCGGCGCTTCGGAGCACTGGGAATCGAAGGTGGTCTCCTGCAAGAACTGCAGCATCCAGCGGGGTCTTAAGAAGGTATATCTCTGTTCAGAGAGTGGGGAGGAGAGAGAAGGTTAGTCGAGATTGCATGCTGTGGGTTGGTGTGGATATTTGATGTGGATATTTGAATTTGCTGTGGAAGGGGTGGGGGCGGAACGGGGAAAGCCTGCATAGGAATTCTGTGCAACTGATGTATTTTGCATAACTCCTTTTGCTTCTGCTAGCCATCGGGAGGAGCAAGAAGTAATGACCAATGCTCAACCCCAAGTATTTCTCATTATTTCTCGCTCCTCCCCATCGCTAGCGGAAGCAAACTGAGCTACGCAAAATAGATCAGTTGCACAGACTGATGTGTTTTGCGTAACTCGTTTGCTTCCGCTAGCCATGGGGAGGAGCAAGCGGAAGCAAGCAGACCACTGTAAACACTTCAACTCTTTGGCAGGTCTTAAATAGCTCTTGTAATGTTACATAGACTTTGGATACGATGGAGGAATGGACAAAAAGGAGGATTTATAATAATGCAGTTGAAAAAGTTAACTACAGAACCCACAGAAGGGAGGAGGGAAGTGTTGAGATTCGGAGGAATCTTGTGTAATTATTATTTGCGGTTTTGAGCGTGAATGAATTTGTAAAAACCAAATAAAAACCACTTAAAAACAAAGAAGAGAAATGCTCAACCCCAATGCCATTCTTTAATGGGAATGCTAAGTAAGTTTCACAGCTTCGACAAGCAACACTGGGCTTATTTCCGCAGCCGTAAGGGCCAAGCAGCTTGCTTTTCCGAAGGGGATCCTCTGAGCATTGCTGCTCTAGGTGCACAGCACCAACAGATTGGGAGCTTTGTGTTAGAGCAGGCTTCCTCAACCCCGGCCCTCCAGATGTTTTGAGACTACAGTTCCCATCCTCCCTGACCACTGGTCCGGCTAGCTAGGGATGATGGGAGTTGTAGTCCCAAACATCTGGAGGGCCGAGGTTGAGGAAGCCTGCGTTAGAGCATCAACGGATTGGGGGTCTTTGAAGGACAGGCATCTTCCAGAACGGATGTGGGTAGTGGATAACGGATGTGTTGAAGCGGGCCTGGAGTACCTATTTGGTCCCTCCCAGCCCTCTGAGTCCCTGGGTCAGTGTGGCCTGCCGCCACTTTCCCAGGGACCCGGCAGGGCAGGCTGAGGCACCTTCCATCTCTCCTCCTCTTAGCACCTGCTGCTCGCCCCATCGGATGTTGCCGGGTGGGGAACCTTCATCAAGGAGGCGGTGCAGAAGAATGAATTTATCTCTGAGTACTGCGGGGAGGTGAGTTGGGAGGCAGGATGTGGCATGGGAGCTCCAAATTCCTCTCTGGCGCGGCCTTCCTATGCTCTGTTGGTGGTGGAGGGGGTGGGGCAGCAAGTCAAAGATTTCTTGGCATCCCACCTCCATGATCTCGTAAGGCGGGAAAGGGACTTCGTGGAGGAAGCGCAGCTTTCTTTGGTCAGGTCTGGCGTTGGATGGGAAACCTGTGCAATTGTCAAATCCTTCCCCAAAGTGCGTTTTGCGGCTAGCTCTGGTTTTGCCGTCCCCCCATAGCCCAAAGGCTAAGATGAGGCAGCTGGAAATTGCCTACCGTTGGATTTTGGGGGCGCTTCCGGGGTCAGCAGTCCTTCTAAGTAATGGCACCTGGGGCTTGAAGATCCAGGCAGACAGCCTCTGCGTTTGTGATCATTTGTGGCCAGCTGACTTGGGATGTGGTTGGGGGAAAATTTCCCGGCAGTCATGATGCTATTCTCTCAAACGCTTAGGGGAGGGGGGATATTGTAACGCATAGGTAGTGGTCTTTGCCATTCTACGGGAAAGTGAGGCTGAGCTAGGGTTAGGTGCTCTCTTCTCCTCCATGACTATACAGTGGTACCTTGGAAGTCGAACGGAATCCTTTTGACTCGCAAGGCGTTCGGGATCCAAGGTACGACTGTATTAGCTCCCCCGCTGTGCTGTTTCTTGCAGGGAATGTATGCTGGTCTTTTTCCGCTTTGGGGGGGGCTCTTGTCTGCCCGATCTAGGGGTTCTTTGCAGGAGGTTGATCCCTGTAACAACCCTATCTGCTTGCTTGACAGGATCTGACTTGGTCTCCTTTTGCCCACTCACTGGCTTTTATCTATTGTCCTTCCTTCCTTGCTTGCTTCAGCTCATCTCTCAAGATGAGGCTGACCGACGTGGGAAGGTCTATGACAAGTACATGTCCAGCTTCCTCTTCAACCTCAATAACGGTAACTGACCGCGTCGGATCAGTGACACAATCCTGAGTAACGGAAGGGGAAGGGGATGGGGGGAAGCAGTTCGCATGGTAGTGGCAATGGGGGAACCCCTCCCCCCCAAAAAACCCAGCCCTTCTGCTTGGTTTGGAGAGAGGCAATTCAGCTTTCTCAATAGGTCCCAGTAGCGTCTGTGGTCTCTTTAGCTCTGCTTTTCTTCCCCGGACAGATTTCGTTGTTGACGCCACCCGGAAAGGCAACAAAATCCGGTTTGCAAACCACTCTGTCAACCCCAACTGTTACGCCAAAGGTAAGATGGGTGGCTCAGCGACTGTTCTGTGGGAGCAGAATAGCCCCTTGTTGTCTTTCTCATCCCCCCACCCCCATAAATAAATAAAGCAGACATGGTAGGGAATGCATTTTTAAATAATCAGGTCAGATAAAGAGGACCACAGCAAAGCGGTTCTGTAGTCAAAACCCCCAGAAATGTGGCTGCAGGTTTTTGAAAGTAGAAATCTTTGGTAGAATCGGTTTTCCTGGAAGGGGGAGCTTTTGAGCACAGATAATAATAATAATAATAATAATAATAATAATAATAATAATAAATTTTTATTTATACCCCGCCCTTTCCAGTTCGAAAACCGGGCTCAGGGCGGCTAACAACAAATTTAAAACACTTAATTATAAAAGCAACATAAAATACAGTATAAAAACATGAATAACAATAAAATTCAAAAATCAATTTAGGGGAAATAAGTATTAGATAATCCCCAGGGCTAGCTGGCTGAATTGGTCCTACTTGAGCCAGCGAGGAGGCCAGGGGAGAATTAGCTGTGGGGTCTCAGAGCGGGTGATCTTCATAAAAGGGGAGGGGGAGGGAAGGGAAGGGAAATAAAAGATCAGGCTGAATTCAAATTAAAGGCCAGGCAGAATAGCTCTGTCTTACAGACCCGACGGAAGAAGGTTAAATCCTGAAGGGCCCTAGTCTCATGGGACAGAGCATTCCATCAGGTCAGAGCCATCACTGAAAAGGCCCTGGTGGAGGATAGTCTGACTTCCTTAGGGCCTGGGACCTCTAAACTATGGTTGTTCATGGACCTTAAGGTCCTCTGCGGGGCATACCAGGAGAGGCGGTCCCGTAGATACGAGGGCCCTATCAGGGGTTCTGGGAAAAAAGGGAGTAACATCCTGCAGCTGTGGGGGAGAAACAAGAAGTTTAGATGGGATGAAGGCTCAGTGTCTCAAAGCCCTAATCCAGAAACTGCTGGAAGCCAGATTCACTTCACTGAGTGCCTCTTGCAAAATCCAGAATGCCAAAAAGAGAATGATAGCTGTTGGCCGTCTAATGAATATAAGAAATAGATCCTAGCATTCAGTAAAAGCTTTTGGGTTTCTAGTCTTCGCAAATAAAATGGGGGGGTGGTGGTTTGGATTAACCAGTTACTGTTGTCTATGCCAGTTTGATGCTTATGTGCAAAAGTAGATTCTGGCTGTGAAGATACCATCTGGAACCTTCATCCCAAGTTTTGCTGTGTCTTAGCAAGTACCTTGAACTTGGGACCACGTATGTGGATGGTTGGTGGGCGGCCGGGACCCTGAGGAGCTGGTGGGGGAGGGAGGGAGGAGCGATTGTCCTACATTGATGTGGCCTTGCAACTGACGCGCTCCCTCTCTTGCTCTGACTCAGTGGTCATGGTGAACGGGGACCACCGCATTGGGATCTTTGCCAAGAGAGCAATCCAGGCCGGTGAAGAACTCTTTTTCGATTACAGGTGAGAGTGCGTGCGACAGGGAAGGCGCGCAAGCTTTTTAGCTCCGGGGGGTTCTGAGAAGTTGCGGAGGAAAGTCCACGTTGCTTTCTCTTCTCCGCAGGTACAGCCAGGCAGACGCGCTCAAATACGTTGGCATAGAAAGAGAAGGCGAAATAATCTAGCCGTGTTCCCAGCAAGCATCGCCACACCCTATCCATGCTGCTTCCCTTGTTGCTGTGTGTGTCGTGAGCGCTTCATTCCATCCAGGTCCCTCTTCAGAGAAGGAAAGGAGGAGCAGGAGAGGCCCACAAACGTCCTACAGAAGTGAGATTCTGACTTCCAAGGCCTGAGCTGGGGAGCACTTCTCAGTTACCGTCGGAGGAAAATTCAGAGGTGCTGAAAAGGCGTTTGAGCCCTGCCCCGTGCAGAATGAACCTGGGGTTGGGACGCTGGGCTTTGTGGGCTCTGTTGGTCTTTTGCGGGGAAGCCTGGTTTGAGCTGCAGGAAGTATTATTTTCCTCTGGCTGCCCCCTCCCTTCTCTGCAGGCAAGAGCAACACAAGCGAGAACCCCACCTGCAGGGAAGGATGGGCCGTGAAGTGCTAAGCACAGGAGGTCATTGGAGCAAGGAATTTGTATAGGCTAAGGAGCTGTAGTTAAAAGCAAGGAGCATGGGCACATAGAGATGTGGGCAGAAAGGTGAGGAGGAGTGTTTGGGGCAGGTAAAGTGGGTCAGTAAGATGCGGCAGAGGGTTGTAGGAGGCGTCAGGGCATGGGAGACAAGGCGCAGACGCCATCGGCTCTGGTTTGGGTCTCCCATGGTGGTGATTTGACCTCTTTTGTTGGTTGCATTAGGGCGTAATGGGGCTTCTCCTCCCTGGTCATAATCGGATCTCTTCCATCCCGTCAGTATGTGGTAGATATTGGGAGACGGGAAGTACAAAGCGTTCTCAGAGTCCAGAGGAAGCCCCGGTTGTTTTCAGTCCTGCGAGGCTGAACCAAGAGTCCCTGCCGGTAGCGACAAAGCAACTGCACAGAATGGTGCTGCAGCTGCGCTGCCCAAGACCCGCTGTTTTTGAGAAATGACTCTGTGGCTGCAATCCTGCAGGATTAATTCCCCCAGAGTCTCGTGAGCAATTCTCGCGTCGCCTCTGAAGCAAGGAAGTTGCTTATTCATCATCTGTCCTCTCCCAAGCCCTCCAGCAGAATCTCAGGCCCTGCAGCACTGGCAACACTCCTCATTTGCTGAGTTCACGTTTTTGGTCAGACTCTACCCCTTTAAGCTTTTAAATAAATGAATGAATAAATAAATAAATCAGCACCTTTGAAGCTGCAGGAGGTTTCATGCAAGGGATGTTTGGTGGTACATGTCCCAGCTAGAATGAAACCTTACGAAATGCTGTTTCAGGGATGGTGTCGGGACTACAACTCCCATCTGCCCCTTCCAGCGTGACCAGGGATGATGGGATGTGTAGTCTGTTCCTGACCAAATTCCTCTCCCTCAGAAATCAGGATTTCCCCCCGCCTATCGATGTACAAAACAAACAAGTTAGCATGCACTTTAGAATAATTTGCTCCACCAAGGGTAGGCCGCGGAGAGCTGGGCTCTCCGTGAGCTGTCGAGGGTGGAAAGCTGAGTCGATGGCGTGAATTACTGTAAGGGCTGAATCCTCATCAGCTCCGGCAGTAATAATAGCCAGCTTTTCCTGCTGTTGAGGTTATTTGCAGGCACCAGCAGAAGACGAGATGTTCTTCTCAAAGTTTGGCATAGCAGCTGCTGCGTGTGACAGTCTTGTCCATTTAGAGCTGGCGAAAGACGTTTTACACTATGGGGCTGGGTTTCGTATTAGTAGTATGCAGAGCTTTTGAATTCTACATGATTATCTCCTGGAGCATCAGGGAGCGGTTTCTTACTACCTGCAAAGAGCAACATTTGGCCTAGTCTGAAGGATTTTCAGCCATTTCAGATCAAGAGAGCTGCCTAATTGTAGAAGCTCCTGCATTTATCCCAAGTCGAACACTCTTTGAAAGGGTTCATTGACCAAATCCCTTTTCCTGCCTGTCCCTTGGCCTACATTTGACATGTAGAGTAATACCATGGATAGTGTCTAAACATGCGTAGAGTGCGTTTTCTCCCGTATAGCTATAACCTTCCCTCTGTCATCTGGGATCAGGGCTTTCCAGGCAGGGGGGCTGCGATTGCTGGACAGCCTAGACTTCCCAAATCTTTCTCGGAAATTAATCACAGAAAGAACTAAGCAGCAGTGACTGCGCCCCTTTCCCTGTTGCTCATTGTTCCCCAGCACCTGAATACTCGTGGTGGCGGGGAAACAAGGACACCTATCACACACATAGTCGCTCAAACCATTTTACTCTGCTTCCCAACATGGATATTGATTCTGTTGTGACAAAAGGAGGTCCAGTAGTTGCCAGCTTGCAGTCCTCCTCCTCTCCCTGGCTGTCGCTCATACAGGGCCCTCCACAGCAGCCCTTACCTGTAAAAATGCGAAGAAACAGACTAGTCCAATTGTGATGGGAGCTTTCTAGGGCAGCAGCCTGCTTCTGAGGCTGCGCACTGGATGCCGAAGTTAATAAAAGAACTCCCACTCTTCGATGCATTAAATCAGGGTTTCCCAAGCTTGGGTCTCCAGCTGTTTTTGGACTACAACTCCCATCATCCCTAGCTATCAGGACCAGCGGTCAGGGATGATGGGAATTGTAGTCCCAAAACAGCTGGAGGGCCAGGTTTGGGAAACACTGTGTTAAATGCTGCCTAAAGCCATGAAGGAGGCTAGCGTTCGGATTGCTATCGGCATAGCAGCAAGTCATTTTTGGTAGCAGGGAAGGTGGAATTGGAGTGTGAGATTAGCTATGGGGTTGTAGCTAAATAAAATAGATGCAAATGCACTTTCCCACCTCAGCTACCTCTGCACCCAACTTTAGATTAAGGAGAATATGGTTCCTGGGGCAGACTGCAGTGGGAAGGTCTGCAACTCTCTGATTTGACCAATGGCTTGAAGTGCCAAACTGAGCTGCTGCCTTTCTGAAAGGAGCTATCCAGTGCTGAACCAGCAATTGGTTTTAAGGTGATGCAAGTTTTAATACTTTGCTAGGGGCTGGCTGGGCCTTTAGTAACAGGCGCTTCATCTGCTCATCTCCGTTGCAAAAGTACCTTAACCCATAAAAAGGCATTGTTTGTGCAGCTGTTTGGGTGTTTGGACCTCACATCCATAGTGCATTCTGTTCCCTCTTATAATGCAAGCCTGTATCGCTTGACACTTTCGAGGCACGGCACAGAGGTTGGCCGGGGCAGAGGCCTCCAGTCCCCTCCCAGAACATTTATAGAGTGGTAACAAGAGCAGGTTTAGCATTGTGGACTTGTGGACTTGTATGCTTACTTCCACCCCCCACCCACAACACAACACACACCAAAAGGAAGTTTAATGGAACTGCTCTTGTGTTGCAGAAATGGTGGCGGGGCAGAGCAGTTTCTCTCAAAGCCACTCTTGTCTTGGCTTCTTCCTCCCAACTCCTCTGGCTGCTTGTGTCTCTGTGCTTTGCTGCTGGCAACTTATGTGCACTTTATATATTATGGCTTGTAAGAGTTTTGTCTTAATAAAGTTGTAGTGACTGCTGAGTTAAGTCTGCCTCTTTTCCAGCCTGCCTGGGGACAGTAAGCTGGAGTGACCGTTTGTCTGACCCGGGGGGTCGGGGCCTTTGTTCAGCCTGCGGGGAAAAGTTGATAGAGCAGTCGTTGGGATACTTACCTCTCTGCTCAGCACGGTGTCCTCTCCATCCATCCAAGCAAGGAGGCAGTATTAGCACAGGCCAAGGGCAGGCAAAAACACTTGAGGGCGAAGAGCAAGGGTGTTCGGGTCCCAAATAAGAGAGATCTGGTCTAAACCACCACCCCCCCCGGCACTTCCCACACCCTCAGGAGACCGAGGGACAGGACCGTACATGCGTGTTTCGAGATGACAGCACTGTAACTGAGTAACGCATATACAACTTGAGATACACACGCATAGAATTGTTGAGTTGGAAGGGACCCTGAGAATCATCCCTGTGACATTTGCGTAAGGCAGCGTTCCCCAAACTTGGGTCTCAGCAGCTTTTTAGACTACGCTTTCCATCACCCCAATCATCTTGCTAGCTAGGGATGATGGGAGTTGTAGTTCAAAAACAGCTGGAGACCCAAGTATGGGAAACACTGGTATATAGAGTCTCACAGCAGAGGGGAAAGGACAAAAAAAGAGTGGGGGGTGATGATGTGCTTTCTACTTTGTTTTGTATTGCGCGTTTGGTTTGTTTCTCTGAAAATGCTTGCCTCACGAAGTCAGAGGTACCCAAAGGAATGTTTCATCTCAGTCACCCTACAAATAAAGGCCCATAAGAGAGTGGGAGGGGAAGCCCATATTAAGATGGTGCCTTTATTAAGCTGACTGAAATGTCATGAACTGGTGTGCAAGCTTTTGATTTCCCTAGGCTAGATGGCAATGAAAAGCAATGACAAACCTAGACAGCATCTTAAAAAGCAGAGACATCACCTTGCCAACAAAGGTCCGTATAGTTAAAGCTATGGTTTTCCCAGTAGCGATGTTATGGTAGTGAGAGCTGGACCATAAAGAAGGCTGATCGCCAAAGAATTGATGCTTTTGAATTATGGTGCTGGAGGAGACTCTTGAGAGTCCCATGGACTGCAAGAAGATCAAACCTATCCATTCTGAAGGAAATCAGCCCTGAGTGCTCACTGAAAGGACAGATCCTGAAGCTGAGGCTCCAATACTTTGGCCACCTCATGAGAAGACTCCCTGGAAAAGACCCTGATGTTGGGGAAGATGGAGGGCACAAGGAGAAGGGGACGACAGAGGACGAGATGGTTGGACAGTGTTCTCGAAGCTACCAGCATGAGTTTATCCAAACTGCAGGAGGCAGTGGAAGACAGGAGTGCCTGGCGTGCTCTAGTCCAGGGGGTGACGAAGAGTCGGACATGACTAAACGACTCAACAACAACAACACTAGATGGTAAGAAAAAATCCAATGAGAGAGAAAGCAGGAGGGAAAGAGAAAAGTGGAAGGTGTGGGCATTTGGTAAGAGTCTTGAGGTGGCATGGCGGAGTAGCCCCATTAGAAACAGAGATATGAAAGCTGGAGCTAAATGGCGCCTTCAACCTAGGTTCTGGGCACAACAACAGAATGTCTAGGTGAGCCTTTTCTTTATAACAAGAATACAAAGCTGAGAATGAAGGAACTGCAGCTAAAATATCATGTTCATTTTTCACATGGTCTAGTCCTTCCCCTGCCCACACCCCTAATATCCTTAAGAGGGTCTCTTTTCCAGACTTCAGAGAGTAGCTGGAAGTGGGGAGGCAGGAAAACGTCCTCCTTTCCTTCCACTCTGCAGTTTTAATCTGAAATCTTGGGCTCAGTACTGCACCCAGAGCTCAGAAACTGCTCACGTTAACAAACTTCCCTGTCGCAAAACACGCCTAGAACAATGGGAGTTTTGACCGTTGGGGGGAAGTAGCAGACATTTTGCACAATTCAGGATGCATCCAGGCCGCCTGGGAAGAGGAAACGCATTTACAACTACGGGTGAGTCCATCCTCTCTTCAACACCTGAAGAATTTTCATGAGGACCTTTTTTTAAAATTAAAAAAAGTACAAGTTGCAGCAGAAAAGGGAAGAACAGACTTTGAAGACTGGGGGGAAAGAGAAACTGAAATATAGACTCCCTCCCACCCTCCCCTGCTTGTGGGTTGCTGGTGTGTTTTTTTTTAACTATTAACTTGATGAAGAGTTCTGGGGAAACTGAGAGCTTGCATGCTATTTTGTGACATTTTGGTCCGCTTAAGAAAGCTGTTGCCTTAATGCAGAGTTCGGGGCAAGGGGTGCCCATCATTCTAGTGTTAGCTGTAGGAGCCAAGGTCTCTTCACCCTGTTATTCACCATAGGAGCCACACATAGGAGCTGGCCTTTGCGACAAACGATGCCTGTTCGGGTTTTATGTGTTGTGAGATCCGATTGCCTTGCATAGCTAGGGCAGCTCTAGCCGGTTTCGCTGCTGCCGTTCTCACCCCAGCACGTCGATTCTCTATGTGCAAAAGGAACGTGAGTCTAGAGCAGGAACTTTGCAGCAGTGGAGATTTTGAACCATCCTAACACACCCTCGGGACGCAGGTGGCGCTGTGGGTTAAACCACAGAGCCTAGGACTTGCCGATCAGAAGGTTGGCGGTTCGAATCCCCGCGACAGGGTGAGCTCCCGTTGCTCGGTCCCTGCTCCTGCCAACCTAGCAGTTCAAAAGCACATCAAAGTGCAAGTAGATAAATAGGAACCGCTCCGGCGGGAAGGTAAACGGCGTATCCGTGCGCTGCTCTGGTTCTCCAGAAGCAGCTTAGTCATGCTGGACACATGACCCGGAAGCTGTACGCCGGCTCCCTCGGCCAATAAAGCGAGATGAGCGCCGCAACCCCAGAGTCGGCCACGACTGGACCTAATGGTCAGGGGTCCCTTTACCTTTAACACAATCCTGGTGGTTGCTTGGACTAAGCCTGCAGCCTTTCTCAACCTGTGGGTCCCCAGGTGTTGAACTACAACTCCCATCACCCCTAGCTAGCAAGGCCAGAGCTCAGGGATGTTGGGCGTTGTAGTCCAACAACATCTGGGAACCCACAGGTTGAGAACCGCTGGAGGGCTGCCTGTTAAAACTCAATTCATAATTTAGATACTTTTGAACAACAGCCTTCACACCATCACCTCCCCACAAAACGACACAGGATCACGTCGTCATCGCCCTGACTTAACTTTCTTTACATTTATTTATTTAGGTAACCTTCACGTTTTGTCCAGACAAACAGCTCCTTAGAAAAAATAAACCGCCCAAGAATAGCCCTGGGCTTTTGGATAAAATAAATCCATTTTGCTTCTGCTACACAGTTTTTATCTTCTTAACATTTCACGAGTGAACTTAGCTTTTCAAAAGGTAGGGGGAGGAAGAGGGTCGGAAGAGTTACCCAAGAGCAAAACCTCCTTCCCCGAAGTAGCAAACTACAGACCACACAGACGACATCACTTCACTTGAAAAAACAGAACATCAGACTTCTGCTTTTGTGTTTTTTATACAAACCGATAGAATAAAAAAACTAGTCTGTCTAATAACCCACAACTAAAAGGGAAGAAGGGAAGGTAGAAAGAATCTTAAAATTCTCAAAACCCTGATTTACGAAAGCAGCAAAGTGGTAGCAAAGTGCGAGTGATCCTTCCATGCGCTGCAGCTGCACACAGAAATATATTTATATTTATATATATTTTTATATATACTGGCAGGCAGGTACCTACATTGCACATTGGATTTCTCTCAGGGCACAATATAACGTGCCGAGATCTAAAATATGCTGTATTGCATGGCTCGACTAATGGCTTTTTTTGTTTTTTAATTAAATGCTAAGCAATTAAGCAAGGAAGACTATGTGCTAGTGAGTCACGCGTGAAAAGGCCAGAATGGATATTGCGTTGCATTTTCCCTTGTTCCGTAAAAACAAAATAAAAAGAAGAAAGTGCAATATTGACCGTCCAGTGTCTCTCTTCAATAACGGCAAGGATCTGTGGAGTTTGGCATGGAGAAAGTCTGTCTTGCGTCACCTCTGCCACCCCAATTTTACTCCAAAGGAGACTCTGCGCGGTCCAGAAACAGGAGTGCAGAGAGACTTGAAAGCTCTGGGGGTCAGGGAACCACCACCCTCAGGTATCATTTGGGCATCTTCTTAGGCACCACCTGATCAAGAGATGAGAAACGGGACTGGGGAGAATCAGGCTATTAAAGAAAAAAAAAACTCGGGCTGGGGACCTTTGATTGACACCTGCCCATCGGTTATTGGATCCAACCGGAAGATGCAGCAACACTCCACAGGATGTGCAGGTGAAACAAGGCAGAGGCGCCAGGAGCGCCGTCGTCAGGGGGGAGAAGGTCGGCTAACCAGAAAGTGGCACAGTTGGCAGTTCAGGTTTGGTCTTGCCAAAAGGCTACAGCCAGCACCATCGGAGGGAGGAATCGGCGCTCCCGGCTCCGGTCGGCTATTCGGTTTTGGACTCCTCCAGGATTTGTGGCAAGTTTTGATCCTTCCGCGAGGCGGCAGGCTTCGCCGGCGGGACGGGAGGGGCTCCGCCGCTGCCACTGCTGCTGCCGCCACCGCCACCACCGCTGCTGCTACTGCTGTTGTAGTCCTGGATAGCCTTGGGCTCGTTGGTGTGGTACGAGCCCTTGTAGCGGTGATGGTGCAGGTACATCAAGAGGAGAGCGGCCGCCAGCAGCAGGAGCAGGAAGAAAATCACTGGGGGAGAAAGGCGAGAGTGAAGGGGGAGGACGAGAATAACCCAGAAGGAAGGCTACACATGGCAGGGCATCTGGGTTGCCTGCAGGTGCCAGGTTCAACTCCCAGCTTCTCCAGTTATAATATTAATTAATAATAATAATTAATTATTAATTATATTAATTAACCATTAATTAATAATAATAATACTTAATAATAATAATTAATAGTATTAATAATAATAATATAATGGGTGCTGGGACAGCGCTGGGAATGGCTGAGTTCTCCACTGTAACATCATCATTATCATCATCATCAAAATAATAATAAATATTATAGTTTGTATTATTTATAACCCACCCAACTGGCTGGGTTTCCCCAGCCACTCTGGGCAGCTTCCAACACAATATTAAAATACAGTAATGCATCAAATAGGGACACGGGTGGCGCTGTGGGTTAAACCACAGAGCCTAGGACTTGCTGATCGGAAGGTCGGCGGTTCAAATCCCCACGATGGGGTGAGCTCCCGTTGCTCGGTCCCTGCTTCTGCCAACTTAGCAGTTCGAAAGCACATCAAAGTGCAAGTAGATAAATAGGTACCGCTCCGGCAGGAAGGTAAACGGCGTTTCCATGCGCTGCTCTGGTTCGCCAGAAGCGGCTTAGTCCTGCTGGCCACATGACCAGGAAGCTGTACGCCGGCTCCCTCGGCCAGTAAAGTGAGATGAGTGCCGCAACCCCAGAGTCGGTCACGACTGGACCTAATGTGTAGGGGTCCCTTTACCTTTACCTAATGCATCAAACATTAAAAGCTTCCCTAAACAGGGCTGCCTTCAGATGTCTTCTAAAAGTCTGGAAGTTGTTTTTCTCTTTGACATCTGGTGGGAGGGCGTTCCAAAGGGCAGGTGCCACCACCGAGAAGGCCCTCTGTCTGGTTCCCTGTAACTTGGCTTCTCGCAGGGAGGGAACTGCCAGAAGACCCTCGGCACTGGACCTCAGTGTCCGGGCAGAAAGATGGGGGTGGAGACGCTCCTTCAGGTCTACTGGACCGAGGCCGTTTAGAGCTTTAAAGGTTAAGGCTGGGAATGCCCCCCTCCGCATCTGAAACCCTGGGGAGCTACTGCCAACCGACGCGGACAGTGCTGAGCCCTTAGGTGGATCCGTGGTCGGACGTGGCATCCTGTGGCTTCCTCCGTTCTTAGGTGTGGCTGTAGCACGGTAGGCCACAGTCAGCATCTAAATCTGAGCTCTCAAAGCTCCCATGGGCCAAGCTCTTGGGCCAAAGTTCCTAGCAACCCTCTTGGTTTCCCACTCACCTCCAATGATGATCGCGATCCAGCCGTCATCGTGGATGTACAGGAAGTCAACTAGAAGGACACAGAGGACCAGGATGAATAAAAATCAATGATTTTTTTGAAAATCGGATTTAAAAAATAATTAAATTGGATTTTTTATTTAAATCAGATTTTTTTAAAATTTAAATCGGATTTTTAAAAATAAAATGGTTTTGGAAGAAAAATATTTCTAAAGATAGTTTTCTATTTAAGTTACACTACATTCAGTTACATTATAGTCCAAAGGCTATGCATCAGGAAATAAGGATTTGTTTTAAGTTTTTAATATGTGCTAAAACGCGAGTCTTAAGTTTTTTTAAAAAATGTTTAACCACATCAGTTAACAAACATGGATACATATGCTATAATGTTATTGTTTTAGTTAATAATTTCCTTAATAATTTAAACAATTTATTTATCTCCTTCCAGTAAAGAACAGCAGAAAAGGTGTCCAAATATAAACAGTTAACTTATTAAACCTCACAATAATTTCTTAATTATCTGTCTATGTATTTCTAATAGTATAACCAAATCTGTAATTTTTGATATAACTGTAAAAACTACTCTGAAAATTTATTATTCCAAAAATAAAACCTTCCTCTGGTTGTAAATATTAAGATAATACCAGCAATAATGAGTCTTTCTGTAAAAAAAAATAATGATTTAAATCAAGTCTTATTAACTGGTGATTTAAATCGTGATTGTAAAAACGCTCAAAATAAAACAACAGCAATGCAATTTTACATTGATGACAGCGCCCTCTGGTGTCACATGTTGATAACGCATTCGCAGTGGTACCTTGGTTCTCGAACTGAATCCATTCCGGAAGTCCGTTCGACTCCTGAAACGGTTCGAAAACCAAGGCGCGGCTTCCGGTTGGCTGCAGGAGCTTCCTGCCCTCAAGCAGAAGCTGTGTCGGACGTTTGGCTTCCGAAAAACGTTCGCAAACCGGAACACTTACTTCAGGGTTTGCGGCATTCGGGAGCCGATTTGTTCGTCAGCTAAGCCATTCGAGAACCAAGGTACCACTGTATAATGTTTTAACTCACCAGTGTAGATTAGTCCAAGGGTTCTGGGCCAAACATCACCTGGGGCACATGAAGGAAGGCTAGGGGTGCTCCAGTGGGTGCATAATGCCGCGGCAAGGCTCCTTACGGGGTCCTTGCCGCAGGATCACATTCATCCAGTGCTTTTCCAGCTGCACTGGCTCCCGGTAGAGTACAGGGTCAGGTTTAAGGTGCTGGTTTTGACCTTTAAAGCCCTATGCGGCCTAGGACCCACGTACCTACAGGACCGCCTCTCCTGGTATGCCCCGCGGAGGACCTTAAGGTCCACAAATGACAACAGGTTGCAAGGTGGTTAGATTGGTCTCAACTAGGGCCAGGGCCTTTTCAGTACTGGCCCCGTCTTGGTGGAACGCTCTGTCACCAGAGACCAGGGCCCTGCGGGACTTGACATCTTTCCGCAGGGCCTGCAAGACAGAGCTGTTCCGCCTGGCCTTTGGTTTGGACTCAGTCTGACCCTTATGTTTCCCTCCCCTTATGGTTTTGATCTATGGGCTACTTTTAAAATGAGGCTGCATTTTAAACTGCATTTTAAATTGGTTGTTTCCTCCCCCACCCCCCATTATGTTTTTACTGTGATTTTATTGGTGTTAGCCGCCCTGAGCCCAGCTCTGGCCGGGGTGTAAATAACATTTATTATTAAATTTATTAAGAGGTCTCCTCGCCCCCAGGTAAGCACAGTCTTGCCCCCAGCCCTTCCTCCCCCATAAATGCTATCTTACCTGGGTCTATGTACCAGGGGTCAAGTTCTGGTGGCGTTTCGATGTAAGAGTTGGGCATAGAGGCACAGCTAGACTCCACCAGCCGCCCTTTGATGCTGTAGGGGCGGATAGGATTTTTGCCACTGGCCCGGAAGATGGTTTTCAGAGGCACAATGCTGTTGAATTTCACTCCTGAGAGGCAACCTGTGAAGCCCGGTGTGTTGTACCTTTGGATATCCGGGTGAATCAGGCCCGTTTCTATGGACCATGGAAGACAAGAGGAACAGGACACAGTTAAGCAGACGCCAGCTTCTTCCTCAGCTCCCCCTCAAACCTTAACCCCCCTCAAAACTACCCCAAATCAGGGAAATGATATATAATGAATTGGGGGAAAAAATTAAAGTACATTCCCCCCTCAAAAAACCCCCCGAGTCCTTTTTGTTGGGGATAATTCAGAGGGAAATTCCCAGGTGTCAAAAAAGACTATTTATGTATGCCACTACCACGGCCAGTGTCTTGGAAAATGAGGGAGGCCCCAGCCAAAGAAGAATGGCAACTTAAATTGATGGAATACAAGCATCTTGCAGACTTAACATATAGAATATAAAAGAACAAGAAGAATGCACGTTTAAAGAAGACTGGAAAATGTTTACTGAATATCTGGGTGAAATTTGTGTTCATTTAAAAACGCTGGTAGTGTTAAGATAAATTCAATAGTGTAAATAAGTTTTGAGGGATGTAAAAATGGATTACTGAATGGTTTAGTTCATGTAAAATATTCAGGGATGTATAGGATGCAAAATGAACCACCGAAAGAGAAGAAGGGAAGTCATTGATTTATGGTTGTTGAAATGAGTATTTTGAAATGTAATTTAGAAAATTAAAAAAGAAATTGTGTGTGTCAATGGGTTTAAATGTATGTAATAAAACAGGTTGTTCAATGAAATGAAATAAAAACTACCCCAAATCAAAAGCACTGACAACGGTCAGCCGTTTCAGTTTTTGAAAAAGCCTTGAGATCTGTAAGGACAGGCTTAGGAGTCATTGTCTGTCAGGACGTGAAGCAGCACTCCAGGGGGAGAGGGGCTCTTTGTTCCTTTCCACATCTAGCGACAGAAGGGCATGCTATGCAAATTAAGGACGCGCATGCAAAATTCATATGATCTGCATAATTTATTCAGCCCAGAACCTGCAAAATCATTTTCAGCCCCGTTACAGAATGTTCATACAGAGAGGTCTGCGTTTGACGGATGCAACAAGGGGGAAAGGAAAGGGAAAGTGGGGGGGAAGAGCTTGCAGAAAGTGGGGTGGAAGGAGAAGACGTGAAAAAGTGGTGCAGGAGGGAAACGGAAGAGCAGAGGAGCTCGGGCGATGGCGGCTCTTTGAAGAAACGAGTTCCCCATTTGCCTTAGAGGAGACCCTTCTCCTCCTCTTACAGACTCGGCTGCCACCAAATTCTATTACCATATTTTTCGCTCTATAGGACGCACCAGACCATAGGAGGGGGAGAACAGGGGGGGAAAAATTTCTCCCCCTCTCTGCTCAGTGCCCCTTCAGTGAAGCGGCAGGAGAAACGGAGCCCCTTCCATTTCTCCTCCTGCTTTGCTGAAGGGGCGCTGCGCAGCTCTCCCTCTCTGCTGAAGCTGGGAGAGTCTTGCTCTCCCAGCTTCAGCAAAAGGAACCCAAAGCCTTTGGAGTGCAGCGTGAGTTCCCGCTGCGCTCCAGAGGCTTCAGGCGGCTATCCCTGAAGCCTGGAGAGCGAGAGGGGTCGGTGCGCACTAACCCCTCTCGCTCTCCAGGCTTCAGCGAAAGCAACACAAAGCCTCCAGAGCGCGGAGGGAGCGCTCCTTCTGCGCTTCGGAGGCTTTGCGTTGCTATCGCTGAAGCCAAGGAGCCTGTATTCGCTCCATAGGACGCACACATATTTCCCCTTAATTTTTGGAGGGGGGGAGTGCGTCCTATAGAGCGAAAAATACGGTAAGTATCGAAGCTCACAGTTCCCTATCGGGCATATATATATAACGACAAACTTCCATATACCGAAGGGAGGCCCCTGAGGATGCAGAGACCATCTCCTCATTTTGGGGTGGCCACATTTTGCTTTGGAACTGATAGGCACTCCCAGGTTGGCGATTAGAAGGAATGGGGGTCTCCAGGAACACAGGGGAAAGAGGACAACAGAGGCTGTTTCGAGGGACAGGGCAGAATCCAGAAATGTGGAAGTGGAAGGAGGAGAGAACTATGTTTGTGAGCCTAAAAGCAAAGCAGAGTTGGATGTCAGGGTGAGCTTATGTGGAGCAGGCATCCCCCTCAATCTGGAGCTTTCTAGATGTTGGCCACTGGCCATGGGTTGGGAATCCAAAGTAACTGGAAGGAACCAGGGCAGCTGAAGGCTGACTGGCCCATCCAAGGAGCTGGGAATGGGACAATCAATGTCAAGAATGGGCAGGACCCATGACTCTCACTCACCCATGAAACGACCGAGATAGAGCGCCTTGGGCGAGTCAAGTCTGCCATCCACAAAGAGGGAGAGCTGGTAGACCTGGACTGGGTAATAATCCAACTAAAGGAAGGAAGAAGAGAGAGGACATACTATAAGGCTGATCAGGATACCCTCACAGAGAACAGTGGACTGGTGACCTGGAAACTACAACTAATCCAGAATGTGGCAGCTAGACTGGTGACTGGGAGTAGCCGCCGAGACCACAGAACACCGGTCCTGAAAGACCTACATTGGCTCCCAGTACGTTTCTGAGCACAATTCAAAGTGTTGGTGCTGACCTTTAAAACCCTAAACGGCCTCGGCCCAGTAGACCTGAAGGAGTGTCTCCACCCCCATTGTTCTGCCCGGACACTGAGGTCCAGCTCCGAGGGCCTTCTGGCGGTTCCCTTACTGCAAGAAGTGAGGCTACAGGGAACCAGGCAGAGGGCCTTCTCGGTGGTGGCACCCGCCCTGTGGAACACCCTCCCATCAGATGTCAAGGAAATAAACAACCTTCTGACTTTTAGAAGACCTCTGAAGGCAGCCCTGTTTAGGGAAGCTTTTAATGTTTGAAGTTTTATTCTGTTTAATATTGTGTTGGGAGCTGCCCAGAGTGGCTGGGGAAACCCAGCCAGTTGGGTGGACTATAAATAATACTAATATCATCATCATTATTATTAGTATTATTAGTAGTAATAGTAGTATTATTATTTTACAGTGGATAACTCAGCCATTCCCAGCGCTGTCCCAGGCCCTGTGGGCTACTTGTGGAAGGTTGTGTTCCCCACACCTCAACAACCAGTTTTATATATCAGCAGAGTACGTGGAGCCCCAGCTATATACTATATAGAGTTCTTCTGGTCTCTGAAGTAAAGATACATATGTACAGAGAGATCTGGTAACACTATCTCCCTGCTAGGTAACGCTGCTGGGTAAAACGCAGAGCCTTTTCCTCACATGCAGAGTCAGACACTCCCATGGAAACAGGGTAGTATCCAGACAGGACAGAACAATATGGCATACATCATGAAAACAATGCCTGTTATACCTGTTTCTACACCTAGGCATTCTTGGACTAATGGAAGGGTAAATGACTCAGCAAGACATACGCTTGGCCTTGCTAGTGTTGCTATGGCAACCCAGAGCACCTGGCACCTTATCTCAGAACTTCCAGGCGCTGGGAATGTGTGCCTGGAGACATGAAGCCAAGCACTGCATAATTTAACCGTTTGTCCGCATGACACCAACGGGCCCACACTCCGCAGAGCAGAAAGCTGCTGGGCTACTCTCCCGTAAGTCCCTCCCTCCCTCCAGACAGTGAGAGAGCCACAGGGCCAGAGGTGAAGACCATGTGTAGTCCTCTAGGCATTGCTGAACTGCGGCATCCATCACTCAACTGAGGCTGATGGGAGTTGGGAGCCAAGGAACATCAGGGGGCTCCAAGTCCCTTCCGCCGCAAGACGCCTTTCTGCAGGCCCCTCCCCACTCGTGCAGCAAGAGGGGCCCCCCTTACCTGTGTGTACAACGTTCGATTGACGCGTGTGACGTTGATACTGTGTGGCTGTCCGTCGGCCACAGAGCGTGTGCTCAGGGGGTAGATGGCAGGGAGGGCGCCCAGTTGGTAGTGTAGCTGCAGGATGCCTGCAAGGGAAACGGCAACAGGTAAAAGGGGACGGCAAGGAGGAGATGGTGTTACTTTGAAACAAGAGCTCTCAAAGGGGTGCCACGCTGGTGCAACAGCAAGCGTGGCTGGAACAACCAAAGAAACATTTGAACATTTCAGTGTTGAGTCCTGAAAGACCTACATTGGCTCCCGGTAGATTTCCGAGCACAATTCAAAGTGCTGGTGCTGAACTAAATGGCCTCGGCCCAGTAGACCTGAAGGAGCGTCTCCACCCCCATCATCCAGCCCCGACACTGGGGTGCAGCTCCAAGGACCTTCTGTGAGAAGTGAAGCTACAGGGAACCAGGCAGAGGGCCTTCTCGGTAGTGGCACCCGCCCTGTGAAACACCCTCCCATCAGATGTCAAGGAAATAAATAACTACCTGATGTTTAGAAGGCATCTGAAGGCAGCCCTGTTTAGGGAAGTTTTTAATGTTTGGTGTTTTATCGCATTTTTAATACAGTGGTACCTCGGGTTACATATGCTTCAGGTTACATACGCTTCAGGTTACAGACTCCGCTAACCCAGAAATAGTACCTCAGGTTAAGAACTTTGCTTCAGGATGAGAACAGAAATCGTGCTCTGGTGGTGCAGCGGCGGTGGGAGGCCCCATTAGCTAAAGTGATGCTTCAGGTTAAGAACAGTTTCAGGTTAAGAACGGACCTCTGGAACGAATGAAGTACTTAACCCGAGGTACCACTGTATTCTGATGGCAGGGGAAACCCAGCCAGATGGGCAGGGTATAAATAATATATTATTATTATTATTATTATTATTATTAGGCCATCTGCTGTGGATGCTGTAGTTAAGATTCATGCGTTGAAGGGGGGCTGGACTCGATGACCCCTGGGAGGAATCCCTTCCAACTCTACAATTCTATGAACTATCCCGACGCCATGGCAAGATGCGCCTTCGCTGAGAAAGAGGCTAGATTCGGAGGGCGGCTAGCTCCCATTGTGCTCACCGTCCTCGCGGATCAAAATGGTCATGTAATCGTGCACAAAGGTGCTGACGTAGATCAGGACGGCGGGGGCCGAAGTGGTGCGGAAACTGAGCCACACATCCTCCCTCGTCAGGTTGTAGCCGGGGAGCGGCTGAATCGGCTGGTGGAGAATGTTGGAGAACTCCCGGACCACGTGCAACGGCATCGTCATGATGTCGTAGCGGACCCAGGTGCCTTGCTCGAAGTAGGCGCCGATGTCTGCAAAAGGGGATAGATGGGGGAACACGGCAACGGTTAGGCGGAGAGTCAAAGGCCTAAGGAAAATAATAAAAAATAATAATAATAATAAATTTTATTTATACCCCGCCCTCCCCAGCCAAGGCCGGGCTCAGGGAGGCTAACAAGCAATAATAAAAACAGGCTGAATGAATACAACTTAAAAACAAGATTAAAATACAACATCAAAACATTGAAACATTAAAATGCAGCCTCATCACAGGGGAGAAAGGAAAAAGAAAGAGGGGGAGGGAATCAAATTGGCTCCAAGCCAAAGGCCAGGCGGAACAACTCTGTCTTACAGGCCCTGCGGAAAGAAATCAGATCCTGCAGGGCCCTTGGTCTCATGAGGCAGAGCGTTCCACCAGACCGGAGCCAGTGTTGAAAAGGCCCTGGCTCTGGTTGAGGCTAATCTAACTTCCTTAGGGCCAGGGAACACTAGAGTGTTGCTATTTATCGACCTTGAGGCTCTCCGTGGGGCATACCGGGAGAGGCGGTCCCGTAGGTACGAGGGTCCTAGGCCGTGAAGGGCTTTAAAGGTCAAAACCAGCACCTTAAATCTGACCCTGTACTCCACCGGGAGCCAGTGCTGCTGGAAAAGCACTGGGTGAATATTCTTCCCTGGCGGAGACCCCGTGAGGAGCCTCGCTGCAGCATTCTGCACCCGCTGGAGTTTCTGGGACAGCTTCAAGGGCAGCCCCGCGTAGAGCGAATTACAGTAGTCAAGCCTGGAGGTGACCGTTGCATGGATCACTGTGGCCAGGTCAGGGCGGGAAAGGTAAGGGACCAACTGCTTGATGCGGCGAAGGTGGAAAAATATCAGCCGTGCCTTCTCCGTCCTGCCCCCTCCTCGCCTCGTCACTTCACCTCAACCCTCCGGACTTGTTTATGGTGCTCACCCAGGTTGCAGAAAGGTCCTTCAAAGGCAGAGACCGAGCAGTTGCAGGTGTAGTGGCTGTAGGCCTCCAGGCAGGTGCCGTAGTTCCGGCACGGCACCAAAGGGTTCCGGCAATGCCCGGTGCAATTCACAAGCACTCCTTCCGTCTCGTTGGCTTTCCCCTCCAAGTTGAGGGTGACCCCGTTCATGCGCAGGCCCCGCAAGCAGCCCAAGAAGGGGCGCAGGTAATATTCGGCAGCGCCTAAGAAAGGGGGACAGGAAATGAAAACGTTAACAGCTGCCTTGCTGGATCTAGGCAAGCTCGTTTTAAGTCTTCTGGTCCCAGTGGAAAACAGCAAGGTGTTTTTGTAAAGTCCGTTGCCTTTGAAGCTGGACAAGAACTTTTTAAAAGAATGGTGGGAAATTGTAATTTATTTAGGAGACCACTGTCAGCAGATGGAAACATTAGCAGGATTTTAATCACACTTGTAATGTAACAAACACTATGGATTCAAAATGGAGATTATGGAATAATATGCAATTATAAATGTTGACAACAGGACCCATGGAGGGGATGGGGGGGAAGTTTCGAGATTCAGAGAAATCTCTATATATGGTGATGCATTTGGTAATGTGATAGCTTTTTACATGTAAAATCAAATAAAAATTATTTTTTTAAAAAATTAACCTATAAGTTTTTAACTATGGAAATAAAGTTTTTAACAAATAAAATGAAGAGGATGGTGAAGATGATAAAGCTAGATTTTCACCACCCACACACACACAAAAATGAGATTTTTGCCTGTTACAAAACTGAGCTGGCTGAGCTTTTTCATATTGATGAGTAAGCTGTATTGAACCTGGTTCTAGTTTGAGGTGATCAACAATGAAAGAACCTCATCCAATAGGGTATCACTGTGCCATTGAGAGCGTGCTCACTCATTGGCTTAATAGTGATGTGTATTGAAGCTGTACCAACCAGGACAGGATGGGGTTGTGCAGGATAGTTAAGGCAGCAGAGAGCATTGTTGGCTGCCACTCTCCACCTTAGAGCAGATTTATGCCACAAGGTGCCATAGGAAGGCACTGGACATAGTAAAACGATCCATCGCATCCTGGTCACTGTCTCTTCTGGAGCTCCTCTGCCGTCCGGACGGAGATACAGGACGATTTGATAGACCAGAAGGTAGCCGTCTTTAAGAACAGCTTCTTCTCCAGAGCGATCTCGGCCCTGAATGGGAAGCCTCTGATCTTTGAACAGTCATCTAATCTCCTCTTGGTCTGTATTATACTGTATTGCATTAATTAGTGTTTTTATGGAGCAGTCATGTAATTTCATTGTTCCTGAAGGGTGCAGATGACTATAAAGTTCTTCATTATTCATCACTATTATCTAGTCATGTATTATTATTATTATTATCTCTCCCTCTTTCATTCATTCATTCACGCCATCCTGCCCATCCTCACTCACCCACATAGAGAGGCTTCGTGAGGTTCATGTGAAGGAAGGTCTGGGGAGGGGCTGCTCGCACAACCCACGGCATCCGGTCAACCCGCATCCGAGCCAGCTTCACGTTGATCTCCGCCCTGACCTCGTGCCACTCGTTGTCATTGTAGGGCATGTCCCGGTGCACTGTCAGGTTCTCGTCCCCGTTGCCAATGTCGTATATGAATACCAGATCTCGGGTAGCTAGAAAACAGCAGCAGGAGAGAGGTGTCACGCCACAGCTGCCTTCCAGGAGCAGGGACGTCTTTACCATTGGGCGTAGTGGCGCAGTGAGCCAGGGTGCCAAGCAGTGGAGGGCGCCAGGCGGAGAGTCCGGGGAGGAAAGAGCAGGGAGGTAAGCGAGGCGGAGCAGGGGCTTGGTGCCACACCACCTCCTCGGCTGCGTGGTGTGTGCTTGCATCCCAAGCTCTGCGCATCATAAACGTGGCTCTACCACTGCTCCCCTCGTGTAGGTAAAGGTAAAGGTAAAGGGACCCCCGACCATTAGGTCCAGTCGTGACCGACTCTGGGGTTGCGGCACTCATCTCGCTTTATTGGCCGAGGGAGCTGGCGTACAGCTTCCGGGTCATGTGGCCAGCATGACTAAGCCGCTTCTGGCAAACCAGAGCAGCGCACGGAAACGCCGTTTACCTTCCCGCCGGAGTGGTACCTAATTATCTACTTGCACTTTGACATGCTTTCAAACTGCTAGGTTGGCAGGAGCAGGGATCGAACAACGGGAGCTCACCCCGTCGCGGGGATTCGAACCGCCGACCTTCTGATCAGCAAGTCCTAGGCTCTGTGGTTTAACCCACAGCGCCACCCACGTCCCGCTCCCCTCATCTACTCTGCCTCAAAAGATCCCTGCGCTTGAGGCTGCACGCTGCAACTGCTGCCCCCAGCACCCCTCCCTCCTTCTCCTGCTTCTCCACTGCCTTGCATGGAGCCTGCCTCCTCCCACTGCCCCCACCACCTCTGCACCCCTTCACACAAACCGCGTTTCCTTCCCCTGCCCGATCCCCTCCCAGTCATGCTCTCTCCTCCCCGCTCCTTCCTCCCCAAGCAAGGACAGCGAGACTGCAGCTGAGTGAGCGCGCTTCTCTGCTGTGGCGACACGTACAGCCCAGCTCGCTTTGCTTGTCCCTGCCCGGACAAGACCCCCGCCTGCTTCCCGTGCCGCCCCGGCTTCCCAGCCCCAGCCAATGCCCAGCCACATTCAAGCAGCACAGGGCAGCAGCGTGAGGGTGGGAGCAGCCTTTCCTTAAAAAGGTCAACAACTTTGGGGTCCCCCCCTTAAAAAGGTCGATAACTCTGGGAAACGAGCGGCGGTGGCGGGATCTTTGCACCACGGCGCCAGATATTCTTAAGACGGCCCTGACCAGGAGGGAGGGTCTCTGCCCCTCCAGACAGCTATGCTTTGGGGGGGCCCTAAATAATGCTATCTCCCTGTACCTGGGTTCACTGCCTGCTGAGTATAAGCACAAAAGGAAGTGTTGTTGGTTTTTTTGGAGACTGTAGCCCTGATGATTTCCTACAGCCACCCTGTAACTCCAGTCCTAAAGGATCTAAACTGCCTCCCAGTACGTTTTGGAACACAAAGTGTTGGTGCTGACCTTTAAAGTCCTCAATGGCCTTGGTCCTATATACCTGAAGGAGTGTCTCCACCCCCATCGTTCAGCCCAGACACTAAAGTCCAGCTCTGAGGGCCTTCTGGCGGTTCCCTTACTGCAAGAAGTGAAGCTACAGGGAACCAGGCAGAGGGCCTTCTCGGTAGTGGCACCCACCCTATGGAACACCCTTCCATCAGATGTCAAGGAGATAAAGAACTATATGACTTTTAGGAGACATCTGAAGGCAGCCCAGTATAGGAAAGTTTTTAATGTTTTGCTGTGTTTTTAATATTTTGTTATTAGCTGCCCAGAGTGGCTGGGACAACCCAGTCAGATGGGCAAGGTACAAATAATAGAATTAATATTATTATTAATAATATTACTTAGATGACTCAAGATTCAGTTTTCAAGCAATACATCCTTAGTTCTCCATCTCGTTCACATTTCTAACATATCATACTACTTTTAGCAGCCATGGCTTCTTTCAGAGAATCCTGGGAACTATAGTTTGCTAAAGGTGCTGAGAGTTGTTAGGACACCCCTATTCCCCTCACAGAGCTACAATTCTCAAGAGTGGTTTAACAGTCGATCCCTCTCCCCAAGAAACTTTGGGGACTGCAGTTCTGTGAGGGGAGAACACCCAGCACCCTTAACAAACGCCATCTCCCATAATTCTTTGGGGGGAACCCTATTTAAAGTTATTTGATGCCGCTTCAAATGTACCATGCGGACGGAGCCCTGCATTTTGCACACCACTGGGATTGGGCAAAGTGCCAATACATTCAATATCTGTCTAAGAAGGCCTCTCGGACTACTCCCACTGCCTCGAGTTCCCAGTTCCTGTCAGTTTGCATTTCTTAGTACAGAAAGTATTGATCTGCTGTGTAGAGATCTTTCCTATTCTACTTAATTTAAGAGGGTTCTGGAAGCTTCTGGAAGCTTCTCTGTGTGAAAGAAACTTCATGATGTTTGGGTTATTCCTTCAGAGAAGCTGAATACAGCTGGTTTAAACTGGTTCTCTTAGCTCTTCTGACTATAATAAGAGGCCAGAAGGAGCCTAAGTTTCACTTTCTCTCTTCCTTCTGGTGTGGTGTTCTGTACATAGTATATATAGTATTAAGGTTTAGTCTTATTATAAGTTATTGTAAGTCTTCTGCAACTGGTTTTCTTATGGACAGGGCCAATCCTGAATGTATTGGATTTGTGACCATTATGCTCATTTGCCTTCAGTAGCAGTAAAGCTCTGCTGGATGAAATATAATTGCCTCTTGTCTATTTTTTGGGAATCCTGCAACGTGTTTAAGTTCTTACTCTGCTAACTATACATTGGGATCTACTCTGGATCAATACTGAGTGGAATTTCAATGACGATTCCGTACTGTTAAGCTCCACACGGATGTAGTTCTTCGGCCCGATGTTCTCCAGGAAAGTGCCAGATGGGGCAGAAGTCTTGAAGAAGAAGCTGATATCCAGGCTGTAGTTGACTTGGAAAGTGGGGAAGATCAAAGCCATTCCCCGGACGAAAGAAACGGTATTCCAAGAGTTGCCTGCAAATCGTAGGAAGTCCGTTATTAGCGCATGTAAAAATGGGTGCGAGCCCCATCCCGTCCTCCCTCAGGGGCCCTCCATCCATTCCGATAGACACACGAGGGAACGGCATCCGTATCCTCAGTCCGCTACTCACGGTCGCCATAGCAACGCAACGGGCCCACATAGAATTGGGCCTCCGACCCGGTGCGGTTCGTGTCGCTGATCACCACCTGCGTGACAGGAAGATGGTCGACAAAATTCAGCAGCCCTTTATCCGCCCGCCTGGAAGAGAGAGAGAGCAATGTGTTAAGTTGTGGGTGAACATATCAGACGACACAGCGATTCTTCAAACAGCTCTTGTTTATTCAGAGGCCAGAACTGAACTGAACTGAAGGGTTCAGCCAGCCTGCTTATATAGAGCTCCACTACAATGCAACAGTAACAACTTTCTGTAACTATCCAATCACTGAAGGTCACTTTTGATCCCTTATTTGCATGTGGACCTGAACTATTTACAGTATCCCCCTGCTGGCCCAGGGTGAGAACTTCAGTACATAACACCATGGTTGTGGGAAACTGGGCCCGCTATCAGTTAGGAATATACGTTTCGCACCCGCCGCCATGACCACCCAAGGCCCTCCTTGGAGGGACGAGGGCCGCCTTCTCTCTCACCACATGGCATGGTCCGCATCGCAGTTGCAGTAGAAACGGGGGTCGGCGCAGTTCTTGTCCATGCCACAAGCGCAGCGCCCCAGCCCTGGGGGAGAGCCCCCCCAGTAGTAATGGCGCTCTTCGTTTCGGCCCATCCAGAAGCTCAGCGGCATCCCAGCTAAGGAAGAACGAGAGAGCCTGTCAGAGGGAGATCTCACAGAGCCTGCTCGCAGGCAGACGGAAAAACATATCTGTCAACCTTCCCTTTTTTTGTGGGAAATTCCTTTATTCCAGCGCCGTTTCCCGCTGCTATCCCAGATTGTTAGATATCCCGTAGGCTGTCCACGGGACAGGTGAGGCTGCTGATCCCTTATTTTCGAGGCTGCTGGTCCCTTATTTTCAAATCTGAAAGTTGACAGCGATGAGGCAAAACTACCACCTGCTGAATCAGGCCAGAGGTCCATTTAACCCACTCCGCTGCCTCTGCATACCAAACTTACGTTTTCATTCAGATATCTAACACAACCTGAAGATCTCTTCCTAGTAAAGATCTCCTCTGTCTAGGGGGGTTGCCTGCATTCTGTGACAACAGTGCCATCGGGTAATGCAAAGCTCAGCACCCTGAATTTTTTCCAGCCGTGAATACTTTTTTATATATATACTTTTCAAGTTTATACATTTCATTAGTTTTACAATCAATTCCACATTTCAAAATTCGACTTTCTTCCCTTTCTGCGGTTCCTTATTATTATTTGTTAATATCGTCTGCATATTGAAATTCATTTCACTTGCTCATTTAATTATCTACTGTAAATATTCACTCTTGTGAAATTGCAGGTTGTTACAATAATCCTGATAATGTTTTTATCTGTTTGCAATTTATCTGTAAATATTCAATAAACCGTTTCCATTCTTTTATAAAAAAAAGTTTGCTATCTTTATTTTTTATTCCTCCAGTAAGTTTTGCCATTTCTGCATATTCCATGAGTTTTTGTATCCATTCTTCCTTTACTGGGATTTCTGCTTCTTTCTACTTTGGGGCAAGTGGCGTTCTTGCTGCTGTAGTAGCATACATAAATAAATTTCTATACAATTTTAGGTAGTTCTGTCCCTATAATAACCCAAAACTTGAAAGTATTCATGCTCCCATGCTCCATGCTTCTTTGGGGAGCATGAATACTTTCAAGTTTCTAGTCATGATACAGGTAAAGATCAACCTCAGAGTAGAGTGAGCAATGCCTAGTGAATCATATGAAGGCAGGCTCAAGAGAGGTGTTGGAACAGGTGGCATTCCAGGGCTTGGCTCAGCCCTTGGACCCATCTGAAAGAAACAGGTGGTTTACCTGGAACAACAGTCCTTCTGGGAGGGACGCCGGTGGCGCTGTGGGTTAAACCACAGAGCCTAGGACTTGCCGATCAGAAGGTCGGCGGTTCGAATCCCCGCAACGGGGTGAGCTCCCGTTCCTCGGTCCCTGCTCCTGCCAACCTAGCAGTTTGAAAGCACGTCAAAGTGCAAGTAGATAAATAGGTACCGCTCCAGTGGGAAGGTAAACGGCGTTTCTGTGCGCTGCTCTGGTTCGCCAGAAGCGGCTTAGTCATGCTGGCCACATGACCCAGAAGCTGTACGCCGGCTCCCTCGGCCAATAAAGCGAGATGAGCGCTGCAACCCCAGAGTTGGCCACGACTGGACTTAATGGTCAGGAGTCCCTTTACCTTTACTTTTACAGTCCTTCTGAGTGGCTGCCTGCACACAGAGCCCCATCTCCGATGCCCATCACCCCCATCTAGCATGCCCAATGGGATGATGGGAGTTGTATTTTAGCACCAGCTGGAAGGCACCAACTTGGGGAACGATGGCACAGAAGGTAGGGCAAGGTACCCACCGAAAACATGAGCCTAACTTTAGAAGTTTCCCACTTGAGAAAAACAGGTTCTGCACAGGGACCAGGGAGAAGAGGCAGAACCAAAACAAGCCACCTGGAATGGTTCAATTTTAGCAAATTTCAAATTTTAGCAGGTGCTAAAAGCGAAACCCACACAGCACCCGAGGGTGCAGCCGTGCAGCTCCGTCCGCCTGGTCACTTACTCTGGGTGTTGAGCAGGCGAGAGAAGTAACAGCGGAACTCAATTTGCTGCTCGCAGTACTCGGAGGCGTTGGCCAGAGCCGACACCTCGCTCCACGAGGCGTTCCAGTAGTCCACAGTGCCCAGGAAAGGCCTTTCAGGGCTGTAACCGGTCACTCGTGTGACCCAGTATCGATTGTGCCAGACGATGGTCCAAGCCCGGTCCTCTGGAAGGCAGAAAGGGTGCAAAACGAGTGTGCGACAGGAAAAACAACTGCCCCCCCCATGCAATGGAGACAGTGGCCTGCAGGGCTGGCTATGGAAACCCTCTGTAGCCAGTTTACAGAGCCAGCCTCCATCAGAAGACCTTACAAAAGCTGAATGATCGATCAGCCTAGCCCAGTGCTGTCTACACTGGCTGGCAGGATTTCAGGCTGGGTAACCCGTCCTACTTCGAGATGCTAGGAATCGCACCAGGTGCCACAACTCGTCAAGGTTGGAGTCAATGCAGCTCAGCACAGAGAGGCAGAGGCAATTGCCCGTGAAGCTAACTCCTTATTCAAGGATACGGCATACAACTCAGCAACAATTCCCAGTAGGTCTTGCCAGAGCAGTTGCCAGAACTGAAGGCCCCTGCCTTCCACCCTGTCTAAAGCTCCTCCTCTCCCAGACATTTCCCAAGCAGTCTCAAACTGTGTCTGCGCACCTCTGCCCTCTGTTTTGCTCTCATTATCTTAGAGACCAGCAGGGAGGGGAGCTTGTCACAGCTGAAGAGGGAGACTCCTTGGATTCTTCAGCAGCCTCTTGAACCCACCTCCTCTGCTTCATCCTCTGAGTCTGAACTGCTCCCTGTCACCGGCTCTCGCTGCTCACTAAACCCCGTTGCCCCTTCAGCATCCAGTTCTCCCTCTGACCTCTCCTCAGTGTCCCACCACCAATCCCCAGGCTCTGCTCCTTCCTCCTCTGGGGCTTCTCTTGGGGCTCCCACTATTCCGCTTTGGTCCAGCCAGTCCCCAACACCTCTCACCTCCATTATGCTTCTGGCCTTTTCCATTTGCCATTTTTTAAAAGCGCTCTCTGCCGCAACACTTGTTGCTATTTAGACGAGCAGCAAAATACAACCAGTAATGTTTTTTCATGTGATGCCACATTCCATAAATCAGCAACAATACAGAAAAGCAGCATTCCAGGAAAGGAAAGGGCGTTGCTTGCCGATATTCAGCACATAAAAATGATACACTACCCCTTTGCAAAATTTAGATTACAAGCTGAAGATTTCTGTTGTAAAGCTTTCAGGTTCTGACATATTCTCTTTCAACAGTTTTTGCACAGTGCCTGGGCTACTTGGGCATCTAAATAATATATTGGTAGAGTCTGGCTCATTTTGCTCAGCGATGATGGCTTTGCTCTCTGCATATACTACAAGACTCCCTTTTCTTTTCGCTGCTGTGCCTATTCCAGCCTGCACTGAACACCCCCTGATAAAGACCAGTATCCCACACATTTCCACCATACCTCGAATATCACAGTAGACGTAAAAGGGTTTCAGGGGCCCGCTGCCATCCGGGTCAATGGTGTAGTTTCCAGATACTTTGCCGCTGAGTCGGTAGGCCTCGCAGCTTTCCTTGTAAACGGCTGCAAGGTTTAAGAAGAAAGTGAAGGGTCAGCACTCGTGTGGTCAGCACCTCAAGTTCTCCCTTCCCCTCTCCATCCTCAGGGCCTCACGTGTGTGGCAGGTCTCCCCCTTGTAGCCCGTCAAGTCGCAGATGCAGGTGAAGTCATCCCAGGACTGGATGCAGCGGCTTCCATGTTCGCACATGTTGGGAGTGCACCTGGGATGACATGAGAAGCAAGCTGGCACTAGAGGAAGGGACTCCCCATCGCAGCAGGGATCCAAGCCTCCTCCTCAAGAGGTCCGGAGGGTGGCAACACGAGAACGGGGCCTTCTCTGCAGCGGCTCCCCATCTGAGGAATGCTCTCCCCAAGGAAGTTCGCCTGGCGCCTTCATTATACACCTTTAGGTGCCCGGCAAAAACGTTCCTTTTTAACCAGGCCTTTGGTAGATTTGATTGACATCCGATGCCCTTTTAAAACGTGGTTGGGGGTGGTAATTGGGTTGTTGTTTTTATCTTGATAATATATTTTGTGGTTTTGTGTTCTGTGAGCTGTCCTGAGATCTCCGGATATAGGGCGGAATATAAATTCAATCAATCAATCAATCAATCAATCAATCAGTCAGTCAAGCTTCCTGGTACACCATCTCTTTTCTAGTTTGTTGGCAAGACAACTGCCACTCCTGAAACATCGAAAACTGCCTTGCGGGACCCCTCTAGCCTGGCGCTTTTGACTTCACCTTTGGCAAAGCCAATACCCACAGTAAGCTCATAGGCACGGCATGACTGTGATCATGAATATTATTTATTAAATTTACGTACCGCCCTTTGTTGAAAGATCACAGGGCAGTTTACAACATTAAAGCATGATGGCACTGCCAGCCTCCTGCAGTGGGACCTGCAACATAACATGGCAGTGTGGCACACTTCTGCCAGTCTGCCCTCCTTCCAGGAGACCCTATTCCATCTCCATTCAAGATTTTAAATTCTCCCACCCCCAGATACTGGCTACTGAACACCCTGGGCTAGTTTTCTTCAGGGGCATTTGCCCCATTTGTGGTATGTAACACAAGCAGTCAAGTACAACACTTCCTGTTTGCCCAGAGTGGACACACAGAGGGGTGTTACTCCACAGCCAGGAGGACTTCCTATCACACCTGGTCTGGAGCGTCCTCCCCCTGCGTGTGACCAGGTTGGTGGGTGTGATCCTGGGAGACCACATAAAAGGGGTTACGCAGACACCTCCCTTCTTCTTCCTCTTGAAACTGAAGTATTTTGTTGTCTGCTGGCTCTCAGCCACCAGGACATGGGCTCATTCCCATATGGGATGAACTCAAACCCTCTTCTGTAACTCTAAGCTAAAGCTTAGAGGGATCCAACCGTGAACTGAATGTGAGTAAACTTCTTATTTCTTTTAAAAGAAGACTGTTGTGTCTTTATTCTTTTTTGGGAGGGATAAAAGGGGACTTACCAGGAACCAAACCCAAGCTGAACAAAGCCACATAGGATTGCTTAAGTAAAGAGATTCAAACGAATCTACCAACTAGCTTCCTGATATATATTGTGGAGAATGCACTCTGCTGCTCACTCACAAGCATGAGTTAGGAAGGACACTATTAAATCAATATATCATCTCCTAGTATCTACAACATCCCTTAAATTTTTTTATAAAGAATCTGTGTGTTTCCCCCAAGTTCCTTAACCTTTTTCTCCACTTTCATGATAATTTTAGAAGGTCCTTTCCCCACTCTCGAAGGTTCTTTGAGAAGGAGGCGATCAAAAAATAACTGTGTTGATATTTCAACTGCGAGCAAAAGCTCCGATCTCTCTAAACTGGTGAGATGACATCTGCTAGGTTATTTTCAAGCCCTTTCCTGAGGAACAGGAGTAGGCATAGCAGACAAGATGCACCTTCCGAGTCCAGCATGAACCATTTTTCCCAAGCGTCCCCCAAAGCTTGCCGAGACCAGATTGAAGAATACAAAAACATTTCTCCTCCATCTGGGCAAGGAAGTCCACATCTCGCCTGCCTTCAAGAAAACATATTGAGGGAGCTACAGAGAGAAGAGGAAGGAGCCTATTATGAGAAGCAGGCCAGAGTGGTTTTTCTCAGAGTGGGAGACTCAAGAAGGAGAAGTTCTCCCAGGTGGGAGGCAGGAAGATTCAACTCTCTGAGGCCTACGTAGATATATTTATAATTTTATGAGGAGCATATAAGGGTTATTATTCATGTATCTTTCTTTTTCTCTAGTTTTTTCTGTTTGTTTTTTATTATTCTTTTTAGTTTAGTTTGAATTTAATGGTCTATTAAATTTAATGGTCTATGTTTAGGGAAGTTTTTAATGTCTGATGTTTCAATGTGTTTTTAATCTTTTGTTGGAAGCCGCCCAGAGTAGATGGGGAAACCCAGCCAGATGGGCGGGGTATATATAAATAATACACTACACTACACTACAATACAATACAATAATATAGTTGAAAACCTTCAATAAAATTAAAAGAATTAAAAATTAAATGATGTGTGAGTGAGCTTTCTGGGCATCTCCCATGCAAGCACTGACCTGGACCCAGACCCCGCACACTCTCAGAGCATCCCCTGGGTTCCTACCATGCTATTTCTATAGGCTTGGCCCAAACAGACAGCAGGGAGAACCAGCTAGACCTCATCCCCTGGTCTTGCCAGCCGAAGCCACCATCTTCTGCCCAGGCCAGAACTGCCACTCCGGCAAGCGTACCTGTCTGTGATGCCACACACGTTGAAGTACACCTCAAAGTACTTGCCGAGCCGGTGCAGACGGACCATATCTAACTCGATGGGCTGCCGGTCCACGCTGACCATCTGCATGCACCCATGGAAGGCCGTTTGGTTGGAGGCACAGCCGGTACGAGAGGCTGGCTTGGGGCAGCCTAGGAAAGACGCAGCGACCATCAACCAAAAGGAAGGGGGAAATTCCTCCGTTACGTTTCACGAAACAGAAACAAAAAAAGTGATTGGATGAGGAAATAACGTGATGCCCTGTGTATTATATGTGGGATGTGGGTGGCGCTGTGGGTTAAACCACAGAGCCTAAGGCTTGCTGATCAGAAGGTCGGCGGTTCGAATCCCCGTGACGGGGTGAGCTCCCGTTGCTCGGTCCCTGCTCCTGCCCACCTAGCAGTTCGAAAGCACGTCAAAGTGCAAGTAGATAAATAGGTACCACTCCGGTGGGAAGGTAAACGGTGTTTTCGTGCGCTGCTCTGGTTCGCCAGAAGCGGCTTAGTCATGCTGGCCACATGACCTGGAAGCTGTATGCCGGCTCCCTAAGCCAGTAAAGCGAGATGAGTGCCGCAACCCCAGAGTCAGCCACGACTGGACCTAATAGTCAGGGGTCCCTTTACCTTTACTATTGTACATTTAGTTTGCAATGCATTTTGCTTTTGGGCTTCTTCTGTCCTGTTCTTTTTACCTTGGAGGTGATGGCACTGATGACTAGCCCCCATTTCTAGAACAGTCCTCCTTAGTCTACGCTCCTCCTTTCCGTGACCATGAGATTTAGCTAGGCCTCGTTCCAACACCTTCAAACTTCAATTTGCACCTAGATTAAAATGGCTTAAAACAACTGAGCCGTTTGTTCCTCTTTTCGTTTTTATTATTTATTAAATGTATGGGTCACTCTTTTCCCAAGGTAACTCAGAGCAGCTTACAATACATGCGCCTGGCTGCCTCCCCATCTCTTCTCAGGTGCCTCCCTTAATAGTTGTTCTCAAAAGCAGTACATCAGCAGGCAGCTCCCGTGGACCCATAGAGCTTGCTGCTGTCAGGGGCTAGACTGAGGAGGAATGGTGGGGGTCACTGCCCCTTCTCCCAAACCTTCCCGAGAACAAGAGGACATTATAGATTTAGAACAGTGGTTTGCAGAAGGTCACAGTTCAGTGGCTGAAGAGTGGAGAAGCTGGGGAATATTGGGGGAGCAGCAGGAAGAAGAAGCAGCACCAGGGGAGAGACAGCTTACAGACTCAGTGCCTTTAGAAAGCATTCCTGACCCCCCTCTCCCAGAACCAGATGAGCATTGAGGGTAGTAGAACAAAAAGCTCAGAGGCAGAAAGCTCAGATTAGCCGATGCAGGGGTGACAGAGAACAGAAGAGACGCCAAGAGACTTGGAGCAACGCCATTATCTAGGGGATACTGCATACCTTCGTGTCTCTCTGTGAATATTGAATAAATTACTTGGTAAGAACTTTTATTGTTTCTCTTCTTCTTGGCTGCTATGTGGGAGGGATAGGATTCCCCGAAGCCTGACGACTGCCTATTAGTTAACCAACTGTCAGCCCACCCTCTTGCAAAAAAATGTCCAGTTCCCCCTTTAACCCTTAACCAGCCCAGAACCCACCTCCAAAGAAGTACTGGTTTCCCGTGCGCAGCTGAATGTCTCTGTCAACACGGAAGCTGGCGTCATTCTGGTCATCGATGGTGATGACGGCCATGGTTTCGCGCACCATCAAGGCCACCGAATGCCAGAAGCCATCATTCAGGCGATATCCTGTGGGTGGAGGGACACGAGGGGATAAGACTCCTCAGACTCCTCACGCTGGAGCCACGGGCCCCCACATCTGGGGCCACCAAAGCCCTCAATGAAATATCTGCTACCTTGAGTGATTCTGATGACACAATGCAACAGAATGCATAATTTTTAAAACAAAAACAAAAAAACCCAAACGGCATGCTACATTGCATTCATCCGTTTTGCCTCCAGGGCAGGCATTTTAAAGTTTCACCTCAAAACAATTACAGTGATACCTTGGTTCTTAGACCTAATCCGTTCCAGAATTCCGGTCCAAAACCAAAGTGTTCCAAAACCAAGGCACACTTTCCCATAGAAAGTAATGCAAAAAGGACTAATCCGTTCCAGACTTTTAAAAACAACCCCTAAAACAGCAATTTAACATGAATTTTACTGTCTAAGTAGACCACTGATCGAAAAAATGAAAGCAATAAACAATGTACTGCAGTCACACAATCAATCCGTCAGTACAGTGGTGCCCCGCAAGACGAATGCCTCGCAAGACGAAAAACTCGCTAGATGAAAGGGTTTTTCGGTTTTGCGTTGCTTCGCTAGACGAATTTCCCTATGGGCTTGCTTTGCAAGACGAAAACGTCTTGTGCTTTTTTTTTAAAGCCGCTTGAAGAGGCGCAGTTGCGACGGACCGTGCTTCGCAAGACGAAAAACATCGCAAGACGAAAAGACTCGCGGAACAAATTCTTTTCGTCTTGCGAGGCACCACTGTAACCGAACTGGGTTCCACACAGTCAAGAAAACAAAAGAAAGCCGCAAAAACAAAAATGCAAAATAAATAGCAAAAACAGACAGATCTCAGCGTAACACTTGGAACGGAAGCGTGGCACTCAAATCGGAAGTGTAGCACTCAAATTGGAAGTGTAACACTCAAAATGGAGCACGTTCGGCTTCCGAAAAATGTTCGCAAACCAGAACACTTATTTCTGGGTTTGCAGCGTTCGGGTTCCAAGTTGTTCAACCACTATCCAAGGTACCACTGTAGAAGAAAACCGTCCCTCCTCCGTCCCCTCCCCATACCTGCCGCAAACTCCAGCTTCTTGGTCTTCGTTTTGGTTTTTGGCTGAGCGATGGTCACGTTGATCTGCCCGTCGCTCAACACCATCTCGAGCCAGCCCAGGTCGTCTGCAAAGGACGTGTACATGAGCAGCCCCACAACGTCCCAGGTGCGGAAGCTGAAGCTGACGGCCAGCTGATTGCGGCGCGGGTACCCGGGCACCTGCAAGAAGTTGTTGACCCCAGCGAAGGTGAAAGGGAACAAGAGGTTGTCTCGACAGTAGTCGCCCAAGTGGCCCTGAAACAAAGGAGAAGACAGCTAAGGAGGTGGCTTGGTTGATGTTCCATCACAGCAGGGCCATATGCTCCTGTGACTGCACTGTGCAGCAGATGGACTTATTAACAGGCACACAACTCTGCAGGTTGCAAATCTCCGGCTTCTTTTGGAATAAAATTAATGTTATCATGTTTCTGGTGCTAAGAACAGGGCAGTGCCTGAAGTAGCCTCGGATGTAGGTGGAAACAGAGGCGTAACTCCACTCGGCGTTCTCATTCCATTTACTTCTTCGACTTTCTTTCCTTTTTTTAAATATGATTTTTATTAAATTTTATGTTTTACAATTTCAGATAAACATTTTACATACTTAAGGTATCGATGACTTCCCATCTTCTATTTCTGTGATTCATTTTACGTATCTTATATCCCTGCATGTTTTACAAAAACTACACCAATCGGTTTTCCATTATTGCAGCCTTCAAAACTTAGTTACACTGTTGAATTTATCTTAATGCTGCCAGCGTTGTCAGCTGTGCACAATTATTTTCCATATATTCGAGAAACGTTTTCCAATCTTCTCTAAACGTATGTTCTTCTTGTTCTCATATTCTGTATGTTAAGTCTGCAAGTCGTGCATATTTTGTCAATTTAAGTTGCCAATCTTCTTTGGTTGGGACCTCACTCATTTTCCATTTTGGGGCTAACAAAGCACAGGCCACAGTTGTTGCATACATAAATAACCTTTTCTGACACCTCAGAATTTCAGTCCTTTGACTTTCTTTCATCTACAAACTTTGTAAAACAAAAGCATCCCACATCCTTTAGGTGTCCTGACTTTGCAGGAGGTTTTTTTTAAAAAACCTCCATCATCTCAGCGGGAAAATGTCAATGTCAACTGCAAGTCCTGCTTCTCAGCTGTTCAGAGCCTCAAACTTCAAAATGCAATTGCATCACCAAACGTGCAATCACAAAATACATGCAACATTTAGCACGGAATAAGGATCCACCTTTCTGTTCAGGCATTATCTCTGCTACTTTTATCTTTTCTTACAGAAAAATGAGCAGCGGCCATACACTTTATACAACATTGTCCTTTTCTCTCTCCGTTGCTCCCCACTGAACAGGTGATGGGCAGCAGACCCAGAGGAAAATATGTCTGGGGGCTGAATATGCAGGCATCTCTATAAAAGTCTACTTGCTTCTGAATTTACTAGAGAGAGAAAATAACAGAAGTGCAGAGGGCTGCATGGTCAATGCAAGCCTCATAATAGAATAAGTGTAAGCCGAAGAGCCCTACATTTGGACTATTATGGTGCTAGAGGAGACTCTTGAGAGTCCCACGGACTGCAAGAAGATCAAACCGATCCATTCTGAAGGAAATCAGCCCTGAGTGCTCACTGGAAGGACAGATCCTGAAGCTGAGGCTCCAAGACTTTGGCTACCTCATGAGAAGACTCCCTGGAAAAGACCCTGATGCTGGGAAAGATGGAGGGCACAAGGAGAAGGGGACGACGGAGGACGAGATGGTTGGACAGTGTTCTCGAAGCTACCAACATGAGTCTGACCAAACTGCGGGAGGCAGTGGAAGACAGGAGTGCCTGGTCCATAGGGCCACGAAGAGTCGGACATGACTGAACGACTAAACAACAACAAAGCTGCTTCCGCAATCTTAGCAAACATCTACAACAGAGTCAGGGGCAACTAAACAAAGTTCTCTCTCTCTATTTTTGCAGACCACAGTAACACGTTCATCCTCACCTCGATCCTAATAGACGGTTTACGACGTCTTGCCAAGTTGCTGATATAGACCAAATTGTAGGCAATGTTTTCCATGCAGCCACGGAAGTTTGGCCGATAGACAAGGCGCTGCTTCTCATAGTTCATTATTCCCCCAAAGAAGATCTGCAGAAGTCAAGGAAACCCAGAGGGGATCAAATATGTAAGGCTGGGAAACACTGAAAGGTACCACTGCCATGGAGAAAGGGAGAAGAGCAGGGTTCAATTTGGGGCTTAAATTTAAAATCTCCAATCAGGGCATCACAAGTGTAAACCCCTGGCAGAGCTGGGAGCAGCTGCCCACCATGCCATGCCATCCCAATCACCTCTTTGTCCAGGTCAAGCTGATCAAACTCTCCGTTAAGGCGGTACTGCAAGACCTCCCCGTCCAAGCTGAAATTGACAAATCGCCTGTAGCGGTCGATGCGAACTTGGTGCCAGTGTTGGTCATCCAAGAGACTTCCCAGTTTCATAATCGTCTCCCCTCCGCTCATGTTTAGTGAGCTGTTGCCTGGGGAGCAGAAACAGCATGTCAACAGGATGCGGGAGATATTTTCCGCAGAAGAGCAGAGCCAAGTCATTCGAGTTCTTTCAGTGCCCCTCTTAAATCCAACTTTTGGCCTTGGTTATTTGGTGAGCCAGTATATACACATGGGCAGAAGACAGGCAAAGAATGCTGTTTTTATGTACTGAAAGAAAATTCCCAGAAAACTGAGCAAGAGGTCAATTCTGAAGCTGCAACTCAGGAATTTGGGTGGCTGAAGAACACTGTTCCAGGAAACCTGCAGATCTCTGAATCGAAGATCTCCAACAGCTTTCAGGGCGTTTTAAATTGATTTTTTATTATTTACATTGTCATTAATTGTCATGTTTTTTGTTTCCTTTTTAAACAGCATTATTTGTTTGCCACCCTGGGCTTTTGGGGGAGGAAGAGCAGGATACAAAATCAAATCAGTCAGTGAACTAAGGAAAAGTTAATACAATAATAGACCATTAATATAACAATATATTATTCTATTATTTATTTAATATCTGCAGGTGTGGCAGTGGATGTGTGATGGACTGCAGTCTTGCCTTGGTAACGGCCTGGGCGAAAGCCAATAAACTGAAGTTCAATCCAGCTAAGTCTGTTAGTGGGTGGTTCCCTACACTCCCTCTGAAGGAGCAGATAAGATAGCTTGGGGCTCCTCCTGGATCCTTTGCTGTTGCTTGAGGTTCAGGTGGCCTCAGTGATGTGGAGTGCCTTCCATCAGCTTTGGCTGGTGGCTCAGCTGTGCCTCTATCTGAACAGGAATAGTCTAACTTCTGTTGTCTATGCTCTGGTGGCCTCTAGGCTGGATTACTGCCAACAGTCTTCTCTTGTACACTATTTACTACAAAGCTCGATGACTAAGCTCTTTAGCGACGAAATGCCAGGTTACCAGAACAACGTCCAAGCACTGAACCACTGATACATTACAAGTGGACCATTTATTACCATGTTTGCCATTGTTCAAGATAAAATCTATTTTGGAAAGAGAAGAAATGAGCACTGAACCGCTGACATATTACAAGGGAACTCTTTATTTACTGCGTTTGCCATTGTTTAAGATAAAACCTATTTGGGAAAGAAACTACTTTTGCCATTTTTGGGGACGGTTATTGTTTGTTTACAGAAACAGTGGTACCTCGGTTGTTGAACATAATCCATTCCGGAACACCGTTTGACTTCCGAAAAGTTCGGCAACTAAGGCGTAAAGGGCAGTTGGCAATTTCAATAGAGAAATTTGGGGAAAAAACGCAGTGGGAGACGTTTGACTTCCGAGGCGCGTTCGAAAACGGAAACATTTACTTCCAGGTTTCCGGCATTCGAAAACCGAAATGTTTGGCTTCCAAGACACTCGGAAAACCAAGGTACCACTGATATTAGGTAAAGGTAAAGGGACCCCTGACCATTAGGTCCAGTCGTGGCCGACTCTGGGGTTGCGGCGCTCATCTCACTTTATTGGCCGAGGGAGCTGGTGTACAGCTTCCGGGTCATGTGGCCAGCATGACTAAGCCGCTTCTGGCAAACCAGAGCAGCGCAAGGAAGCGCCGTTTACCTTCCCACCGGAGCGGTACCTATTTATCTACTTGAACTTTGACGTGCTTTCGAACTGCTAGGTTGGCAGGAGCAGGGACCGAGCAACGGGAGCTCACCCCGTCGCGGGGATTCGAACCACCGACCTTCTGATCGGCAAGTCCTAGGCTCTGTGGTTTAACCCACAGCGCCACCCACGTCCCTTTACCACTTTACCACTGATATTATCTTGTGTCTATTCACAGGTGTGGCAGATGTGGGTTGCAATTCTGAAAGGTCAAAGAAGTGTAGGGCCCTTACTCCAGCCAGCTTTATCCTCCACAGACGCTTTCTCCCAGCTAAGCTCACTTTCGCTATCAAGAGATTAGCTGAGATAAAAGTAGCTGGGGAGATGGAAGCAGGGGGATGAAGGGCAGCAGAAAGGTTTGGCGTGCACCCATCCACCCATTCGCATGCCCTTTAAATCTCTCTCACAAATACAGCCATTTCACATGCAAATGCGGTGCTCACATTTAAAGATGAAAGTCTATCAACTTTATGTCATTTCAGCTCAAGATCATCTCTGCTTAGCCTGAGCTGCTTAGTGGGCTCAGCTGCCAAAGTCTTGCATGCAGACGTTGCAAACTGCACCACCTCTGCCAGAGAGCTTCACAGGAGAAGTCTGCTAAACGAAATCTCAAATCTTAGCACCCTGAAACATCTACATGCATTGCTATGAGTTTGACTGCCTTGATTAATGTTATGCCTTCATTGTGCTTCTGTAGTAGTAGCAGTAATAATAATCATCATAATAATTTATTATCTATACCCTGCCCATTTGGCTGGGTTTCCCCAGCCACTCTGGGTGGCTTCCAACAAAAGATTAAAATTACATTAAAACATCAATCCTTAAAAACTTCCCTAAACAGGGCTGCCTTCAGATGTCTTCTAAACGTCAAATAGTTGTTTATTTCCTTGACATCTAATGGGAGGGCGTTCCACAGGGAGGGCGCCACTACCGAGAAGGCCCTCTGCCTGGTTTCCCGTAACCTCTCTTCTCGCAGTGAGGGAACCGCCAGAAGGCCCTCGGAGGTGGACCTCAGTGTCTGGGCTGAACGATGGGCGTGAAGACGCTCCTTCAGGTATACTGGAATGCCCACCCATTAGATGTCAAGGAGTTAAAGAGCTACACAACTTTTAGAAGACACCTGAAGACAGCCCTGTATGGGGAAGTTTTTAATATTTGATGTTATATTATGTTTTTATATGTGTTGGAAGGTGGAGCAACCCAGCCAGATGGGCAGGGTATAAATAATAAAATTGTTGTTGTTGTTATCAGTTATTTACTCTCACATCAAACAAGGATATTCACAAATTAGTTATGTCACAACTGCAGATTTCCACCCAGGTACCCAATCACTGCCTTAGCAGCTTGTCACCATCTGGCACCAGTGTGGTCAATGGTCAGGGATGATGGGACTTGGAGCCCAATGAAAGCTGGAGGGCACCACGTTGCCTATCTCTGAGTAGGGACTTGCATGGTTTCCCCCCCTCCAAACTCACCAAGGCTTATGCTGAAGACCAGTTGGGCCTGCTGCAGTTCCAGGCTGATGTAGTCGCCCTGGGCCCCCGCCGCGTACATTAAGATCCCCTCGCGTTCCATCGTCTTGAAGTTGAACCCAAGCATGTCTTGGACGGTACGGACTGTTCTGGTGCGGAACTTGTAGGCGATGGCATCGTCGCCATCGAAATATAAGACGTCAGACTCTGCGGGGAAGAGGAGCAAAGCAGTTGCACAGCTGCTTCCAGTCAAGTCTCCTTTCCAAGTAAAGGTAAAGGGACCCCTGACCATTAGGTCCAGTCGTGGCCGACTCTGGGGTTGCGGCGCTCATCTCGCTTTACTGGCTGAGGGAGCCGGCGTACAGCTTCCAGGTCATGTGGCCGGCATGACTAAGCCACTTCTGGCGAACCAGAGCAGCGCACGGAAACGCCGTTTACCTTCCCGCTGGAGCGGTACCTATTTATCTACTTGCACTTTGACGTGCTTTCAAACTGCTAGGTGGGCAGGAGCAGGGACCAAACAACAGGATCTCACCCCGTCGCGGGGATTCGAACCGCCGACCTTCTTATCGACAAGCCCTAGGCTCTGTGGTTTAACCCACAGCGCCACCCGCGTCCCCCCTTTCCAAGTACGACAGTACAATAGTAGCCAGTCCGTTGCCAAGTCCCAAATTAGACCAACAGGACCTTGGCCATTGCAAAGTTTGCTTGCATGTGACTCCTGATCAATACTAAGAGTCAGCGCCTCAGTTACTAAGCTATATTTTCATCTCAGGTTCCATTAATTTCCTGAATACCTTCCGCTCCCCCATTTTATCCCCATATTATCTAGATCTGTCTCCTCAGCCCTAAATATGTCACACCTTGAAGACATCTGGAAAATCACCCTCTTCCCCCTCCCTGCCCAGTTTGCTAAGAAAAAACAAACAAACCAATACATGCACCATATTTTCCTCTTTTAACCAATGATTGTGGGGGCCAATCAATTTCCAAACTGCTTCTCCACACATACAAGTTTTTATTTTGAGTATGTGCTATGATTATGGATTTTTTTGTTAATGTGAAAAAGTAAAAGGGAGTCATGTTGGTCCGTAATCTCAAACACTGTTTTTTGTGAGAGTACTCACTGGTACACAATACTGTCACCTCTCTCTGTCTTTGCTGCTACTGGTAACTATTTTGTGATGATAATCAGCTAAATAGTTTGAGGAACTATACAGCTGTGTAACATGCAGAAAACAGCATTCTTAGAGAAATTAGAGACTGGAACTGAGGGAAGCTGGGGGGTGGGGTGAGGTTTGTGTGGGAGGGTGGGGAAAAATGGGGGCGGGGAATAAGGATGATAGGTTTCCGGATAATATGTTTTGTTTTAATTTTGAATTTAAAAAGTTTTTAAAAGAATAAAAAAATATTTTGTGCTGGCACGCACAACACTTGGATTAAGATATGAATACCAGCACCTCATTCATTTTTTTCAATGAAAAGCACTGCCTATTAGGAAAACATATCGATCAAGGCAAATAAAAACACTGGGCATGTTCAAAATGTATTAACAAATGTATTGCCCCAATGTAAACTTCGGAATTTCAGAGCCCAAAGTAAAATAATCTGACTAGATAGATAACACACTTCAGGTATTTTCAGGGCGTCCACCACAAATCTTATTTTACTTGGAAGGTATAAACAGCATCCAAGTATTTCACGTTTCTGTGAAGCAGTTGTTTTTAGAATGCCGTGGAATGTTAGCATGTGTTTTAATTTGTTTTTTGGCTTATTGTTGATACAGCAGTACCTCGGGTTAAGAACTTAATTCGTTCCGGAGATCCGTTCTTCACCTGAAACTGTTCTTAACCTGAGGTACCACTTTAGCTAATGGGGCCTCCCGCTGCCACCGCACAATTTCTGTTCTCATCCTTAGGTAAAGTTCTTAACCTGAGGTACTATTTCTGGGTTAGCGGAGTCTGTAACCTGAAGCATCTGTAACCTGAGGTACCACTGTATTTTTGAATATTGCAAATAGGGTTTGTTAAACTATTTTTTTACTGATAATGCTACTGCTTTATCCTTTTCGTAAACCGCTTTGGGATTTTTATCACAAGAGAGCGGCGCTGCACATAAATCTCGGAGTGGGGAAATAAAAATGAAATGAAATAAATGAAAGAGAAGTCGACATTCCCAGCTTGAATCACTTACGGTAGTAGCAGCCGTAAAGGCCCACGCGTAAGCCAATGGAACCATGTGGATTCCAGGCCACAGGGATGATGCGAAGGTACCGCGCCAGGATGGGGTGATGCAGGTTGTGGAGGGCCACGCCACTTGCGTTCACATTGCCAAAAAATGTCTGCACAAGGGAAAACAAAGTGGTGATGGGAAGAGAAACTTCTCAAGAGCAGCAGCACGATCAGCCACAGAGGGCTGTCTTCCTAGACACACAAACACTTTGTGGATTTCAGAACTAAGAGCCGAAGGGAGGGATGAGAAATTAAGGCAATAGAATGCAAAATCTCCAGGCAAGGGCATTTTTTTCTCCCCATGTAGGAAGTCCCAGGTTCGTTCTTTGCCATTTGCCATGGAAAGGAACTTGGAAAAAGTCTCTGCCCGAGACCTTGAAGGCACACAGTCAGTTGGGAAAAGACATATTTATTTTCGATATTTATGAGCCACTTTTCACGGTAATGGCACAAGGCAGCTTCCGTACAGTATTAATATGCAGTACAACGCAAACAAGTAAGAGCAAACCAACTTATCAAGTCGTCCTACTACATCATAATAATATAGCAATAATAATAATTTATTATTTATACTCCGCCCGTCTGGCTGGGTTTCCCCAGCCACTCTGGGCGGCTTTCAGCAAAATATTAAAATACAATAATTCATCAAATATTAAAAGCTTCCCTAAAAAGGGCTGCCTTCATATGTCTTCTTAAAGTCAGATAGTTGTTTATTTCTTTGACATCTGGTGGGAGGGTGTTCCACAGGGTGGGTGCCACTACTAAGAAGGCCCTCTTCCTAGTTTCCTGTAACTTTACTTCTCGCCGTGAGGGAACCAGCAGAAGGCCTTCAGAGCTGGACCTCAGTGTCCGGGGTGAACAATGGGGGTGGAGACGTTCCTTCAGGTCTAGTGGGCTGAGGCCGTTTAGGGCTTTAAAGGTCAGCACCAACACTTTGAATTGTGCCCGGAAACATACTGGGAGCCAATGTACATAGGTCTTTCAGGACAAGCCATAATAGCAAAAGACTCCCTCAAGCCCTGTATAGGGGCACAACAATTTTTTTTTTTTAATAGAAAGGCATCTGTAATTGACAAGTCTTGAATGTCTGCTTAAAGGCCTGCAAAGAAAGAGCCACCCACATCTCACCTGGGAGGCAATTTCATTTTGGCGGGTGGGGCTACTGGTGAAAAGGCCATGCCCACTCCAGCCAAACTGATGCACTGACAGGTATACAAGGAGGACCTTCAAGGCTGATGTTAAAGAAGGGATAGCCAATATGGCAGCCTCCAAATGTTGTGGACTGCAATCCCCATCATGCCCAGTCAGCAAGGCCAAATTGTGGGATAACAAGCCTCATATAATCAACATGCTTAAGTCTAATTAATGCATGAAGGGGTTAATACCATAGAGTAAGCTGTCCTGCCAGGCTTAGCTACATCCACTTCCCCTTACCTTGGGAAGGGCTATGTAATCAGGGCTTTGTTCAACCTTAGTCTACCTGAGAAGCTCTCTGCGTCAAGAGGTTTGAGCTGGTTGCTCCAGCTCAACCGCATGGCTCTCACAAGCCACTCTTGACGTCCTACTCCAATAATTTAGGAACTTTCACTACTCTGTAGCTAAGCCAAGCCATACCGCCTGTGCAACTTTCTAAAGCACATGAATCTGACCTTTGGAGAGTTGATAAGTAAACCACTTTTTAACATCAAAAATGTGGTCTTTTTCTATGCTAGTGGAAGTGAGAAAATTTGGAAGGGCATATTTTAAAGTCTGTATTTCCATGCTTTACTTTATGACTTTAAATCTCTGCTAGGGTTCTCTCACCAAAGCGTACTGGCCCCAGATCTGGATCTTGGCATCCAGGGAATTCTTTCTATATATGTATTTTGAACCATCACATATATTAGGGGTGGTGGGAACGGGTGGCTGAGCAAAACGAGCGTGTTCCTTTTTTGCACCATATAAAGATATGGGCACATAATCTACAACAGGCGATTCTAGAGGACAAGTCTGGGAATCTCTACATAGCAAAGGACTGTTGTTTTCAGTAGCCACAAATCATGAAGAAAACTGCGTAGATCCCTTGCAAATCCACAACAGGAAGTTGAAAAGGCTGGTTTTCACCCCCTGTGGTGCCCAAGTAGGAAAATACAGCACTTCTGGAGCCAAGAAGCAGAATAAACGAGAGGGACTTTTCCAATGGAATTACCTAATGACCCTTCAGTATAGGCGTGGGGAACTATTATCACCCCAAACCCCTTATAGGCCAGGTTTGGGCAGGAAGGTGCCCACCCAGCAATCACCTGATGTCACAGTGCTGCCCCCTCCCTGTTGGAAGGTAGGGCCAGAAACTCCTCTCTCACCCAATTGCTCCCTTGTTGAAAGTAAGGCTTCCAGTTGCTGGGGTGGTCCCCATAGAGCACAATGTAGCGTGTCACCCAGTTGTAGGTATTGAAGGTCCCCTGAGTGGCGATGGCGTTGATACGGCATTTCTTGGTCAGGTCAATCTGCAGCCACGGTTGCTTGTCTTGCGGGTCGGGAGACCAGCCTCCGGCACCTGAAAGAGGGTGGGGAGGACAAGATACAGGAAACGGCTGCTTTCGTGGAATTCTAGAACTGTAGAGTTGGATGATTATCTAGTCCGACCCCCTGCAATGAAGGAATTCTACCCATGAACCTCCCTGGCTGGGCTCGAACCACCAAACTTTCATAAACAATGCATAACACACACAAAAATAAATTTATAAAGCTTTAAAGATATTTTTTTCCTGAATGTTGCTAAGGGCCACCAAAAAAGGTCTCGTGGGCCACATCTGAGGGTTGGACCACCCTGATTTAGTGTGACAACCACAAATCCAGCGTTTAGAGACCATGTGCTTCTCTGGTGGCTGGATCCAGTATAGCAATCGTCGCCTACAAGCGACACATTCTACTGCCATGCATTGCTTGTGCACCGCCTTGGGACAGTGGGCCAATTTTGGAAGACAGTCAACAAAACTCAATGGGCCACTGGCTTAGTCTTGCATCTGTTAATGCTACTGAGCTGGAGAGAGCGTGAAGTCTGTCCCTCCATGATGAACTCACCATAAATCCGAGCGAACGTGGCAGCGCGGAAGATGCTGGATCGGGAAGATGCTGCAAGATTCCAAGTGTAGAGGGGGCCAACCAGTTCATAGTCACAAGTCCCTGCAGGGAAGAATAGGAAGAATGGAGTCTTTTGATGGGGGCACCTGCCCAAGGTGTGGCAACCTCAGGGCGGGGTTTTATTGCAATGTGTATTTTCTTTTTTACATTACGCTTAATGCTCTTTAAATTCTGTAAGTCACTTGGATGCTCCTTATGCTGGAAGTGACTTATAAATTGAAATCATCATTATAATCGGGGCGCCAACTTGAATTAAACATTGGAGGCGCCAGGTAAGCCCTGTATAACTGGTCACACAAAGCAGCACACACACCCCATTTGAATGCCAATCCCCGTCAACTTGGGGTGGGTGGGTGGCCCCCTCAAATATTTTATGGGGGGGGTGAAGGGACCTCAGCCCCTAGGAGTTGGCTCCTATGGTGAGCTTGATGGACTAATGGCGAGACTCTGTTTGAGGCTGCTTCCTATGTTTTTAAAGCCATCTAAGGTTGCAGTCGTCAACATACTAGAGAGTTAAGTTCCACAGTGGGACTTACTTCTGAGTAAGCATCCGAAGTATGTCTACTGAGAAAAGCTTGGAGGGCAGCAACTAGTAAGCTTACTGCCACATGTATGTGTAATAGCTGTTGTTAATTATTTAATTTAATTTTATTGATTTATAAAATTTACCAGTGGTCTCAGGGTGGGTTTCAACAAATCAAATTATCACCATCCTCAATTGTTCACTTGCCAAATGCCAGCCATAAAATATCTACACAATTCTCTGATTCCTCGTTTAAAATTAACCATACTCATTCATTCCACTGATAACATTCCAAATTATAGACAGGTGCAATTCCTCATAGGCTTGGGGAAAGAGAAACATATTTACTTAGTGCCAAAATCCAGCCAGTGCTGACAACCGCCTCAGAACAGGAGAGGACTCCATGGTGCCACCACTGAGAAGGCCCTGTTCCAGGCTCTGGCCAACCAGACTTTGTTTATTGCTGGCATGGCGAACAGGACCGCCGTGGCGGATTTCAATTCACAGGCAGAACAGTTTAGGGAGCACCACTATTTGAGACAACAGAGTCCCATCCTCTTCAGGGCTTCACCGTTTTAAGCCAGCGCCTTGAATTGGGCTCAGCGATGAACTGAGCAGCCAGAACTAGCAGCATATCACCACAGGCGGCCCAACGAATTCGAACTCATGCCATGGCGCTCTGTACTAGCTGCAGTCTCCACACCATCATCAAGGGAAGCCCTACACAAAGCACACTGCGGTAGCGAAGGAAAGGCACTCCAGACATGCTCAGATGATACGCTATCACAGGGGTCAGAAACCTTTTTCAGCCGTGGGCCAGTCCACCGTCTCTCAGACCATGTGGTGGGCCGGACTATATTTTGAAGGGCAGGAAAAAATGAATGAATTCCTATGTTCCACAAACAACCCAGAGATGCATTTTAAATAAAAAGCACACATTCTACTCATGGAAAAACACCTGGCAGGCCCCACAAATAACCCAGAGGTGCATTTTAAATAAAAGGGCACATTCTACTCATGTAAAAACACGCTGATTCACGAGCCGGATTGAGAAGGCAATTGGGCCACATCCGGCCCATGGGCCTTAGGTTGCCTACCCCTGCGCTATCACTACCTCCCGTGTAAAACAGGTTCCAGGGCAGAACCCCTTCCAGATTAAGCTGCATGCCTTTCAAGTTCAGTTTTCTTGGACGCCAGCGGCCAAGACCAAGCGACAAAGTGAGCAGCTCCTGTTTTCCTTCCAGAGATGGCAAGGCACACGCACATCAGGCAGGCCTGAGCCTGTCACCGCTGCAAAATTGGAAGACCGTTTCACAACAGCAGCAGCAGCAGAGCTATCCACCGGCTCCCTCCCTCCAGGTTTATTATTTTTTCCCCCCCTTCCACTGCAGAGAGTGGCTGGCACGCCCTTGCAGGCTCAGCTCCTGCTTGCCTCTATCTGTTAGAGAGCAAAATGGGGAAGCCCTCTCTCGACCCAGCTATGAGACAGCAGAACAAGGCTTCGAGAAACAAATGGCCGGGGGTGCAAGGAAGGGGGACGAGCTCGACTTCCCTGAGCCAGTTCAAAAAGAGATGCACATTACATCAAGGACAGATGTAGGAAGCCACTGACCTGCCCAAGGGGTGAAAACAAATAACAGGCATCGCACCCACCAACCTCAGGCAAAATTCCAGCAAGCTCACTAGTGCAGAGCTCTCTGGTGGAGAGGAACCCCAAACTCCCCCCCCACTCAACCCTGTTAAAAAATGAAGAGGGAAGCCATAGGTAAGTGTAGAAGTCTGCAGAATCATCACACACACACCCCCCAAAAAAAGCAGATGCGGAAGAAACGACCCAGACCTGTAACCTATTTTTGCAAGGCCCTGCATGGTGGGGTGGATGGGGGGAGCAGGGGGCTGGCTTTGTCCTGCTCTCCCAGAGCACCTATGTATGGAACAGGTTCCAGGCTCTCAGCCATCCCCACAAACAAACTGTGCAGCCTAAGAAAAAGTGTATATGTGTGTGTATGTATGTGTGTGTTCAGATGGAAGAGGCAACCATTCTCTGGCCCTCTGTTTTGAGAGGGCCCAGGATACACACTTGCCCAAGAGCAAAGCGGGGATGGGGTGCTGTCAGGAAGCAGCTGATGAGGCCCAAATCTTTGGTGCTGAGCCCCAGACCCCTTGCCCCTATTTTGGAAAAGGCAGCAACAACTTTGAATGCTTTACCAAAAAACAAAAACAAACTTTGCCACCGCAAAGGGCACTGCTACCAGCCCCCAGCCCCCTTAATTTGCTCAGCGACCTAAATGTGCATCCACACATGCCGATCCGCAGGCGCAAAGGTTACGCCAAATGAGCGCCTGTGTCCCGGGTCTCCGGGAGACCTAGTAGCCGGGAAGTGCTGGATGGAAAGCCGCTTTCTCGACAGCTGGCCAGGATACCAACCAACCTCCAGCCCCAGCCCCGCCCGGCAGCTCCCCAAGTCGGGATTCCTTGCTAACACGGGATAAACACTCTGACCTGGGTGGCGGGGCAGGGGGGATGGGGGAAGAGACGGGGAAGGGGACCCAGGCGTCCTGTGCCAAACGACCCCGACGCAGAAGCCTCTCCCGAGGGGGTTTCGAGGGATGGGGTGGTGATGTCTCTTCTACAAGCGCGCGGCACGAACCCCGCCCGCTCCCGAGGTCCCCAGGGAGCCGCTCCCCGCACCCAAGACGCCGCAGCCCGCGCGCAAACCTCGCGCCCCGCCGCAAGCCCCTCTCCCCAAACGTTGCGCGCCGCGCCGCGCGCCCCGGAGCGCAGTCCGCCTTGTCCCCGCCCCGTGACCTTTTTCCCCCTCTCCCCTGCCGGCCCGATCCGGGCTGCTTCTTCTTCTGCCGCAATGCAGGTGCCGCCACCGCCGCGCCAAGTCCCGGGACACTCACGCCAGAACCAGCCTCCGTGGCTGGGCTGCAGGAGAGCGGCGACGGCGAACACGAAGAGCATGGCGCGGCCGCCCATGCTGCAGCCGCGGCGCGGGCTGCTTCAGTGCGCTCCCGAGCCCAGCCGCCTGGCCATCGCCGCCGCACGTGCGCCCCTGCCCGCCTCCGCCTGCCGCTGGCCGGAGCAAGCCCGTTGCGCGCGCCTCCGACGCGGGGAGCGAGCGCCGGCGCGCCTCCGCCCGGGACCAGCCGACGGCCTCTCTCTCTCTTTCTCCGCCGAGCTGCTCGTTCCCGCCCCTTAGGGGGAAGCGCGCTCTGCACAGGGTCAGAGGCAAGGTGGCCACCTTTGTTTTGGCCAAATAGAAGACAGGGCGGACGGTTTTCCTTTTCATCTGGTGGTGCTGAAGTGACTTCCACGCGATCCATTACAATCTCTTGCAGTCTTTCAAGGGGGGCCCCTCTGGAATTTGTCACACACACACAGGCATACATATGAATTTGTAAATCTGTCTGTGCTGGCAACCCAGAGCTTAAAGACAGATCTTTCAGAGTCCTTTTTGTTGGGGATAATTCAGAAATTCCCAGGTGTCAAAAAAGGATATTTATGCATGCCACTACTGTGGTCCGTGTTTTGTTAGCCCCAAAATGGAAAACAAGCGGTCCCAACTAAAGAAGAATGGCAACTTAAATTGATGGAATATGTGCAGCTTGCGGACCTAACATATAGAATAAGAGAACAAGAAGAACATACGTTCAGAGAATATTGGAAAACGTTTATTGAAAATATGGGAAATAATTGTGCGCAGCTGAAAACGCTGTTTTCCTTTCCAGCAGATTTTTATATTTCTCCCAAACTCTATACAGATTCTTCCTAAGAATATGGTTCATAAAACTCCTACAAATTATCGCCTTCCCATACCAAAGACATGCATGCCAGCCAAGTTTTAAGTCATGACCAGCTAAGTCCAGGATGTCTGCGTTATCCAGGGTAATCCATTCTTTTAACCAACACAGACAGAAGCAGTCTTTCTTTGCCAGGAATGGCCAGAGAAGCGTGGGGCTTCGGATCAGCCGTGGCAATCACTTCGCAACCGGCCCTTCTGTGGCATCAAACTAAAGATCACTGGCGATCTGCGCTGGAGAATCTGTGCGTCCCCTCTCCCCATGTTGTTGGATTGCATCTCCCGGCAGCCTCTGCTACCACAGTCATGTCAAGGCTAATGGGAGTTGTAGTCCAAGCTGGGCTGCTGCAGGGCCTCCCTCAGCCATGGTGTAGTAAAGAAAGCATTTTGGTTTTTTGTTGTTGTTGTTTTTTTAAAAAAATAATAATATTTATTAAAGTTTCAAAAGGAAAAAAAGAATCACATTAGTAAAAAAAAATTAACAATGAAAAGGAAAAATACAAAGAAGAAGAAAAAGAAAAAACAGTTAAAAACAATTTCATCTTTTCCTCACTTCTTTTACGTTTACTTGTTTCCCGGACCTCCTCATACCTCCCTCTTTTGTATTCCAATTCAATTTGTTAATCCAACAATTCCTTTCCCTCCTTTTTAATCCTAATCTTTAATCTTGATATATTATAACTTTAGATTTTTACATATTAAAAACCAATTTTTCCATATTCTTTTGTACCTGTACAGCTAGAAACCACTTAACTTCAATCCAACATCATTCTAACATTCATTAATTTTGCAATATTTCTGTAAATAGTCTTTAAATTTCTTCCAATCTTCTTCCACCGACTCTTCTCCCTGGTCACGGATAAGAAAGCATTTTGGACATGCCTCACAGTACCCTGCCTCTTAAATTAGCCCAGGACTGAAAGCTGCCGGAGAAGCCTTTAGGGCAGGAGTAGCCGACGTGTTGCTCTCCAGACAGTGCTGGACTGTACAACCAGAGCTGGCCCAGCCATTAGACAGGGTGAGACAGCTGCCTCAGGCGGCAGAGGCCCCCCCCCCTTGGGTGCCCTGCCCAACCTACCGCCTCAATCAGTGGTGGAGAATTAAAAGTTCGTTGAATATATTTCTAATAGAAAAAAATTAGAAATTACTTGAAAGAAACAAATAGGCCTAGGATTAAACTAAGTTATAATTAAATAAATGGGATTTAGAATGTTAAGAAAAGTGAATAAGATGGACTATAATTGGAAATTGTTTTAGTTTAATAATGATATTGGAAAGCTGTTACTTTTAACTACAAGGAAACTCAGAAGGGAGGGAGTTGAGGAAGTCAACCAAGATGTTTAAAAGGTTGGAATTGTGAAGAATTAAGTTTGTTGTTATTGTTTATCTGTTTATTGTTCCTCTCTCTCTCTCTCTTTTTCTGTTTTTGTGTATCATTCTGCTTTGTGGTTTGTGTTATCATTGTGGAAAATCTAATAATTTAAAAAAAAAAAAAGTTTGTTGAATGTATTTCAAGACAGCCATCTGGATTTACATAATAGCAAATTAATAAGCCATTCATTACAAGCGGCGAGACACAACATAACCAGACACTGGAAATAACCTTTTTTGGCACAGCAATGGACAACTGGTACAACTGAGCTCTCCTCAAGAGATTAACATATAAATTATGGTTGACACGTGGACAGATAAAGAAATATGGCTTTACCCTGGTGTGACGTAATTTCAAAGCATATGCCAGTATTCCAAGAAACGACCAAGTCCCCACCTCAGCATTCGCCTCAATCTGGTTGATCTACAATTAAATTTACCGTAAGCATAAATCATTATCTTCACTTTGAACCCTGGTCCCATGTTCATCGATAGACAAGCATTTTACATTGTTTCATTGGTAACATGGGGGGGGGGTGTGACTTATTACTCATATTTAATCTAAGCACAAACACAAGGGCTCCTGATTAGGTGTTTAGCTACGCAATGCCGAGTGTTATCTGTTAACTCTGTTCTATTCTGTTTCCCCTTAGTTTTTCATTTTATTTAAACCAATTCATGAACCAAAAACTTATACCAAGGGTAGGCAACCTAAGGCCCATGGGCCACAAGCAGCCCACAGGGGTCGTTTGACCGTCCCACGAGCCACCCCCGAACCGAGCTGCCTACTCAGCGAGTCCCCATGCACTATGCTAAACCGGTGCAGTGTGGCTTGGGGACTCGCTTCCGTGGTGCCGGAAATCATGTCTGCGCAGACACAGACGCCAAAAATCATGTCTGCACAGACACCGGAAATCGTGGCTACACGCGCGATTTGACACACGGAGGGAACTCCGCCGGAGTGATCCGGCCCAGGTGAGGTAAACCTTGCCACCCCAACTTATACATTAACCACCAATAATGAACAGTGATATGTTGTAGGTATTACTGCAAATTTATTTTTGCTATTTTTGTGGCGGACAAATGACGTGAGAAGGCTTGATCTATTTATAGTGGTACCTCGGGTTACATACGCTTCAGGTTACATACGCTTCAGGTTACATACGTTTCAGGTTACATACGCTTCAGGTTACAGACTCTGCTAGGCCAAAAATATTACCTCATGTTAAGAACTTTGCTTCAGGATGAGAACAGAAATCGTGTGGCGGAAGCGAGAGGCCCCATTAGCTAAAGTGGTGCTTCAGGTTAAGAACAGTTTCAGGTTAAGAACAGACCTCCAGAACAAATTAAGTTCTTAACCCAAGGTACCACTGTATTTGTACCGTTTGTTATTCCTATGGCCCTTGTTTAGAAAATCCAAGAAAAAGTTGTTTTTTAAAAAAAAACAGCACATTTGTATATTGAAGAGTACACATGTTATCCACAACAGCAAACAGACTTACTATCATGTTAGCCATTTCCTAGAATGCTAATTGCCCCAATTCGGGCATTCTCTTTCACATTATTACAACCCCATAACTGGAGGTGGGGGCAGGGGGGCCCTACACCCTCTGCTGTGTCCCTATTGTCGCTGTCCATGTGTTGGAGGAGGGAGATTTGAAGCAGAGTGTCTGCATGTCACTTCTCCACATGATCACATTTCCTTGAACTTCTGTGCCCAATTAAAGGAGCAAGAAAAACAATCCCCAAAGTATCTTGGCAAAATCCAAGGTGAAATGGACAAAAGATTATAAACTGTGATGTCCCAGCCATTTGCTGGATCTGCCTGGAACCCATGTGGCTGACATTAAAAACTTCCCTAAACAGGGCTGCCTTCAGATGTCTTCTAAAAGTCAGTTGTTTATTTCCTTGACATCTGATGGGAGGGCGTTCCACAGGGCGGGCGCCACCACTGAGAAGGCCCTCTGCCTGGTTCCCTCTAACCTCACTTCTCGCAGGGAGGGAACCACCAGAAGGCCCTCAGAGCTGGACCTCAGTGTCTGGGCTGAATTATGAGGATGGAGGCGCTCCTTCAGGTACACTGGGCCAAGGCCATTCAGGATTTCAAAGATCAGCATCAACACTTTGAATTGTGCTTGGAAACATACTGGGAGCCAATGGAGGTCTTTCAGGACTGGTGTTATGTGGTCTCAGCGGCCGCTCCCAGTCTAGTTGCTGCATTCTGGAATAGTTGTAGTTTCCGAGTCACCTTCAAAGGTAGCCCCACATAGAGCACATTGCAGTAGTCCAAGCAGAAGGTAACTAGAGCATGCACCACTCTGGCAAGACAGTCTGCAGGCAGGTAAGGTCTCAGTCTGTGTACCAAATGGAGCTGGTAGACAGCCGCCCTGGACACAGAATTGACCTGCACCTCCATGGACAGCTGTGAGTCCAAAATGACGCCCAGGCTGTGCACCTGGTCCTTCAGGGCCACAGTTACCCCATTCAGGACCAGGGAGTCCTCCACACCTGCCCGCCGGCCCCCTGTCCCCCCAAAACAGTACTTCTCTCTTGTCAGGATTCAACCTCAATCTGTTAGCCACCATCCATCCTCTAACTGCCTCCAGGCACTCACATAGGAAATTTTGTCAGGAGTGTATTGCTTAGCATGTAGCTAACCCATGCCAAATATCAGACAGTTTGTACAAATACACGGGGTTTTTATTAAGATTTATAATAACATCCAGGCTGTGGAATGCAGCTTTGACCAGCTCGGTTTACCTGTATAGGGAGTCTTGTGCCTGTATAACTGCCATGACCATAAGATTTGATATGGCGATATATATTTAATCCACCTCAAATCCTTTCAGGGGAGAAAGTCCCAAAGGAAGGGGAAGCAGCCTGCTTCTGGGATGAGAGGAAGTGAGGTCAGAGTTTAATTTGAGCCAG